TCCAACAACAAAGAAATTGTATCCATGAAGATGGAATGGATGTGTCTCAACTGTTAGAAGGTTGGTGTCCTGCAACACCAGCTCAACAGTAGAGTTGAAGGCAATCTTGCTCAGCCTAGTCCCTGTGGAAGTCCCAAGATTGGCTGTAAGTGGTGCACCAGTATAATTGAAAGGAGTTTGTGGCCTATCAGGGAAGTCAGTTTTGAACACTCCCTTAAGATTGAAGTAATGGGCTTGTAGAAGCCCAACCTGAGGCATCTCAAAAGAGATATTGTTCAAGGAAGCAACAAATCTTGTTCCATTAAGGCAAGTTGGGCAGGATTCTTTTCCAAAACCAATTGTGTAGAAGAGCTTTCTGTCAACTTTGAGAGGAACATTTGCTGGAAAATTTGGAGTGTTTAAGCTCTTGAGTTTCTTGCCGTAGCTTAAAGCAAAGGATGTGTCATTAGAGGCAGGCAGTTGAGGAAGGCTTGGTAGAACAGTGTTGGGGATGCCTATGTATTGGAATATTCCTGTGGCTTCCTTTTTGTCTATGGGAACTGGAGCATCCATGAAAGGCCTAGTAGCCATGAAGTATCTGCCTGAAGCTTGATTGGCTTGTACCAAAACGTTTGTGGTCTGACCAGGTGCAATTAGTATGGCTTGAGTAGTGAATGGTTTTGTGTACACTGCATCAACCTCCACCACTGTCAGGTTGTGACCGGCAATGGCGAAGAAAAGTTCATCATTGAGAGCAGCATTGATAATTCTCAGTAGATAGGTCTTCCCTTGCTCAACCTCCATAACAAAAGTATCTAAACCAAGAAAAACAGAACAAAATCGGAATTAGAACTTCTGCAATTTGCATGCCAACCACCTTTGTGATTTGGACTTGATCCCAAAATTTCATATACTTGTGTTTTCTCTGATTAATTGTGCTTACGTTTCTCAGAGCAAGGAAACAAAGGCCCTGGCTTCCCATTGATTGTGTGTGCGTCAGAGGTGTTGGGTGCCAATCCTAAGTTGTTTGCTTTCTTGACAAACTCTTCCACATCGACATTCCACCATTCTCCGAGTATAATTTCAGCTTCCCTGTGTGGCTGTGGGAAAGGAAATGGGGTGCCTTGTTTAGGCATGATAACAATTGCACCATAGACGGTGGCCCTCAACCAAAGAATGTGTGCATGCCACCATAGAGTTCCTCTTTGCCCTGTTACATTGAAGTCATAAGTGTAGCTGCTTCCGGTCTGAATTGGACATTGTGTTATATAAGCCGGTCCATCTGCCCAACCGTTTCGATATTGCTTCACTCCATGCCTGTAAGAACACATATAACTGAATCAGCTATAAGCTAAGGCATGCTGATTATTTGGTTTTGATTTTGATCACTTGTTTGTTGGTTAATTATTTGGTTCAACTCTTACCAGTGAATTGACATGTTGTATTGAGCATGGTTTGTAACATTGACGACAACTCTGTCTCCTTCCCTGACATAGATGGTCGGCCCCGGAAACCTTCCATTTACAGTAACAATGGATTTTGCATGGCACAATCTACTCACATTCTTCACTTGGACCTGTGAAAACACAGAGGATGTTATCAAATGGAAAGCCATGCACAAAGTACAACTTTTTCTTTTCTTTTTCAATATGTTGTTTGAAGGTTGTATGTTTGTGCATGCAAATGATATTAAAGCATTTGAAACAACTCACATCAAATTGGTATTTCTTTATGGCAGCTTCTGCTGGAGAAGTGATTAAGCCAAGAAACCCAAAGCAAAGAAACACCAACCCACAGAAGAATCTGTTCCAGCAGCTGCTAGTCATTTTCTCTCTGTTGATCACAACTTCAATTGTGGTGTGTTTATTTGATGAGGCAATGAGGCAATGAGGCATGAAGACAAAGATGCCAAATATATTTATATGAATGTGCAGAGGCAAATGTGTTGCATTTCTTTTGAGTTTGTTAAAGGGGTTTGTGTGGCTCATTAATTAGGTAAGAATTGTGAAGGTGATGTACATGAAACCGTGCAAGCAAAACACTGAAAGGGACACACATTGCCTTTGACTGACTTAAAGGCTGGGATTGCTAAACCAAGGAGAAGATTTTAGAAACCTGAGAGTTAAAAATGGATTAAGGTGCATTTTTTATAATTGCACCAACCAAACCCCCCAAATCCAGTTCTACAAGCCCTGCTAAGCTTTACCTTCAAGGGAGGTTCTTGCAAAGTGCCATCTATGCAAATGCTTCACTACTGTTGTGCTTATGTGGGCCAGATGTCATTTTCCAGAGGAGTTATTTGTAGCTAGAGTGCTGCCTACTAATCCTATGGGCCCCTGGTATATCAGAACCTTTTTTTTTTCTTACTTGTAAGCTTCATTGGCATTTCTTTGATATCAGAATTATGGTTGTTTATGCGTATTTTGGGGCTGTTTTCATTAAGGTACTTGGGAAAGAGGCTTCCTCTTGCTTCTAGCCAACTCCATAAGGGAAAAACAAATGGAACAAACACACACACACACACACACACATATCTATATATATAATATATATACATATATAAATATAGCCTTATTGAGCTTTAGCAGGCCCCCATCATTGAAACAATTCCCTGCTGCATTTTTAGAATATGCTTTTATATGAAGCACCAATGAGCTTTCAACTTGGCCATGGCATAGGTCCTCTCTACAATGAAGCAAATAACAAGGTGGAGTGGCATAAGCCCAGGTCTGACAAAGAAAAAGAAGGATATGATAAAACATTAGCCCACGTCGAACCGGAAGACCTCATCATCATACATATCTAACAAGAAACAAAGTGAATGAATATTTTAATGTTGAGCAATAAGAATAGTAGTGCTCCTGAAACACTGCGTTGACACATGTACGACTGACAGTCATATGCGCACATCTCTTTTAATACAAATGATATCAAGAGAAGATGATTTTCTCACAATACTGTCAATGTATCATGGGAGTTCGAACCTAAGACCACTTTATGTGGCAAAAAATGCTGATGTTTGGCAGAGGATCATAGTCTCGCTCATATTATGATGATGATGATCCATCAGCTGGCAAGAGGCTGTAAAAAAACAAAGAGTATATAGTAGGATGAATATGGTGCCTTATGGAATGTGACAAGTCAATCAATTCTCACACGTGGCATGCCTCATGATCAAGAGGCCTATCCAACTAAGGCAAGAAAAAACCAGTCTCTTCTCCTAATAATTCAGCCCAGTCAAATTAAAGCAAGTAGGTCATGCATACAACTTGTTCTCATCGTGAATAACTGATATACAAGTGCCCAAAAAATATTGAAGACAAAATAACTATATTGAGATTTGAAATTGATAAGTAGAGTTTGGTAAATTTGTGGTGAATATAAAGGCTCGTTTGGGATTGTTTGTTTAGAAGTATTTATGCTCATAAGTACTTCTAGTAAAAGTGCTTTTATTATGAAGATGTGGCTATTTTGCTGAATTGACCCTTGAACTTGTACCTAATTATCAATTTATTCCCTAACTTTTTTATAAAAAAATTAAAAATTAAAAAATTAAGGACTTGAACTAAATTTTATTCTCAATTTCCCCCGCCATTTCAAATTCTCAACATTTCATTCAATTTTCTGTTAAATAATTAAAAATAATTTTTTTATTTTTGGAAAAAATTAAAGAAAAGATAAAATAAAACCCCCTCCTCACAGGCGTCACCTTTCTTCCCCACCATTGAGTCCTTCATTTTCTATAATAAAAAAGGTCATGGGGTAAATTGATAGTTAGGTACAAGTTCATATGGCAATTCGACATATTACCCTAAAGATTTTGAACTTTTCATACCCAAGTGCTTTATGAAAAAGTACTTGGGAGCACTTTCCATAAGGCGCTTCTAAACTTTTTTATAAAATGCAATCAGAAGTGCTTTTTGTTGTAAAAAAACGTTTTTAGCCATTTTAGAAGCGCTCCTAAACATGCCCACAGTTTAAAAATTATATAAAAACTGATTATTTTATAGCAAACTTAAGATTATCTGTGTATTTATTGTATATCTTGGTCACATTTCCCCCCATTTACACCAAAAAAAAAGAACTTTGGAATTTCCATTTTAAATGGAAAAACAAGCGGATTTATTCAACTTTTGCGACATTGCCAAGCATGTTGAGTTAAACCTAACCTACCATTATTGCACCTTCCATCCAATGTGATGGTTGGAAGTCCCATGAAAGTTTGCTTGTCAAATCCCAAGTGAAACTTTTCTCCCCAAAAAAAAAGTCGAAGTAAATAAAAAATAAAAACCTCCTTCCAAACTTTCAACAAAAATAAAAACCTCATCAATCGGTTTCAATTTTAACAAACCTAATTAATAAACTTATAAGAAGGGAAGGTATAGAACTTATATATATATATATATAGTGACACATTGGAGAGATAAAGAAAAGCATATATGAAAAAACTCTACTTATCTTAATTATTTCTCACATTTTATTACCACTTAAGTTATTTTTAGAAATTTATGACCGAAAACGGAATTTCTTCGGAGAATTTAGGATATTGTTGATTGATATTGTCACCACTAAAATTAGGATATGATTAAAAGCATTGCAATAATATTTTGTACTTGTGATCTCCACAATCCAAAAATATCAAGCATAAATAGCTTGACAATATTTGTAGCTTTTTTGCATGAGAAAGATAAACCATTGGATAATGCACACTAACTAAGTTTCCCTATTTGGGTGTTTTTTCCAATTAGATTCTGACAACAAAGTTTCCCTGCATTTATAATTCCTAGGGTTAAAGACATTTTCTTTCTTTGCTCTAAAAACATTCCTAAATTCATACTAGCTTCTATCAATAGAACAAATTCCACACAATCAAATCAATCAAAACAAGAAAAACTGGAATAATCTGCCACGTGTACGACACAGAGTGGCTCCAGCAGTAGGAGTGGCACACCAGATTCCCCCGCCATTGAAAATTACAGAAAATTTACAGCTCATAATTTCGTTGTTTTCGTTTTAACGGACTAATAAAAACCAGCCACAATGCGGAAAGCGAAAAAGCGCCTGGGATCCGTTTTCGACCGAGCGAGCGAGCGAGCGAGCCAGAAACGAAACTCTGCTGCTCTGCTGCTTGGCCGGCGCTGCTGATCCAAGCTCTGCGGTGGGCCCCGTGGAGGTACTGACGTGGCAGCGGCGGATGCGGTGGCGGCGATGAGAAGGCGATCTAGGAGGTCCTTGAAGTAAGACCCAAGTCGGAGAACACACGGTCGGCGTCTGAGAATTTGGCCGTGGTTCTCCGATTTGCGATCCGGGAACGTTCTAGAACTTCTCCTCTGCCTGCCTTCGGTTTCTGGGTCATCGTGAAATAGCTGCGAGCTTTCGAGCTGGTTCAACAGGTTGGTTCTTGTTTTTCCGCCTTTTTTATTATTTTTTATTTTTATGATTAGCGATTAGTTTTTCATTTTTTAATTATTTAATTTCCAGATCGCCGAAAGTTTGTCATTTTCAGAGACAATGATAGAAAATAATTTTTTTTTTTTAAATTTTATTGCTAAAAATAATGCGGTCTTTTAGAAATTACAGATTTTCTGTATAGATATTGTTGATGCTGGTTCAAGAGGTTTTGATACGGAGGAGAGAAATTTCAAAGGCATTGAAAAGATTTAACTTTTGGGTGGGAAGAGAAGTTATGTTGTTTCTCTTGAGATTTCTCGTAAATGTAGCCGTGTTAATGCCAAAACTTTGGCCGATTTAGCGTCTTCAATGCACTCACAGAATATGGCTTCGTTGACATTTTGAATTTGATTCAAATTGAAGATAATGGGTTTATAGTCGTGTACTCGATACCAAAATTACTAAGGTTTTGGTTTCATGTTATATTCTGATTGATACACTATGTGTAGATGTCGTTCAAAGGCATTGTTCGCGAGCTGAGGGAGATGAAAGATGGAATTGGGAGCATGTCAAAGCGAGTGGGTGACCGGAAGCATTGGCATAGTAGGACGATGTCACATATTGCTCCTGATCTGGCACCAAACCCTCCATCTGATTTGATTCAACAGGGTCAGTGGGCAAATTTACCTCCGGAATTGCTTTTGGACATAATTCAGAGGGTAGAAGAAAGTGAAACCACATGGCCTGCTCGAGCTGTTGTTGTTTCTTGTGCTTCAGTTTGTAAGTCATGGAGGGCCATTGTGAGGGAGATTGTCAAAACTCCTGAGCAATGCGGAAGGCTCACATTTCCAATCTCATTGAAGCAGGTGTTGCTTTTTACTTCTTCCCCTAAAGTTTGTGTTTGCATGTACTGATTGCCTCCTCTGAAATAGTGTTAATTTGGTCTGCTTTGTGTAGCCTGGGCCTCGCCAGTCTCCAATACAATGCTTCATTAGAAGGGATAGAGAAACTTCCACATTTTATCTGCACTACGGTCTGGTGCCTTGTAAGTCTCCTCCTAGGGGTTATTTGCTCTTTCTATCATTCTCGTTTTAAATTATCCACCACATAAAATTTTCCTCAAATATATTGATGAAAAGAAATGTGGTGTTCACTAATATTATTAAATTGACAGCTGAGGGTGAGAAAGATAAATTATTGTTAGCGGCCAAAAGGATTAGAAGGGCAACAAGCACAGAGTTCATTATATCTTTGGTTGCAGATGATTTTTCTCGAGCCAGCAGTACTTATGTTGGTAAATTGAGGCAAGTGTGCGCTGTTACACTTACAAATATCTTTGTCAAGTTATTCATTAGCTATGCTCTTGACAACTTATTCAAAAAACAATTTTTCCAGGTCCAACTTTTTGGGTACCAAGTTCACCGTATATGACAGCCAGCCTCCATGTGATGCAGTACCTCAAACAAATAGTCGATCATCTCGAAGGTTCCATTCTAAGCAGGTATCTCCAAGAGTACCAGCATGTAACTACAGTGTTGGAACCGTCTGTTATGAGCTCAATATTCTCCGCACAAGAGGCCCAAGGAGAATGCACTGTGCCATGCCCTCTATTCCTGTCTCTTCTATTCAGGAGGGGGGCACCGCCCCAACACCAACATTGTTCTCACAAGCCTATGATGAGCACTTTGCTCCCTCACCCTGTTCAACAGTAAAGGAGCTAGTCACTGGTTACAGCTCTACAAACCTCTCTGAGCCACATGTCCAGGGTGCAGAACCGCTGGTTTTGAAAAATAAGTCCCCTAGGTGGCATGAGCAGTTACAGTGCTGGTGCCTTAATTTTAGAGGGCGTGTTACGGTGGCTTCTGTAAAAAATTTCCAGCTTGTTGCAGCTGTTGATCCATCCCACAATGTTTCAGCTGAAGAACAAGAGAGGGTAATTCTACAGTTTGGAAAGATTGGAAAAGACATCTTCACTGTGGATTATCGCTACCCCCTGTCCTGTTTCCAGGCATTTGCAATCTGCTTAAGCAGCTTCGACACCAAGCCAGCGTGTGAATGACACTTGAGTGTAGAACATGATCGTCATTTCCTGAATTTTGTCATTTAATTCTGAACCATATGCATGTTCTACCAAGAAGTTCGTCATGCTCGATCATATACTGCTGAAATTCACAGCTATTTCAATCAATTGACTCTTTTTTCTGAAAGCAGCCAATCCCAAATTTGACTTGTAAGCTGTTTTATGTGGAGCAAAATGAACCCTATCTATATAGGGTTGTTCTATGATGCATGGCCCAGAATCCATACAGATTGTAAAATTCCCATGGGTTTCATTTACACTTTTAACTTGGATCAACATCCAGACAATCCCAGCATTGTAGAACTTTCCCTATCCTTGATCCTTGCGGAAGTGGGAATGATATATGCTTGTGTGACAGCATTTTCAACGGATGATGAAGCAAATCTGACAAAAGCGATACGCTTAAAAAAGTCGTAGATCTAAAGTAAAATCACATTTGAAAAGGTTGAAAAAAGAGATTTGCATGAGTCATGCTTGGCACTTTAAGTGACACATACTTAATTTTGTAAACGACATGGATTCTTGCTTTATATTATGGTTTAGCATCTCATAACTGGTATTATCCAAAAGCTAATTACTTAAAGTTCAAGTCTGAGCTCGATGGTCAATGATGTTTTTATTGTTTAATATTCTAATACCGCTGGACAACGATGTTTCATGTAGGCAATTTAGCCCTACGCACAGCTCACACCCCAACCAAAAGAACAAACAAAAACTCAAAGCTGTTCTAGAGAACTCAAATGAAAATTCAAATCATGCCATAAAAGTACCAAACAACATTTTTCATTGCCGGTGGACATTACATCATAATGTTACAGATATTACATTTCCCATCTGTTTCTTTCTATGCCAGGTCACATTTCTCATCTCACAGAAGAATAGGTGATGAACTCTCTTGAAGTAAACTGAAATGGCTGATGCGGAATAGGGTTCCTGCGCCGTACAAATAAAATGGAAAACATAAACAAAGAATCACACAATATTTCTCATAATCAGCAATTAACGAGCAAGAAAAAGATAAGGAGACGCACGGTCGAGGGCCGTAAACTTTGATCTGCCGCACATGAGTGTCCCTTCCATTAAGGTGATTTGATAACACGGAGATTTGCAACATAAAAGTATTGACAAAAGTTTCCCTGCAAACATATTGGCAAACATTTCAAAACTTGAAAATCAATTCAAGAAATTAAAACATCATCGCCATATGTGGATCTATTCCGGGAAATATTTCTTTAAGCATATCTCATTCCTCAAACATATCAACATGCAAACATATTTCACCATCATGTCATTGAACCACATATAAGGGCAAAAGCATATAATTCATTCAACTCGCTTATCTTTGATTCATCAATCACCAATACTTGTCACACCATAAACTGAAATAGGAGGATGTTACTGAACCAAATTTTTTTCCCAGCATTAAGGTCCTCCATGTGACAGAATAGAAAAAAGAGTTGAGCTCCAATTATTATTCAGTGAGGTATTAGAGATCAAATCAAGAAGAACGCAACAGCTATCAAGTTTTGAATTTCTTAACAATAATATTCTACATGTTATTCATGTAAGCTCTTGCAATTGAACCTTGTTGAGCCACCGCTTGTCAAGTTATCATTTCATGCAAAGATGCAACAATGTTGTAAACAAAACTACAACCCAGGAATAACAAGGAGAAATATGCAATCCAGGTAACTACTAAAGCTTAAAAAATGAATAATGCTTTCACTGCTTACCTAGGATCATTTCCAGACAATGATATATGAACCCAACCCGTTGGCTTATCGAGCTCAACAGTTTTTATGTCCTAAAAACATTTGCAGCACCATAGCCAAAGTTAATCAAATTGAGTCTTAGCCAAGATCACATAGCAGTACAGCAGAAAAGGAGATACGTAATATAATCGTTCAAGTAGACAAACAGGAGGAGACAAACATATTACCTTCAAGTTGTGGAAGCCATCCCCAGCACGAATTGAGATCTTACAAGGTGTATAGCTCTCATCAAGCTTGAAATCCACATAGAGAACAACAAGCTGATTTTGTTTTGTTTTTTTTGTGAGAAAAAACAAAACCCATTAGTCAAAATCAAATTTTGGATTTTTAAATAACTAAAAAGATAGAAACTTTCACACATACTTGGAGCTTCACTTTCTTCTGGAATTGAATGTTTACTAAATGAGGTTGCGCACCATCCGATCTGCAAACGAAGCAAAAAAGAACAAAACAATTATAAGTTTTCATTTTGCATTTTCGCATTTTTGAGGGATCAAGAAAGGAAAAGAGAATTGAAGCAGAGACTGCCAATAAGTATCAAGATTGTCGTCACGGAGAGATGAGACGCCATTGCCGGCCTTGCAAGAGCTGACACTCCAAGCGGCCTTCTTGCCCATTTCTCTGAGATCATCGTCCACTGTTAGCACTTGGTTCCCTCCTGTCAGCTTCCCTTCCTCTTCTCCCTCTGATGATTCTGTCGCCATGGCCTCTTCTTCTATTGTTCTTCTATGAACAGGAAGAAGAAAAGAAAAACCCTAATTTGATCAAGTACCAAAAACCCCAAACCCTAACTTAAAGAGCAGCCTGATGCGAAGAATCAATCAAAGCAAAACCCTTTATATCATAAAATAAAAATAAAAAGTCTGCAAAAATGAAGCGCCTCTGTTGATGATTTTGAAAAATTGAATTGTAATTTCTCGTAGTGTTTTAGACTTCAGGGTTATGTAAAAGGCGCTGGTTAATTTGGCGGTTTTAAAAAGAGAAAATGGACAAAATTGTGGCGCTAGAAGAAGGGTTCGAACCTTCGACCTTGTGGTTAACAGCCACACGCTCTAACCAACTGAGCTACTCCAGCTTTTGATGATATCGGCCCATATAGTTCATACATATATTAATTAGAATACCAAACCACCTAACTTCTTTTATTTTTTACTCCGAATTTTTTTTAATGAAGGTTTTTTTATGCGAAATTAAACCACATGACTTTATGACGTAATTGCTTATGATTATATGACGTAATTTTTCATTCACCAGTTTTTACTTCTGATTCATGAATAATCAAAGTTGATGAATAAGGGTCTCGGAGCTCAATCGGTTAAAGGATTTATATATTTATTCAAAGTCCTTTATTTGATCCCAAATCTACAATATCACTCGTAGAAAACACAAAAAGAAAACAAAGTACAGAATCATATGCAACTTCAGTGGTATCAATCGATCCCAATAGTATTTTTTCTCTCCCAGTGATCTTGAATGAAGATGCAATTTTGATCCAATATTCTTGAGTTTTTTTTAAAAAACAAATATTGTTTCAAAAGTGAGGATTAATGTGTTTCATGATGGTGATCAGCCTTCCACCATCATCACTTAGCCAAGGTTTTGCCAACTCTGCTATTGGCTCGTTAAAATTGAAAAGGTTCTCAATTAATACCCACCAATCAATATTTACCTTCTTTTTTCTTTTTTTTTGGTTGTGCCAAATCAATATTTTGACCTATTGAACATGTTCGATATGCCTCATTCCTAAGAATGGCATGGAATGATGGTTCATGTAAGAGAGCTGGCAAAAATATTGGATTCCATAGCATCTTCCTTCTCTAAATTTCATCTTTTCCAGCAGGCTGCAACAGTGTACCAGGCAATACATATATGATTATGAATGCAAAATCTGTCAAGCCACAAGTACACACAAATGCAATGAGAAAAGGGATTCAATTTTCACAAGCACATCAAATAACATCATTCTATAATTTTTATGGAGTATGCAGCTGCAAAAGGGTAGAAGATACACTATGAATGAAGATTAAAAGCTCAGTCTTAATCTTAGCTGAATTCTAAAAACCTGATAAAAAACTATGTCGAAATTAGTATGACCGCAAAAACCAATCAACTTCCTACTATATTTACATATGACATGATGATACCTTAACTCAGCTTTAAGACCACAAAGCTCTCCGAGCTAGAAGCAATGAACCTTAACAGACATTGGCTTCATTTCTTCTTTTTCGGTGCAAGCGAACTGGGTTTTGGGAACTTGAACATTGACCTTCCAAAGAATCCTGATGTCTTTGACAACTTCTTTCCAGCAGAGTGATTGTCATTATCTTTAGATGCATCAAGGTCAGATCCAGAGCATTCTTGCTCATCAACGTAATCGATATCTCTTAAGAGCCGTAGCACTTCCAATGCACTTATCATTGCTCTCTCTTTCCCATTGTTAGATAAAAAGACAAGAGGAGGGATAACACCCTCATGCATGACCAAGTGACAAAATTCAACACGCTGAGAGCATAAAGAAAGGAGGATAGCAACAGCATGCTCTTGGTCCTCACTACTGCCTGTCTCAAGTACTTCAGCAATAGAAGCAATGCATCCGCTAGTTTCAGCAATGGAAATCCTGGCCTCTTCAGTATCACACAAATTTTTCAATATGGAAATGCAGTTTCCTGCAAGAGCGTCATCTTTAAAGAAGGAAACCAGTTTTGGGATGCACTCCAAAGATACAATTTTTGGACAAATGTCTCTGTTTAAGGACAAATTATACAAAACCTTAATGGCTTTTTCTTGTATATCTTTGATCTGGGAATCAAGGAGTTTTAGAATGGATGAAATTGCACCAGACTCTGAGATCTTAGACCTGCAATGCTCTTGGACAGACACAATTTCCAATATGGCAAGAACAACTTCTATGACCTCTGAATCAAGATAAGATGCCAGCAGAGTATATGCCTCTTCACGTAAGTACGGTATATCATTTCTACATTAGGCAACAAGAAGGAAATTAAAAGAAAAAAATTATAAACCAACCCATAAGCAAAAGCAAGAGCACAGTCAATAAGAGAGTAATGACATAGTTAAGAAATGACTACAGCAAGAATTCCCAGCTACAAAATATAAATTTACCTGTTTTTGCTCACAAAGTTGAACATTAATTTAAATCCATCTCTCTGAGCTTTTACATCATCCAGGTCATGGGCATCCCTCAAAAATTTGATGAGAGGTTCAACAAAATTCTTACATGACAAAGAGTAAGAAGCTTGAGGATTGCATTTCAAATGGCTTTCGACATCTTTGACAACCTTGCATTGGGATTCCCATGGGAGCTCACCAAGTTTAGATAGAAATTCCGAATCTGTCTCACAATTTTTAGCATACCCGTATTTCAGAGAATCGTCGTACTCCTGCACCAAACTCAAGCCACTTTCTATCTTTGTGCGTGAAGAATCTGAATTGTAACTAGTATCTAAGGATCCAAATGATACATTGCTGAGATCCATTTGCAGATGTATATCATTCATAGAACTGCCCAAACTAGCAATGGAAGTGGAGGAGGTTTCCCATGAGAGGGTTTCTGGTTGCATACTTGGGTCGGGAATGGTCACTCCATACTCTGTACACCACCTTGATATTAACTCCTTCATGGCAACGTTTGGAGTAAATGACAGGTGGGTGAGCTTCATATGAGTTTTTGGGCATGTGTCATGACCCTCATCAAACCACTTCTGTATCCACTTCTTTTCGTATGTTTGTCCAGAAGCAATAACAACAGGATCATACATCAATCTGGAAGATATTCCGCATAAAAATTCCTCAGGAGGTACAGTTCTATGCAACATGTCACTTCGATTATATTGATTATATTTAACATGAGGTTCAGCTTCAGCATATTGATTATATTCCAAACCATTGCCAGAAGTCTCAGATAACAAGGATCCTTGTTGCCACATAGAGGCCCCCTCTGCTTGCTTCCCCATTATTAAGTGTCCATACTTCTTGATTAGATACAAGAAATATGTCAAAATCTGCTTTTTTGGAAGGTCACTATCACCAACTTTATCTAGCAACTTCTTAATAGATCTTTTCTCTATCAACATTGCCTTTGATGATGTAATATGAAGCCTCCAAGATGCAATTTGAAGAGCCTTGATTTCAGAATCCTCCCTTGAGTTTGATTGAGAAGCATCTTGATGGAGCAATCCATGGACAACCCTCCCAGCCTCTTCTTCGGATGGGTCCAGTATAAAGGTTGCACCTTTAAGATCATCGACTATTTGAGAGATCTGCAGATAACCCTTCATCATCAGCTCCACCAAACAATTGTGACTCAAATTGGAATGAACCAACATAGAAAATTAGAAATTATATAACAAAAATTACATTGACTTAGAAACAGGTTGATGCTGCCAGAAAAAGAAGAAGATTCATAAATGACAAGCTGCTAGAAGCCTAGGACATAAAACTTCAACATCGTTTTGATTCACTGAATCTCTATAAATGTTTGACTAGAGCAATAATAGAACACTGTTATACCGTTGCACACAGGTCACTGGCCAGCACCCCCATCAGAAGGGAGTGTAGGATTGGGGGAAAAAGGAAATATCAAAAGAGCATGTAAATTTTTATTAGGAAAAAGCATGTAAATTGACAAACCTCCGCTACTAACATCACTGGAACCCAATTCTGAATTTCGCGTAAATTTTGCTCCAACAAGTTCCTTGATCTTTGACATCTTGAGACTATCACATCCCCTGTAAATGCCTGCAAGTGAGGCAAAGGAACTATCAACCATAGAAAGACAGGTAGGTACAGAGTTCATAGTGGAGAAACGCACTGAGTATATGACAAGAAATGAAATGCCTTGGTTTTGCATTTCAAAATGACTAACCCCCGTAGGAATTGGAGCAAGCTCCATAAAAAAAAGTTTCTCAAGGGTAAGTTCCATTAGGAAACATGACAACCTAATGCAGAAACAAGTGTAGAGGTTTCCTAGAAAAACCATCCTAGAAAAAGGAAGAAAAGAATGCAGTTATTTATGTTTCTTCCTCCTTTATTTATTCAAGGATCGCCAAATCTTGTTATCTTTTACTTGGCTGGGCAGCATGGAACAATCTCAGTTGCTGTTCCGACACCATATTGACAAATTCAATAAACAGTCTTCTCACTCCATCTACTTTCTTCTACTAAATCATGCAAAGGTACAAACCAGGTAGAGTTTACTAGAATCGCTGCAATGCTGGAGAAGTAGCTTGGCTTTCTCAATTGCGCGAGTTAACAAGCATAGAGCCTGTATTCCCGTTGTGCACCGAGGTCTTGCTGCTTCTATATCTGGAAATATCCGCGAAATTCTATCTACCAACTTCATAAGTTCCGTGCACATCAAACGATGAACCTGTTATCATGAATAACAATTTTGTAAAAATCCAACTAATATGACCACACAATTAGATAAATGCACTTAAAATGTTCAAGGACACAACTATCTCAAGTCTGAGATTGCTTAGAGAATCCATTAGGTTTTACAAGGAACCCTTATCATTTGTCATTTTCCTAATACTAGTTCTCAATTGGATACACTCTAACGTTTCTGTTTGTTTTTCCACGCAAAATACAGAAATATTATTAGGGTCATATTCTGTCATCTTGAAGAAATATCAGTACAAGTTTTTGCGTGGCTTTTCTTGTCCCAAGTTTTATATCAGCTACTGGAAGCTCAACAGCTATTATCTCTCTTTCAAAAACCAACTATTAGTTGGGAAGATGTATATAACTACACTTTGTATACATTTGAACTTTATATTTCATACATCAAAGCAAATACAAACTAGAGCAATTCACAGTTTCATTAGTTTTGTTAAATTTTAAAAATATATATATATGTTTAAAACTAAAAATAAAGGTTGTTTCTTGTCATATGTGATTAAAGCTGATCAGACATTGAATACATAACTACAAGGTGAATGCATATTCAAAGTTGGACATCCCGTATTAAACAAAATAAGAGACTTGTGTGGCATATCACACCTTAAAGGAATGAGGTTTTCTCACAGTCTCCACCCCTTCAGCAGCATCAGTACCCATTCAAGAGGAATTATCTCATATCTGGGTATACAATAACAAGAAAAAGATGGTTACTTTCATATGCTTCAACCATATCTCTGTACATATTATGCAGAAAATCTAATATTGTGAAACAGTTACATGTCAGCATTCTGTAAACATGCATCCCGTATGCAAAACAATGTGACTTCGGTACAAGTTCTAAGCAACAGCAAATTGCAAAACTTTATTTTCGGGTTAAGGCATTAATTATGCTAATTATGCAAATAATGAACAGGAACCGTCAAGAATCCATAAAAAAGAAACACTCAACTTAAAATTAGATTATAAAGTTTTTCACACTCCCATATCAAGAACAATTTGCAGAGTTTGGTAGAGGTCCTAACAAAATCATTTTCAAATATATGCGGCAGAAAAGAAATTTAACCAGTAACAGAATTTGGGAACCAAATAATCATTGCAGAAGACCATATTTGATTGCTTCAACTGGTAATGTTCCTGTTTGGAATCATTTCACCACAAAGATTCATGTATCAGCATTCATGACTGACAATTTTAAGTATATGCAATCTTATTGTGCTTTATATTAAAGATTTTCTATTTCCCACCTAAACAACTATTACTGTTATAAATCACAAAGTTATAGCCCACTCATCATTTGAATTATACTTGAGTTGGAGCTATTTGATAGATTTTGAGAATAAAGTTGAAGACTGCAAAAACTTGTCCAGGACCCTTTCAATCTCTGTTTTGCTTCTTTTTTTCTATAACATACCAATGAAGCTAGATATTAAGAAGCTCTGATCTGATGTATGCTATAAAGCCATATATAAAATAGAGACCAAACTTGATGACAACTATCTAAGAAAAACAAAATTAAGAAAAAATGGACTCACCAAGTGACACAGAAAGTAGAGCTACGTTCACAAGCTCCGTCCTCAGTCTTCAGCCCACAAAGATACGCTAAAAATTGAAAATAACCACAACCCAATTCATATAACCCACAAAATATGGTCTCCAATATATCCACCTTTCACAACCCCTTGAAACTCCAAGTCTCTACAATAACACAAAAGTACCCACTGCCTACAGACTAGCTCTTAAACTACAAGAATTCTCAAAGAAGTTGTCAAATTTCAAGCAGAATTCAGCTTCTTGTACTGATAAACCATCCCATATATGAGAAAGTAAAAGAACAAACAGTATTTTTACACAAACTTTTAAGAAGCCCAGAAAACCACGCAGGGAGCACCAATCAAAGTGCGTAGCTTCTATATCCAAAGCAGAAAACAACCCAGGAAAAAAAGGGGTAATCTTTATCGCAGAAAGTAAAGCATGCCCACAAGGGAGACTAGCAGTTGGAGTCTAGGGGCAACCGAGTCTTTGCACTACAAACAAAACGAATAACTTAATTGAAAACACAAGCTTTAGCTGGTTGTGTTAAGACTTCGAATAACTATAACACGAGAGAGAGAAAGAGAGAGAGAGAGAGAGAGCAGTCAACGAGCATGAGGTTTTACTGGTCGTCTTTGTCACAAAGTGAGAGAAAGAGAGCGAAGAGAGAGCAAAGACCCAGTGGGTTCTTCTGTCTCACTCGCAGACATCGCATAACAAAACGAAAAACTCAATTGAAAACACAAGCTTTATCTGGTTGTGTTAAGACTTCAAATAACTATAACACCAGAGAGAGAGAGAGAGAGAGAGAGCAGTCAACGAGCATGAGGTTGTACTGGTCGTCTTTGTCACAAAGTAAGAGAGAGAGAGAGCAAAGACCCAGTGGGTTCTTCTGTCTCACTCGCAGACATCACATAACATTGAAGCAGCGTGACATGCCTGTCACGACTGTGATCAATTTTACCGTGCGAAATGGTGGTAGCTTGGGCTCCACCTTATAGAATATGATTGTTAATAAACTGTAAATTAATTACATTGGAGCGATGGCTGTGATGGTGGGTTCTCGTGAATCTGAGTGGCCATTTGTAAAACGTCAAAAGAAGCTGACCATTCAAATGCGCAGGCTATATTGAAGAAGTCTCAACAGGGGTCTTCAAATACTAGAAACAGTATTGACCAACAAAAAAAAACTAGTGAACACGGATAAATGTAAATGCTCTTAACTTAATCACTTAAACTACATTCACAGGATTTAACTTAGTGAAAAAGAATTTTGATTTGCAAATCAGAGATCTCATATTCAAAATCCCCATAATATCTTAATTGTGTATATGAGAAATACCCTTCTTCTGTACTGTACATACTATTGTTTGTACTTAAAAAAAACCATTTCATCTGCAAGCCATCTACTTTTCTTTTTCTAATTCAAGGAAAGAAGGAAAAAAAAATCCAAATAGAATGAGAACCATTCAGAAAGGCCTGACCCCATTGGCCTTTGGGTGTGGCTTTACGACAGCAAAAGGGACCTTTTAAAGTGACCAAAGTGAGTGGTAACGTGTGGGGTCTACTAGCAGAAAAAAAATCTGAGATTAAGAAGCATCCAAGGGACAAAGGCCCTCGACACAATAAGCATGGGGTACGAGTGAACGTAGAAGGAAGGGAACATTTGAAATGCATTATTACCATAATGACTTTTCTTGGAAATAACCTTTGAGCCAAGAAAATAAGGAATTAAACACACCAATCCTTGTATGGCCAAATCCTATCTTGTCTGCTCACTCTGACTCGGCTGACGCCTGACTTGTTAAAGATTAGGTATATAATTAAATTTGTATAATAATATTCTCAATCTTCTTGATAAGTTAACATAGTGGTCAAATCGGTTGATGTGAATTGAGGATTGGCGTTTGTTTGATACAAGAAACAATATGGACAATGAGTTTCAATTATATGATAATGTGATAGAAAAAATCTTAAGTGTAACCAGCTTTATGGTATATTTTTTCGTAAAAATATTTAAAATATGATAAGTAACTGTAATAATTTTTTTTAAGTGAAACCAATTCTAGAGTAGATTTTCTGGTAAAAATATTAGGAAGATGATGGGTAGATGCAAGCCATTTTGACAGAAGAAATAAGATATTAAGTTAGTTCTTATTTATGGCTCATATTCATTTGTTTCATGTGTTTGTCGATTACATGACTTTGATGATGAATTACCAACGTTAGCAATAATTGTCAAAAAAAGAAAAGAGCAAGTGGCTAGTGAGGGACAAATATTGATTACATGACTTGGTTGCATGACTTTGTTTCGTTCTCTTGCCCACATTTTATCGTTCAACGCAAAAGATTTCAACTCATTCATACAACTTTTTTTAATCTCAACCGTTTCGTTGAAAAGCTTGTAAATCTTCATCTTATTTCTGTGGAGGTTTTCAACTGTTTCTTTTTTCTTTGTTTGTTGGGATTTCCTCTTTTCACAAGATTACAGTTGCATTCTCAGCATAATCACTGACAAATTTCCTGAATGTTTATTTGTTGGGTTGGTTAATAAAATATGAAAGGGTAATTTAAAATTGAAAAAAGAAGAAGAGGGGAAAGGCTTTCATAGAAAAGAAAGGTCAAAAAAGGCAATTAAATCTGTAGCAAAAACTATTATATTTTAGCTTTAAGACGTTCAAGACTTATTTTTTTTTTTTTTTTTTTTTTTTTTTTTTATTTTTTTTCTTTCATTTTTTTATGTTTTTTCTCATACCAAAGTCTAAACCAAGTCTACCATTGAGAAGGGGTCAAGTTGACATTACAGAGTATAAAATATGATCAGTGGACCTTCTGGATATTCAAAATTTCATTTCATTCATTCAACAACAAAACCCTGAAAGGATCTCTCTCCCTTTCCGTATTCTTTGATTCATTTGGTAGAAACCCATTTTCAATTTTAGTAAATTTAGGTTTTAGCCATAAAAAAATTTTCACTTTTGGAAAAAGCCAAAACTTTTTCAAAAAATACAGAAAAACCTCTCAACTTTCAAATCAAAGACATGCAAGTGTAAATGATTTCTTAGGAAATCCAAAAATAAATAAGGGCAAATTTGTCAATTTTGGCTTCTTTTACAAAATTTCTCTCTCCTTTGGGTTTTTCCAAAGTCTCCCTTTGATTTTAGAGGAAAAAGAAGGGTTGTGAAGTGGGCATAAGCCCTGGCAGCTTCCTAAACCAGAAGAGATAAGCCATCCACCACCAAGGGACCAACCTTCCACAATTTGTTTGGAAAATTAATTTCTCTTTATGCTTTAATTAATTAAGATGGATTGTTGGGTTTTGGTTAATTGATTGAGTTTTTGTTTTGGTTATTTCGTATACATTTTTTTGAATTTATATATTTGTATATATTTTTTGTTTTTAATTAATTAATAAAAATTGTTGAGGTTTGATTAAATGATTAATATGGTGAATTGGTTAATATTTCAATGTGGTGTTTATTTGTATATAATTAACATGTTGAATTGGTTAATATGATTAATATATTTTTTTTAGCCTTGTAAATATCGTTTAAATTATCATGGTATTTGGTTTTTTTTTTTGGTTAAACTTTTAGCCTTTGAAATATTGCCCCTTCCTCGAAAAATTTATGGGTTCACCGCTGGCAATATTCCACGAAACATGCCTAATTGCCTCCTCCTCTAACAGATTTGGGCAAAATCACAATTGCATGACCTCTGACATGTGAAGGAAAACTGGCTAGCCTCTCTGTAAGTTAGCATATATTATTATCCAAACCACACGTAATTGCATAAGTTGGGTGGAGCAAACCAAATTTTGCAAAGTGCATGTGTGAGGGCTTCAAAGTACAACGTGCAAAAACAATGGCCCTTAAAATTTGATCTTAAATCTCATTTGCTTTTTGTAACCCATCATTTTCACACTGAAAAATTGAAGTCGGGGCTTATCTATCTGGCTTGTGGGTTTGCGTTTCCAAGTTGCTCACATACGAAAGCATGGACGGATTTAGCTTTCTTTGACAACAAGATTCTTCTGTGCGTTGCATACATCACCTTTTAACTGGCCTAAATGACTTGCAGCGACCAACTTTCGACCACCTTTCAGAAAACGCTTCTAAAAGCTCGCATGGTTTTAAATTTGCAGCATTTTCAATCATGTGGTGGAATTATTTCTTCGTTGATTTGTGACGTCACACTTGATAATTTATCTTCTTGAAAAGCAAGTGCATAGGGCCTTGGTTGGAGAAATTTTTTTCTTTAGCCAATAACGGGAGATGGCCTAAGGAGCTAGAATTGAGACAGGGGTCAAAGCTCACATTACAATATTCGAGAATAAAATATGCTCAGGTTGAATGATATTATAGCTCAATACATTTGGGTCAAAAGACACAAAAATAATAAATTTGGGCCTCTGGAGGCCCAAAAGAATTATTAATACTATTATTTTTCCAATAAAAAGCTGTAAGCCTCCATTTTAGTATAGGAACTATTAAGGGCCGAAAAAACTGTCCAACAGCTATGAACAGGCTTCCATTTTAGCACAGAAACTATTGTGAATTGTCAATAGACAATCTTGTAGCAAAAGCTTCTCGGCTCCACAAATCAACCATATGCAGGCCACACGACGAAACCAAACTCCAGTTCAGAACCAAAACCAACTCCGAAAAAGCTAGACATGGTTCTAATTCTAGAACAGAAACATTGCACAAGCAAATCAGTGGTTGAAAATTGAGTAACCTAAAGTGGTTGGTATGTTTCAAATCAGGTCCCTCAGCATCCCTCACAATAATTGGATTGTATCTTGTCCAACCCGTTCAAGCCTCAGACCTTTTATCACCTCCAAGAACATCAACTCGTGGAGGAAGAACAAAAGGCTAGGCCTTTAACTTTTTAATGTAAAACAAACTCAACACGCACAACACATGTTGGGTGACGTGGGAGCACGTATGGTCATTGGGCTCAACACGTGAAGCATCGTTTTGATACTATGAAAAAAGTTGAAATTCCACCCAAAAACCAATCGGCAATGGGAAGAATAGTCAAATTCATCTAGGTCCCTTAACTTTTTAAGGTAATACAAACACTCTCAACAAAAACAATGGTGCGTGGAACTTATCCTTGAAAGAAATGGTGTGTGCCGGTGTGTTTATGTGTACTCCACATCACAAAGGTACAAAGTGATGCGACTAGTCTATATATGCTAATTAACACACAGGTCTTTTCCAATGTGCCGATAATTTGGAAACCGAATCACTAAAGAAGCAGATTCAGAGTCACTAGAAAACTATTTAAAGATGAAGGAATTTTGTGTACTTTGATCCCCTTAAAAGGGTGGTTCGTTCTCATGCTTACGCTAGCTTAGCAGATAGAGATGCCTTAATCAGGAGCAAGCAACCTGCAGAGCTCAAAGCATGAAAAATCGAATTGAATTTCGGTATAAAGATGCACATAAATATATGTGTTCCATTCACAACTTTTTAATCCCCATCAAATTTCACAGAGCAAAAAGAAACAATGGGGAGACAAAAATCTCTGCAAGACTATTACAGCTATAAGGGTAAAAGCAAAAGGAATCTATAGGCATGCATATTTACTTTGATGGACGTAGACTTGTGATGAGGTGATAAAGATTCCAGTTATACATATATATATATATATATATATATCTGCAAAAGATTAATGATGTATTTGAATGTAAGGGTCAGTGGCAGTACATGAGTACAGATTCTCTCCCTCTACTTTTCCTAAAGTCCCTCTCAACCAATGATCATATCAACCGACCTCAACAATAGTGGCACAGCACAATATCTAGATTTTTGTGGCTGTGTTTTTTAGGATGATTTTGAGGGACTTGGATCAGCAAATTAAAGCTAAAAAACATTTTCCAGTTAATTATTAATCTAGTGCTATAATTTTGCTCTATTCATTTACAAGAAGTGTCAAGTCCGAATCCCGAATCCCGAATCTCCAGATTTAAAAACATTTATAATATTCTCACAAGTTCAAATTGCCAAAGTGTATAATTCCTTATCAAAGTAAAATTAAGCATATATTTATCTACCAATGATTTGTTGAGAGAGTTGAAATTCATGATTCTTAATCCCAGCTTCTGCTTTGTGAGCCAAGAAATCTAAACTATTGCAGATTCTAGACTCTGTAGCAATGAAACAAAATAATATGCAACTTGCATGCAAAAGGTATCAGCCAATTAGCGATTTATCTCAAGAATATACCAAACATTCCAAGCAGCCATAGATTTTGGTCCAAGAAAATGAGTCCATATCTTGTTTGGAATAATAGCAAGTGGAAGAATCAAAGATCACCAAGATATGTTTTACCAGAGATAAAAATGAGAAAAGAAGAACAACAAAGCAGCCTGAAAAAGAAATATCGGCAAGGAGATCGTCCAAGATTCGAAAGCGGTCCAGTCGAATTCATATTGACCCAAATGAGTTGCTATCAGCATGACTTTGAGCTCAAAACTTATACCATGTGAATTGCATAGCAGATAGTTACCTCCATTTGTGCAGGAAGTTTTCAAACAATATTGGAATCTGAAACCCAAAAGGCAAAAGATGGAACCTTTATAGGCTCTGCTTTTGAACCATATTCATACTGCTGACATACAATCTTAAATACCAAGCCTTGCCCATTTCCAAACACGGGATGGGGATGGAGAAATTACATGGAAAATCAACTAACTCTTGTATTCTGCATTGACTTTCTTCCATTTAAAAAGGCAAACAAGTAAGCAGATTTATGAAGTAATGAACACTAGAAACAATCTTAATTTCATGACCAGAATCTCAAGTAGGTTTTATCTATTCTTGCACAAGCTTCCCGTTTTTGGAAAATGATTAAAAGCATATAATAGTCATTAACACTCAAATGGCAAACAAATTGATGTCAAAATCAGATAATTAGCAATGACAAGGAGGTGATACAAGTTGCAATCTTATCCCAAAAGGGCCCTTTGCTTATTAAAAACGTATTGCTGCTATCAGTGTCCTCTCTCTCTCTTTTATTAGTCATATTCCTATTATCCTTATTTGGGAGAAATTCTGGAATATATACAGCTTTAATTTTGCACCACTAATAATGCTTTAGTTAGACCAGTACCTTCGTTAAGAAGAACCCATTGGCCTGTTAGTGCTGAAGAACTATATGGATCAAACCAAACAAAGGGAAAAAAAAAGAACCATCTTGCCAAACAAAAGCAATATAAACAAAAGAAAAATGGAAAACAAATATCTGTTTACAGCAGCCAAGCAAGTACTGATACATTATGTGTTTTCAGTTGCTGCAATTACCAGTATTTCAAATGAGTCTGCTTCAGTCGGCTAGCTAATAACAAGAACTGGCCGGTAACTAATAAAGGAGGACCAACTTGCTGGTCATTAGATCAAAGGAATATAGTTCCAGTGAAAATAAAATAAAATAAAAGGGCCCCCAGCCCTGTCATACTGATTCTCCTCTAGCAATTGATGTTCCTTGTCCTGGCTCTTAAGGGAACGGGTCACTTCATATTCTGCCCTTTTGGAAGATATATTCGGCCAACTGGCTTAACCCCACCATCCCTTTTTAGGCTTCTCCTCCTGCTTATAAGGAGCTCACTTGGTTATCTATTTTCTCAAGCCATTCCTTGACTTCAGTCTTCAAAGTAACCAATCTTCCTCGACTTAGAAGGCCAAAAAACCACCATTCTTTTCCCTTCTTTCCCTTCCTTTTGGGTTCAGTCTAGTACCTCTTCTTAATAAGTGCTTTTAGATTATCTGTAGAAGTGCTTTTCATGGCATCCAACTCACTTACTTCTTCAAGAAACTCTAACTCCTCGTGGACTCCTAAGCAAAACAAGCAGTTCGAAAAGGCCCTGGCTTTGTATGACAAGGATACCCCGGACCGCTGGCAGAAGGTTGCCAGAGCTGTGGGTGGGAAATCTGCTGAGGAGGTGAAGCAGCACTATGAGATCCTCCTTGAGGATGTCAATCACATTGAGGCCGGCAGAGTCCCATTTCCTCGTTACCGGGGCGACTAATAAGGCCAATAGTTTGAACTTTGAATGGCAGCGGTACTTAACTAGTTCCTCTCTACTGTTTTTTTTCTTCTTCCTTTTCTCTTTTAACATTTTGCTTTGCAGTCCATAAACAAATGACCATTTCTGGTACCCTGTATTGGACCGGACTGGACTATATTAAACTGGTGGATTGTATTCAAAGGATATGTTGCAAATATGACTTATGAACTTAATGACAGAATGCTGGTTGTTCCCGGTTAAAATGAACAAGATGGGCAACACCATTTTCTGATGTGGGTAGTTGTATCTGTCCACACTTGAGTTCATGTAGCCATGGGAACAGCTGGTTGAGTTATGTATCTACTATCTCCATTTCCTAGTCCCTCCTAGAGCTTCCTTTTTTTTTACTTTCTTCTTTTCTGGTGGGGACAACAGAAAAGTCGAGGAAAGTGAAATTGAGAAGTACTTCTGAAGTGCTTGTTCTCAGTGTGATCCATCAGTTTCTGCAACTGATCAATAGGCTAAAATCCTACTCCCTCACCTAACTACTTATCATTATACAATGTATTTAATGCAAACAGGAAATACATGACCACACTAGTTCAACTTCTTATCCTGTCTCTAGGCCAAAGAAAGCCCACGTCTGATCTAATCCTACCTCCTTTTGGATAACATATGCCAATGCTCCTATGGACCTAATACATTGGCCTGATGAGGATTCTCTAGCATACCCAACTCAATATTTTATCCTTTCTTTGCAACCCATATGAACCTTTTGGCTTTTGCCTATGCTTGGATTTAACTTTTGGAATTCTTCACATTTTTGCAGGCTGGTTTAAAGTCTCTCTGCAGACTGAAACTTACGTTTCTCTATAAAAAAAAATCCACCTTGCAGGGTCTTCAAGTATATGATATCTAACGTTTCAATGAAGTTGAAGATGCAAACTTGTGAAAAGTAGCAGATGCAGATATGTATGTAAATGAAGCAGTTTGGGTTTTGTGCAACTAAGTGAACCATTGTTATGGCTTTTCAGTGTACCAAGCACCATGTATTTGTGTATGAAATTTTCAGTACTTGTATGATTATGACGTTTGCAAAAGCATATTTCTTTCCTTTCTGTTAATCCATAGATGCAGGGGTCAAATGGGGTGGTCTTGTCCCTTTCCCAATCTCATCCCTTCCCTATTGTTGTCCAGCTTGAATTCCCCATCCTTGGGGATGAGATTTGTACTACAATCAGCACAGCACAATTACAATGTAGGCTAGAAAAATGAAGATGTTCTCCTGGAATGGTAGAGAAAACTTGAGCTATACGGCAATCAGAGCATGCAACTTGAGCTATACGGCAATCAGAGCATGCAAAGTGATCTAAATGGAGGTGATTATTGACTTAATTACATCAACATCAACATAATCATGAATGATAATTAAATGATAATGATATCTATGGGGAAGCTTGATGGAATCTAAAAAGTCAAAAAGGTTGTAGAGAACTTGATGGCTGACCTGACAGATTCTGGACTAAAGTATCAACCAAGAAAGACGGCCACGAGGGGAATCTAAATGTTATATTATAGCCTCTAACTTGAGTACTAATTTAGTTAAGGGAGAAGTCAAATGGAGTGAGTGAATTCAAATTCTGACCTGTGAAATAAATATCAATATTTTCAGCTGCTAGAGCTATACAATTATGTTGGATATAAGAGCAATTCCACCCATTTGCCCTTTGCCATGACAAAGGGGGGCTAGGGCAGCCACTATTCACGTGAATAGTGATTGCCCTTGCAAAAATCCATTTCCATTTCCACCCGTTGCTATGACAAAGGTTAATTACTATTCATTTTTTTGTTTTTTTCACAAATTTTTTTACCTCAATAATTATTTTGGATAATATTTTCGGATAAGATTTTCAGGTTCCTACGTGTCAAGACTATTCATAATTAGATAAAATTTCCGAATAAGATTTTTGGATTCAAATTTCTGATGAATTTTAAAATTCAAAATTCAGATAAATTTTTGGGTTCAAATTTCTGATGAATCAAAATTCAAAATTCAGATAAATTTTTCGGTTCAAATTTTGGTACCAAAAAATTCTAATTTTTTTTTCTATAAATACCTATAAATACCCTTCACTTTCAACACAAATCCTCATACATTTTCTTCTACTTCTACTATTATCTACTCTTACTCAACATTTTATTCTCTTTCAAATTGTATTTTTATTTCTTATTGAAATTTATCTGAATTTTGAAATTTGAAATTCCATAATTTTATTGCCAAAAAAAGCCCAGCCGTTGGATTGGAGGAGGAGCAAATCGGAGCGCCCAGGCGAAGACACGTGTCTTCTAGCCGTTGGAAATGGGCATGGTTGATGTTAGCGCACGTGAGTTCAAAATTTTTTTACCGTTGGCGCGTGCATTGCATGCGCCTATGGTAAAAAAATTTGAACTCCGCACGATGACGTCATGCATGACATCATCCTCCCCTCGAGCTTCAACTCGGGCGAAACCTGCCTTCGAGCCAGCCCGTGCTCGTGGGTTCCATAGCCTGCCCGGGCAGTAGTGGCCCGCTGGAAATGAGTCTTTAATAGCCATCAAATCAATTGCAAAACTATTAAGGAACAATTAAATTAAACCATTCAGTACATCCGTCCACCATAGTCGAATTTTTTAGTGAGGGCGCCCTTAGCAGATGATGCCCTATTTTTTTAATCATTGAATTAAACTAACTAATTTGATCAAACAGCTTTGATCTAACGATTGCGAGATAAGATCTCATTTAACATCCTTAGATGAAGCCTTCACTACCGAATAACTCCCTCACCATATCCCCTAGTTGGGCCTATTTTGTAAATCATTTGGGTCAGCCTCTTTTGTAAATCATTTTGGTTCAACCCCAAATTCCCAGTCCACTTTGTACCCTTGAAGAGAGAGATACCACAAACCGGGTCAGGATAATGGACCAAGTGCATCCAAACAATCCCTGACCTACAGTGGGGTCCACGTGTATGTCCCAGTTGGTTAATTGGTTTATTCTCCACGCAAGCCCTCCCTCCTAGATCCTAGAAGGGCCGAGTGAGCACCTTTCAATGTTTCCGTTTAAACCCTAGAGTTCAGGGTTTAAGGTTGAAAGAGGTTTATGCTCGCACAGACATTTGAGACATTTGAGTTTACGCCCATGAATTCTCGAACTTAGAAATCCAATCAAAAGCAAAGCTCGAACCTTTATCCATGGCTGCCTCGAAAATATCTTCGTGCATAGCAATGGCGGTCGCCGCGGCGGCTTCCATGCCCGCGCTCTCCAACCGCGCCTACGCCGACTCTCCCTTCCGTTTTAATCCATTCTCATCTTCTTCTCCTTCTGCTGAGCCAACGGACCAGAGCTCTAATGCGCAATCGGTGCCTGAAGCTGAAGAGCCCAGAGGGTCGGGGATGGATCCCGAGGCTTTAGAACGAGCTGCCAAAGCTCTCCGGAAAATCAATTCCTCGAAATACGCCAAGCAGGTAATTTAAATGTTGCTGAAGTTGAAATTTTTCGTTGGTGTTTGTTTTCTGAGAAAAAGGATGGAAAATAGAAGAAAGATACAACTGTTTTAGTCTTAGGGCTCTATTGTATCACTAAGAAGGAAATGAGGGATGAAATCAGAATGCTTAATTCCTGATTTTCTGTTCCTTTTGTTTCTATAATTTGGCTTCACGTGTTTCGGTAGCCATTTGGTAGGAGTCCTTAGTTTTATCTGTATGTGTTCCTACAATTACTATGCCCACGGCTCTACCTTTGTTGTTGTTGGAGCCATTGAAGCATATGAATTGAAATGTGTTTTTCTTTTTATTCTGCATGAGGTTTCAACGCAACTGAATTATGATCTGAGATTAATCTTTACATGGAGTATGTTAAAGGTGTTAAATTGGTCACTTGGTCTTGTTCTCCAGGTCTTTGATCTGATGAGGAAGCAGGAACAAACTCGCCTTGCTGAGTCGGAAGCAGAGAAGAATCATCATCAAGCAATACAAGCTCAAAGTGATATTGTAAGTTTATCCATCTTAGAACTTTAGTCATCTTGTGGTGTTATTATTTCAAAGATAACTATCACACGAGATTGGCACCTGGTCCTTTCCTTTGTTGTACCTTGGGTTAGGTAATTTGTTTTCAATTAATGAAACATATAATGTTCTAGGTTTTTAGCATTTAGGTTTAGCAAATTGTGAAAGCCAGCATGCTAATCAATCTTGTGAGAGAATAAATGTGGTTTGCTGTGTCTTATCTTTCCTCTATGAATTTTAACTTTACTGCATAGTTTTTTTATTGACAGGAAAGGCAGAGGAAAATGGCTGAGGAACAACGAAATATAGTGCAACAACAAGCACAAGCAAAGGCACAAATGCTTCGTTATGAAGATGAACTGGCTAGGAAAAGATTACAGGTGCAAGCAGTGGAATAAATTATGTGTTCTTTATCTAAGAATTTATGGTATCTAGCACTTAGACTTTGTAAGTTCTTACCACTGAAGGGAGTCACTATTAGCTCTCAATGGTGGTGGGCATATTTTGAGAATATGTCTATATAAATCTGGCATGTCTTGCTTATAATCAAGAGAGTAGCTACTCTCTTACCAAAAAATTGGTCAAGTCAGTAGTTGGTTTAACAAATTCTCAAACATTGGTAAAGTCTTTAACTACTCTCTAATTCTGGAGCAAGAAAAGATAGGTTTGTTTTATCTTTTAATATTCAATTATTAACTCCTGGTTATTGAAACCTTACTTTATTGTCTACTTGAATGCAGACAGATCATGAAGCCCAGAGGCAGCATAATGTTGAGTTGGCTAGGATGCAAGAAGAGTCCTCTATGCGAAAAGAGCGAGCAAGACAGGCTACCGAGGAGCAGATCCAAGCTCAGCAGCGTCAAACCGAGAAAGAGAGAGCTGAAATAGAACGAGAAACCATTAGAGTAAAGGCCATAGCAGAGGCTGAAGGTCGGGCCCATGAGGCAAAATTGACTGAGGACCATAACAGGAGAATGCTTATAGAGCGGATGAATGGTGAAAAAGAAAAATGGCTTGCTGCAATCAATACAGCTTTTAGTCACATTGAAGGTATGCAAAATTCAGTAGCTGTGTTTTATTTTATAGGAAAAAATCTGAGGCTCATATTATGTACATGAATAACCAACTGTTGCTTCAGACAGATTGAGTAAAATGTTGTCTTTTCTAATTTCTCTGGTGGTGGCAATAGTGCCACTTTTATCTTGAGTTCGTTGGAACACATTTGTTTGATATCATATTTTTGACATCACGATAATGTTTGATGATATAATCGTCTCATCTGGTATCTGCAGGGGGTTTTAGAACTTTGTTGACTGATAGGAATAAGTTGGTTATGACCGTTGGAGGTGCCACAGCACTGGCCGCAGGTGTTTATACGACTAGGTTCGTATTCTGTTCTTTTTGCATTCAAACCCAACTGCCCTATATATTACTTCTTTTTGGCATGTTTCAACTTAATTAGGATACACATGGGTTTTATGTTGAAGGAGCAGAGTTTATCAGTCCGTTCTACTACTTCTAAACCTCCCCATATAAACTGGCAAGGAACCTAGTCTGCACAATGAGAGGTAGCCCTCTCCCATCCAATAAACCCGCTTAACCTTGGTGTAGACAAGATTCAACCTCTTGTGTGACCACAAGACACATCCTAACTAACCAGTTGGTACCTTCCAGAAATGCTACTTTATAGCTTTGTAGTAATCATTGCACTGCAACCTTTCTATTTCTTGTGTCCAATTACACAGGTGGACAGATGATAAGTTTCAGTCTCTCTCTTAATGATGATGTCAAGTTAATCAGTAATGCCTTTTACTGTGTTGATGTGATAAACTTTTAACGGAATTATGATATCAAGTTCTTCATCTGTGGTTTGTGATGACTGTATTGTTTATTGGATGTGCCAACTAATTGTCTTTTGATATCCTTTCTTTTCTACAGAGAAGGTTCTAGAGTTATATGGGGTTATATCAACCGGATACTGGGGCAGCCATCTCTGATTCGAGAATCATCCATTGCAAGATTTCCAGGTTCAGAGATAATATCTAAAGCAAAGAATAAAGTTTTAAATTATAGTGCTGGTGCTGCAGCATCTGGATCTCTGCAAGGCAAGAATGGTCTTTCAAATATCATTCTCCATCCCTCGTTGCAGAAGAGAATAGAACTACTTGCTCGAGCTACAGCAAACACTAAGGCTCACCAGGCTCCCTTTCGCAACATGATGTTTTATGGCCCCCCAGGCACTGGTAAAACCATGGTTGCCAGAGAAATAGCTCGAAAATCGGTATTTCACTGATTCATGGCCTTACATTATTTCTCTTGTCATTGGTGCTCATTTATATGCCTTACTTAAACCTTTTTATATGTTCTACTGCCTCGCTGGGACAGCACCTGTGCATGGGGAGATCTTTATAGGTCAAATGAATGCAACTGCTTGAATAGTTAAAAGCTTCATTTTGTTATCAATTAAAATGAATGCTAATTTTCATCAATTTTTTTGTTTGTTTTATATATTGAATTACTTTATTGTTGGATCAAAATTCTTAGGATTACAAATGACTATGTTTGTAACCATATATAAACGGGAGTTATTCTGAAGGAAACTGTTAACTTCTCAACATGACAGTTTTTTATCCTTTCGAATGCAGGGTTTGGATTATGCTATGATGACCGGAGGAGATGTTGCACCCTTAGGCCCACAGGCTGTTACTAAGATCCATCAGATATTTGATTGGGCAAAAAAATCAAACAAAGGTCTACTGCTTTTTATTGACGAGGCAGATGCTTTCCTATGCGAGTAAGTTCGAGTTTTCAGGCTATCTGTTTTTTCATCTGTTGCACGCTTTAAAAAAAATAAAATAAATAAAAAAAGCTTGGGATTAACTTCCATTAGTTTATAGTTTCAGAGGGTGCAACCTAGATTTTCATTACCTTATAGCTTCAGTCATATATATAAGCTCAATCAGCAGGCCTCTAATGAATGTTCCCATGCAGGCGTAACAGTACACACATGAGCGAATCTCAGCGTAGTGCTCTAAATGCATTGCTCTTCCGAACTGGAGATCAGTCAAGAGACATAGTTCTAGTACTTGCCACAAACAGGCCAGGTGATCTTGACAGTGCTATCACTGACCGCATAGATGAAGTGATTGAGTTCCCAATCCCTGGAGAGGAGGAACGATTTAAACTTTTGAAGCTCTATTTGAACAAATACCTTTGTGATGAAGGTGAAAGCTCTAAGTCAAGCATTTTTGTGAAGAAGAAGCCACAAAAAATAGAGATAAAGGATTTTTCTGATGATTTGATCCGAGAGGCGGCCCGTAAGACAGAAGGGTTCTCTGGCCGTGAGATAGCAAAACTCATGGCCAGTGTCCAAGCAGCTGTGTATGGGCGCCCAGACTGTGTATTGGATTCCCAATTGTTCAAGGAAATTGTAGATTACAAAGTTGCAGAGCACCACCAAAGAATAAAACTAGCCGCTGAAGGTGGCCATCCAGCTTAGCTATGGAATTTTTACCCTGGCTTGAGTGGATAGAGAAGCAGCGATTGAACATCCATCAAAATCCCATAGGGTAGAAATTTTTGTCGTGTCGATTTATGTTTTACATTTTCCATGATTTTGGAATATGTCATTCATTCAATAGTCTTTGTTAATTGATGAAGCATGTTTCCTTGGGCTAGTCATCCCCACTTTTACTCTCTTCTTAACTTACAACAGTTTTACTCTCATTTCACATTTTGCTTAAAAGTGAGTCTACTCTCATCCCCTATATCTTTCTATCTCTCTTCTTTCCCCAATTCCTAACAAACCATCCTTTGGAGGTGCTAATGTCCACATATATAAATTAAAATGAACATTATTAGCCAAAAAATCAAGACTATACAAACTAGTTATATATTTTTATTTTTTTTATTACATGGAAGTTTGAACATTAGAATTCAAAATTTCTCAAAATGACGAAGTTAGCCTTTCAGCATTATATATATATATATATATATATATATATATATATATATAGCCGTGGAGCTTCATGAAGAACTCGACCCCTTTTTTATAAAATTTAATTTTTTGACTCTCTGTATTCACCAACTTTATCTATATACATTTTACGGTCTTGTTTTAAAGAAGCAAGTGGTTCAAATTTGAGTAAATGACAGTCAGGTAATTTGGTGAATAATAAAATCTGATAAATAAATAATAAATTTGGTGAGTGTAAATTATAATAATGCCCCCAGTCAAGTTACCTTTAAACCCTTATCGCAAAATGCAATTAAAGACCAAACATTCTCACCATCGCGCTTGGCAAGAACAACCAAGAGATTTGTCCTAACTCTTCGCTTCGCAAACTGCAAATTTAAGGCGCAGAGGGAGATGCGGCCAACGCTGCTTTGGTCAAAGCAACAGGTGGAGACAAGGCAGCAATACTGCATCGCGCCCTTTTCTAACGGTCTGAGTAACTGCCACCATGACCCGACGCATATATATACACAGGCCATCAAACAAACACTTCATAGGGAAAAAAGAAAAGAAGAAAAACAAGTTTGTGTTGTTCAGAGAGAAAGAGCGAAAGAGAAATTGAAGGATGAGGAAGAGAGTAGCGTTGTTGCTGGTGCTATGGCTGGCTATGTCGGTGGGGACTTGGGGTGAGGATCAGAACGCCGAAAACAATGATTCATGGACTGGCTGGGCCCGTGACAAGCTCACAGAGTAATTTCTTCGTCTTTTCTTTTTCTTATTTACTTTCAAGTTTCTTCCTTTTTTGTGTGTGCATATAATGAAAGTGAACCATCCCCTCCTTTGATTTCCCTTCTAAATTAAACGACCATGCATTTTCATGCATGGGAAAAATCTTAACAATCAAGCTACTGGGTCTGGTACATTGTCAATATTTTTGTTAATTGCCAATTCTGTGTTGATGTGATAACAATTGACATGGACCGAATATCGACAACGTACCAGCTACTGTAGATTCGTACATTTACCAACCAAACCAATCACTTTTAACCAATTTATGTTTCCTTTTCAATATACTCTGTTACTTGGATTTTATAGTTGATGAAAATAATGGTTGTTTTACTTTGTTTTGTGAATGCTTATTGATCATTAACGTTGTGTTGTGTTCTTTAGGGGACTTGGACTCAAAGGCGGGGAAGCAGGCTCTAAGTCCGCGGAAAGAGTGAACAAAGCAGCCTTCGTTCAAAAGTTTTTAGAAGGAGCTATATACTCTCTTGAAAAACATCAAACAACCAAAGCTGAAGAGCTGATGAAAGGAGCTATGGAGTATCTTTATCATGATAACACAATAAAAGATAAAGCAGCCAAACTTGAGGAGTTCATGAAAGAAGCTATCAAGTATCTTGAGCAAGATATGGTAGAAAAAGCAGAAAACGTGGTGAAAGGAGCTGTGCTGTATCTTAAAGGCGATGACGAAGACAACGATGAAGAGAAAGGGAAAAGAGCGAAATATCTTGAAAAGGATGAAAAGGAGAAAGTAGCAGCAGGAGTAAATAAAGCAACCCTTGTTGATTCATTTCTGGAAGGAGCTTTAGCCTATCTTGAACAACACCAAGTTGCGAAAGCTATAGATATTATGCAGGGAATTGTACTGTATGTTGCTCAATCTGACGAAATAAAAGATAAAGCAGCCGCTGCTGAAGAGATGATCCAAGGAGCTTTGACGTATCTTCAAGAGGACAAACTAGAGAAAGGTACAGAGATGATCCGTGAAGCTGCGAAGTATCTTGAAAAGGACGAGGATTACAAAGCAGCAATTGGCAAGGGGAAAGGAGTGAAGTATCTTGAAAAAGGTAATGCAGAAAAGGGAATATTAAAAGCACATTTTGTCGAAGAGGTTCTAAAGGGAGCTATGTCCTATCTTCAAGCAAATCATTTGGTCAAAGCTAAAGACGTTATTCAAGGTGTGCAACAGTTTATTGCTCAGGATAAAACATTAAAAGATAAACGTGCCACAGCTGAACAATTGCTCAATGGAGCTTTTGGCTATCTTGAACAAGAGAAATCGGGGAAAGCGCAAAAAATAATCCAAGAAGCTATAGAGTATCTTGAAAACGACGAGGATGTCAAAGAAGCAAATAAAGTCTTTAAAGAAGCAGAAGCTAAGGAAGCTAAGTTGAGAGGAGTGAAGTATCTTGAAAAGGATGAAAAGAAGAAAGTAGCAGCAGGAGTAAATAAAGCAACCCTTGTTGATTCGTTTCTGGAAGGAGCTTTAGCCTATCTTGAACAACACCAAGTGGCGAAAGCTATAGATATTATGCAGGGAATTGTACTGTATGTTGCTCAATCTGACGAAATAAAAGATAAAGCAGCCGCTGCTGAAGAGATGATCCAAGGAGCTTTGACGTATCTTCAAGAGGACAAACTAGAGAAAGGTACAGAGATGATCCGTGAAGCTGCGAAGTATCTTGAAAAGGACGAGGATTACAAAGCAGCAATTGGCAAGGGGAAAGGAGCGAAGTATCTTGAAAAAGGTAATGCAGAAAAGGGAATATTAAAAGCACATTTTGTTGAAGAGGTTCTAAAGGGAGCTATGTCCTATCTTCAAACAAATCATTTGGTCAAAGCTAAAGACGTAATTCAAGGAGTGCAACAGTTTATTGCTCAGGATAATACATTAAAAGATAAACGTGCCACAGCTGAACAATTGCTCAATGGAGCTTTTGGCTATCTTGAACAAGAGAAATCAGGGAAAGCGCAAAAAATAATCCAAGAAGCTATAGAGTATCTTCAAAACGACGAGGATGTCAAAGAAGCAAATAAAGTCTTTAAAGAAGCAGAAGCTAAGGAAGCTAAGTTGAGAGGAGTGAAGTATCTTGAAAAGGATGAAAAGGAGAAAGTAGCGGCCGGAGTAAATAAAGCAACCCTTGTTGATTCGTTTCTGGAAGGAGCTTTAGCCTATCTTGAACAACACCAAGTGGCGAAAGCTATAGATATTATGCAGGGAATTGTACTGTATGTTGCTCAATCTGACGAAATAAAAGATAAAGCAGCCGCTGCTGAAGAGATGATCCAAGGAGCTTTGACCTATCTTCAAGAGGACAAACTAGAGAAAGGTACGGAGATGATCCGTGAAGCTGCGAAGTATCTTGAAAATGACGAGGATTACAAAGCAGCAATTGGCAAGGGGAAAGGAGCGAAGTATCTTGAAAAAGGTAATGCAGAAAAGGGAATATTAAAAGCACATTTTGTTGAAGAGGTTCTAAAGGGAGCTATGTCCTATCTTCAAGCAAATCATTTGGTCAAAGCTAAAGACGTAATTCAAGGAGTGCAACAGTTTATTGCTCAGGATAATACATTAAAAGATAAACGTGCCACAGCTGAACAATTGCTCAATGGAGCTTTTGGCTATCTTGAACAAGAGAAATCAGGGAAAGCGCAAAAAATAATCCAAGAAGCCATAGAGTATCTTCAAAACGACGAGGATGTCAAAGAAGCAAATAAAGTCTTTAAAGAAGCAGAAGCTAAGGAAGCTAAGTTGAGAGGAGTGAAGTATCTTGAAAAAGATGAAAAGGAGAAAGTAGCAGCCGGAGTAAATAAAGCAACCCTTGTTGATTCGTTTCTGGAAGGAGCTTTAGCCTATCTTGAACAACACCAAGTGGCGAAAGCTATAGATATTATGCAGGGAATTGTACTGTATGTTGCTCAATCTGACGAAATAAAAGATAAAGCAGCCGCTGCTGAAGAGATGATCCAAGGAGCTTTGACGTATCTTCAAGAGGACAAACTAGAGAAAGGTACGGAGATGATCCGTGAAGCTGCGAAGTATCTTGAAAACGACGAGGATTACAAAGCAGCAATTGGCAAGGGGAAAGGAGCGAAGTATCTTGAAAAAGGTAATGCAGAAAAAGGAATATTAAAAGCACATTTTGTTGAAGAGGTTCTAAAGGGAGCTATGTCCTATCTTCAAGAAAATCATTTGGTCAAAGCTAAAGACGTTATTCAAGGAGTGCAACAGTTTATTGCTCAGGATAATACATTAAAAGATAAACGTGCCACAGCTGAACAATTGCTCAATGGAGCTTTTGGCTATCTTGAACAAGAGAAATCAGGGAAAGCGCAAAAAATAATCCAAGAAGCCATAGAGTATCTTCAAAACGATGAGGATGTCAAAGCAGCAAATAAAGTCTTTAAAGAAGCAGAAGCTAAGGCAGCTAAGGTGACAGGAAGGAAGCATTCTAAAACAAACAATGGAGCTAAACATGATGGTTCAGAGCTCTAAAGTACTTACAGCTACCTGATTGCATGTTAGCCCCATGAAGCCATGTGTGATCAGTTTATGTTATTTCTTGTTTTCACATACTGTGCCCTTTAAGGCATTTTTTTCCCATATTTTGGATCTTGTATTGTTCTTTTGTTCCTTGAAAAGGAGCTGCAGGAGCAAAAGCTGTATTTAGATTTCCTTTTTTATTTTCCCGTATTTTTCTCTGTTTTGTTGAACGGGAATTTTTTGTATTTGGTAATGAGTATATTCATAGCTCGAATAAAGTGATTGTGATGTGTAACGTGTTTATATCCAAATCATATTGAACATGCATCTGAGCCTGCAATATTCAAATTATTTAGGCTTACGGTTAAGTTTTGCAGTACTTAGGCTTACGGTTAAGTTTTGCAGTACCTGCTTCTACTTTTTGTTTACAATTTTCCTGCTGAGGGTTTAGCATATTTTATTATCAAGGATCTTTCCTTTTTCTATCCCTCGAGTCCTTCAAATTCATGTAGAACAATAAGAAAGACTTTGAATCAGAGTTGCATTTTGACTTCAAAAAGATTGTATTGTATGTTCAGATATTCTGAAATGAGTGACAAAATGTAAGTACCTGTGACCGCTTGGTTGTTTCACTCATGAGATTCATTTCTGAAATTCATTTTAAGTTTCAATTTTTGGGTCACTCGTTGAGCAATGTAATGGTTTTTTCTTAGATTACATTATAATCTAGGATCTATTGTTTCCAATGGCATTTGAACCTAGTTAAAATTCCACTCTACCCTTGTACTTGCAATACGGCTTCAATCAGAACTCATGATGATTTTCAAATACTAGTTAAAATTTTAAAACAAAGTTGTGAATTTCCTCAACAACAAAAAATGTTGGGAAAGTTTTTGTGAATCTTATAATACTTGTAACTTGACGGTTTATAACTTCTTGTCCAAGGAAACAAAAGTGCACTGCACAGAAACTTGTCCACTTCAACATTCGAGACGAGAAACATCACTAGGAAATTAAGAGCTATTTGGTAAACAATGCTTCGTAAATCTGATTTGTTGCTCATGTGACTCTTTTTATGGTGTTTTCGACTTGTTCACTCTCATCTCTCTTCCATGGCTTTTCTCTTTTCCTTTCTTTCTCTTGTTCTCTCTTCTATTTCATGTGCAAAATGAGAAGTGCACTCTTGTTTCTCAATAAAAATTTCTGGGTGACTGGAAAATGTGATTGTGATTCGCACAATGTACCGTAAATACTTGTATGGTACACGTATGTAGGTATTTTTCATGTTTAATACATTTATTTTTTACAAAATTTTCAATAATACACACAAAATTTACGTATTATACACATAATACTCACATATTATTGAATAAAAATACAAATATTTAAAATATTTAAATACAAATTATTCACTAAGTAAATAATAATTATAACGTAACTACTAATTAATGTAATTAAAAAAGAGAAATTCAGATTATGCTGTTTACAGAGTATAGCCGCGCGGCGGTAGTATTGAAATATTCTATTTATAGAGTATAGCCGTGCGGATATACTATTTTTGGCAAAAACACACGCTAAACACCGGGCGTGTCTCTTTTCACAAAAACATGAGCTAAGCGCTGGGCGGATGTTTATATATAGGGGACGGACCCGTGGCACCATGTTTTTTACACAAGTTTTGACACAATTTTTGGGCCATTAGATTACTCCACTTTTAATGGTTGAGATTATATCTGACATGACAAATAGTTTTAATGTTTTAAATAAACAATCATTAATTTTATTTTCTCTCTCATAAAATAAAATAAAATAAATTTCTCTCTCCTCCCTTTTTTCTTGAAAACGTATCTCTTTTCTTAGTAGTATCCCTTTTTACTTGGTATATACCCCTCTCTCCTCTCTCTCTCTCTCTCTCTCTCCTCTCTCTCCTCTCTCTCTCTCTCTGATCAGAAAAAAAACCTCCATCTTTTTTCCCTCTCTCTCTCTTCGGTAACTGCAAACCAACCTTATGAATTCTCTCAATCAATTTGTCAACTTCCTCCAAGCATCCTGCCCTTCCCAAAAGATCAACCATCCAACCATATTGCTCAATTTGGGGGATAAGCCCAAAGCCCTCCATTCCTTTAAACCATCTTTTCCCTTCCTCTACCAGACCACAATGGTTACAATTAAGCAGACAAAACACCAATAAAGGTTATATTGTTCGGCATAAACTTTTTGCACTGCATCTCTAAAAAATATTTTATTTTCTCCGTTTGTAAATCACTGCATCTCTAACACGGGGACTGCTTTTTCAATCACCAAATCACTCTACGATTGGATCATCGAGAATAAGGATAAGAGGACGACGGTTTTAAAAATTACAACCATAAATTCTTGACTACTGTAGTTGGCGGTGATAGCGTTCTTCATGTATTGCTTCTTGTCATATAACATATGCAAATCATAATTAAAAACAAAAAGAAAGTATGAATTAACTTAAAACCAATGAATTATTGACTACGAACAAATGCACAAATAAGATACTGAATACATAACTACTTGAATTACATATATAATATACAGAGAGCTTCTATTTAAGGGATCCCTCAAAACGTATTAGTTTTAAGAAAAATGAAAATGGAGTAGAGAATTCATACTGGAGAGAGAGAGAGAGAGAGAGAGAGAGAGGGAAAAAAGATGGAGTTTGTTTTTTTGTTTTTTCCAGGAAAGAGAGAGAGGTATATACCAAGTAAAAAAGAATACTACCAAGAAAAGAGATTACGTTTCCAAGAAAAAAGGGAGGAGAGAGAAAATTATTTAATTTTATTTTTATGAGAGATAAAATAAAATTAATGATTGTTTATTTAAAACATTAAAACTATTTGTCATGTCAGATTTAATCTCAACCATTAAAAGTGGAATAATCTAATGGCTCAAAAATTGTGTCAAAACTTGTGTAAAAAACATGGTGCCACGGATCCGTCCCCTTATATATATATATATATATATATTGTATAGCCGCCCGGCTATACTCTTCACACAGATATTTTTGTTTTTTTTTTTTTTTTTTTTTTTTTCATTGATTTTTGTTTGGGGTTTGTTTAGTAGCATTATTCATTACTATTAGGTCATTGCCCGAGTCTCTATTGTCCCCTTTTGAGTTTTTTACTTTTTAGAGTTATTACCTGTATAAATAATTTAGCATTTTCAAGTTTAATACTCATATTATACATATATGGATGTATTTTTCATATTTAATACACTTGTTTTTTAAAATATTTTCAATAATACACACAAAATTTATGTATTATATACGGTATAGCCGCACGGCTATACGCTTTTTAAAAACACAAGATAAGTGCTGCAGGTCCCTTTTTTTTCTTAATAACTAGTATAGCCGTTATACTCGTTACACAGTTACTATGATCTTTTTTTTAATTTTATTTGATAATTGTTTTTCCCATATTTTTGTTTATCACTAAGAGTAGTTTATAGCGGCTATACGTTTAAAAAACTTCTATTTATAGATTATAGCCGGGCGGCTATAGTGTTGGAATATTCTATTTATAGAGTATAGCTGCGCGGCTATACGCTTTTTACAAAACATTCACCCAGCGCTGGGCGGGTCTTTTTTATTTTTATTTTTAAATAGTATCACCGCGCGGCTATACTCTAGACTTTTTTTTAATAAAAATGAGTATAGCCGTGGAGCTATATTCTTTTCACTAAAACACATGCTAAGTGCTTGGCGGATCCTTTTTTTTTCATAGGGTTATTTACTGTAGACGTCCCTGAACTTGGCCCTCATTTGCAATTGGATCCGTACACTTTTTTTTAGGCAATTACATCCTTTAGCTAGACAAATAGTTGCAATTGGGTCCTACCGTACAACTCTGTCAATTTGTCCGTCAAAATGAGGGGTAAAAGCATCATTTTGAGTCTGAAGAAAAAAACTTAATAAATAAATAAATAAATAAACTTTAAAATAAAAATAAAAATCCTCTTTCACTCTGTCTCTCCTTCTCTCTCAACCCATTCCCCCCTCAAAACCCAGATCCCAACCCCCACCTCCTAAACCCATCTCAATCTTCATCTATAAAGTCCAGAAAATCAATCACCCAACAAATATCAAACTTGAAATTTTAATACCCACATCAAATCTCAGCCCCAAATAGCTGAAACTTTATACTTTCAACCAAATCAAATACACCCAGCATGGCTACAATTTCAAATCTCAAATAAACATAATTTCAAGCCGAGTGTTGCTATTTCCACCCACCTATCCTGTCCTAGCTTGATTCTGCTTTACGTTTTGGTGCTTTTGATCACAATGTTGAAAATAAGGTGGGTGGGAAAATAGGACAGGTGGGTTGCAATAGCAGCACTCTTTCAAGCCACAAAGAAAACCCAGAAACAAAATAAATCCAGAAAACACAAGGGTCAAGAGTAAACTATACACACTAGTTTCGGCATGCAAAATGGGATGATGAGGAATTGATTGGATAAGGCAGCAAAGCGAGAAGAGTCCTTCTTTGGTACTAGAACCATTCCCGGGAAAGTGAGAGTTTCAACTGAGGGACAGACTTCTTTTTTTCCTGGAAAACAAACAGCCATTGAAGAAGAAGAAAGATCCGATTCGCTCAGGCGTCAAGCTCTCTCTTTGATTGATTGATTTCTCATTACACTTGTACATATAATGATCTTGCAATTTCTGTTGCTATTGTTGTTGGTCTTCCTCGGTGTTCCTCTGTGTTTTAAGGGGGGTGGGATAAGGAGGGGGAATGGGTTGCGAGAGAGAGGGAGAGATAGAGCGAAAGAAAGAGGGATTTTGATTTTGATTTTTGATTTTAAAGTTTTTGATTTTTTAATTTTTTTCTTCAAACTCAAAACGACGCTTTTACCCCTCATGTTGACAGACAAATTGACAGATTTGGACAGCATGACCTAATTGCAACTGTTTGTCCAGTTAAAAGATGTAATTGCCTCAAAAAAAGTTCACAGACCCAATTGCAAATGGGGACCAAGTTCAGGGACATCTACAGTAAATAACCCTTTTTCATATATAGCAGTTCCATTTCTTTTTTTTCGACTTCAACGATAAGCTGCTTTGGTCAAAGCAACAGGTGGAGCCAAGGCAGCAATACTGCATCGCGCCCTTTTCTAACGGTCTGAGTAACTGCCACTATGACCCGACGCATATATATACAAAGGCCATCAAACAAACACTTCATAGGCAAAAAAGAAAAGGAAAAAAAACAAGTTTGTGTTGTTCAGAGAGAAAGAGCGAAAGAGAAATTGAAGGATGAGGAAGAGAGCAGCGTTGTGGCTGGTGCTATGGCTGGCTATGTCGGTGGGGACTTGGGGTGAGGATCAGAACGCCGAAAACAATGATTCATGGACTGGCTGGGCCCGTGACAAACTCACAGAGTAATTTCTTCATCTTTTCTTTTTCTTATTTACTTTCAAGTTTCTTCCTTTTTTGTTTGTGCATATAATGAAATTGAATCATCCCTTCCTTTGATTTCCCTTCTAAATTAAACAACCATGCATTTTCATGCATGGCAATATTTTTAACAATCAAGCTACTGGATCTGGTACATTGTCAATATTTTTGTTAATTCCCAATTCTGTGTTGATGTGATAACAATTGACATGGACCGAGTATCGACAACGTACAAGCCACTGTAGATTGGTACACGTACCAACCAAACCAATCACTTTTAACCAATTTATATTTCCTTTCCAATATACTCTAAGTAAATTTAGGTTTTAGTCACACAAAAATTTTCACTTTTGGAAAAAGCCAAAGTTTTTTCAAAAAAGACTAAAAAACCTCTCAACTTCAAACCAAATACCTACAAATGAAAATGATTCCTAAGGAAATCCAAAAATAAAAAAGGGTAATTTTGTCCATTTTTGCATCTTTTAAAAATTTTCTCCCTCCTTTGGCCTTTTCCAAAGTTCCTTGGATTTTATAGTTGATGAAAATAATAGTTTTACTTTGTTTTGTGAATGCTTATTGATCATTAACGTTGTGTTGTGTTCTTTAGGGGAGTTGGACTCAAAGGTGGGGAAGCAGGCTCTAAGTCCTCTGAAAGAGCGAACAAAGCAGCCTTCGTTCAAAAGTTTTTAGAAGGAGCTATATACTCCCTTGAAAAACATCAAACAGCCAAAGCTGAAGAGCTGATGAAAGGAGCTATGGAGTATCTTTATCATGATAACACAATAAAGGATAAAGCAGCCAAACTTGAGGAGTTCATGAAAGAAGCTATCAAGTATCTTGAGCAAGATATGGTAGAAAAAGCAGAAAACGTGGTGAAAGGGGCTGCGCGGTATCTTAAAGGCGATGACAAAGACAATGATGAAGAGAAAAGGAAAAGAGCGAAATATCTTGAAAAGGATGAAAAGGAGAAAGTAGCAGCAGGAGTAAATAAAGCAACCCTTGTTGATTCGTTTCTGGAAGGAGCTTTAGCCTATCTTGAACAACACCAAGTTGCGAAAGCTATAGATATTATGCAGGGAATTGTACTGTATGTTGCTCAATCTGACGAAATAAAAGATAAAGCAGCCACTGCTGAAGAGATGATCCAAGGAGCTTTGACGTATCTTCAAGAGGACAAACTAGAGAAAGGTACGGAGATGATCCGTGAAGCTGCGAAGTATCTTGAAAACGACGAGGATTACAAAGCAGCAATTGGCAAGGGGAAAGGAGCGAAGTATCTTGAAAAAGGTAATGCAGAAAAAGGAATATTAAAAGCACATTTTGTTGAAGAGGTTCTAAAGGGAGCTATGTCCTATCTCCAAGAAAATCATTTGGTCAAAGCTAAAGACGTTATTCAAGGAGTGCAACAGTTTATTGCTCAGGATAATACATTAAAAGATAAACGTGCCACAGCTGAACAATTGCTCAATGGAGCTTTTGGCTATCTTGAACAAGAGAAATCAGGGAAAGCGCAAAAAATAATCCAAGAAGCCATTGAGTATCTTCAAAACGACGAGGATGTCAAAGAAGCAAATAAAGTCTTTAAAGAAGCAGAAGCTAAGGAAGCTAAGTTGAGAGGAGTGAAGTATCTTGAAAAAGATGAAAAGGAGAAAGTAGCAGCCGGAGTAAATAAAGCAACCCTTGTTGATTCGTTTCTGGAAGGAGCTTTAGCCTATCTTGAACAACACCAAGTGGCGAAAGCTATAGATATTATGCAGGGAATTGTGCTGTATGTTGCTCAATCTGACGAAATAAAAGATAAAGCAGCCGTTGCTGAAGAGATGATCCAAGGAGCTTTGACGTATCTTCAAGAGGACAAACTAGAGAAAGGTACGGAGATGATCCGTGAAGCTGCGAAGTGTCTTGAAAACGACGAGGATTACAAAGCAGCAATTGGCAAGGGGAAAGGAGCGAAGTATCTTGAAAAAGGTAATGCAGAAAAAGGAATATTAAAAGCACATTTTGTTGAAGAGGTTCTAAAGGGAGCTATGTCCTATCTCCAAGAAAATCATTTGGTCAAAGCTAAAGACGTTATTCAAGGAGTGCAACAGTTTATTGCTCAGGATAATACATTAAAAGATAAACGTGCCACAGCTGAACAATTGCTCAATGGAGCTTTTGGCTATCTTGAACAAGAGAAATCAGGGAAAGCGCAAAAAATAATCCAAGAAGCCATTGAGTATCTTCAAAACGACGAGGATGTCAAAGAAGCAAATAAAGTCTTTAAAGAAGCAGAAGCTAAGGAAGCTAAGTTGAGAGGAGTGAAGTATCTTGAAAAAGATGAAAAGGAGAAAGTAGCAGCCGGAGAGTAAATAAAGCAACCCTTGTTGATTCGTTTCTGGAAGGAGCTTTAGCCTATCTTGAACAACACCAAGTGGCGAAAGCTATAGATATTATGCAGGGAATTGTGTTGTATGTTGCTCAATCTGACGAAATAAAAGATAAAGCAGCCGCTGCTGAAGAGATGATCCAAGGAGCTTTGACGTATCTTCAAGAGGACAAACTAGAGAAAGGTACGGAGATGATCCGTGAAGCTGCGAAGTGTCTTGAAAACGACGAGGATTACAAAGCAGCAATTGGCAAGGGGAAGGGAGCGAAGTATCTTGAAAAAGGTAATGCAGAAAAAGGAATATTAAAAGCACATTTTGTTGAAGAGGTTCTAAAGGGAGCTATGTCCTATCTTCAAGCAAATCATTTGGTCAAAGCTAAAGACGTTATTCAAGGAGTGCAACAGTTTATTGCTCAGGATAATACATTAAAAGATAAACGTGCCACAGCTGAACAATTGCTCAATGGAGCTTTTGGCTATCTTGAACAAGAGAAATCAGGGAAAGCGCAAAAAATAATCCAAGAAGCCATAGAGTATCTTCAAACGACGAGGATGTCAAAGAAGCAAATAAAGTCTTTAAAGAAGCAGAAGCTAAGGAAGCTAAGTTGAGAGGAGTGAAGTATCTTGAAAAAGATGAAAAGGAGAAAGTAGCAGCCGGAGTAAATAAAGCAACCCTTGTTGATTCGTTTCTGGAAGGAGCTTTAGCCTATCTTGAACAACACCAAGTGGCGAAAGCTATAGATATTATGCAGGGAATTGTGCTGTATGTTGCTCAATCTGACGAAATAAAAGATAAAGCAGCCGCTGCTGAAGGGATGATCCAAGGAGCTTTGACGTATCTTCAAGAGGACAAACTAGAGAAAGGTACGGAGATGATCCGTGAAGCTGCGAAGTGTCTTGAAAACGACGAGGATTACAAAGCAGCAATTGGCAAGGGGAAAGGAGCAAAGTATCTTGAAAAAGGTAATGCAGAAAAAGGAATATTAAAAGCACATTTTGTTGAAGAGGTTCTAAAGGGAGCTATGTCCTATCTTCAAGCAAATCATTTGGTCAAAGCTAAAGACGTTATTCAAGGAGTGCAACAGTTTATTGCTCAGGATAATACATTAAAAGATAAACGTGCCACAGCTGAACAATTGCTCAATGGAGCTTTTGGCTATCTTGAACAAGAGAAATCAGGGAAAGCGCAAAAAATAATCCAAGAAGCCATAGAGTATCTTCAAAACGATGAGGATGTCAAAGCAGCAAATAAAGTCTTTAAAGAAGCAGAAGCTAAGGCAGGTAAGGCGACAGGAAGGAAGCATTCTAAAACAAACAATGGAGCTAAACATGATGGTTCAGAGCTCTAAAGTACTTACAGCTACCTGATTGCATGTTAGCCCCATGAAGCCATGTGTGATCAGTTTATGTTATTTCTTGTTTTCACATACTGTGCCCTTTAAGGCATTTTTTTCCCATATTTTGGATCTTGTATTGTTCTTTTGTTCCTTGAAAAGAAGCTGCAGGAGCAAAAGCTGTATTTAGATTTCCTTTTTTATTTTCCCGTATTTTTCTCTGTTTTGTTGAACGGGAATTTTTTGTATTTGGTAATGAGTATATTCATAGCTCGAATAAAGTGATTGTGATGTGTTTATATCCAAATCATATTGAACATGCATCTGAGCCTGCAATATTCAAATTATTTAGGCTTATGGTTAAGTTTTGCAGTACCTGCTTCTACTTTTTGTTTACAATTTTCCTGCTGAGGGTTTAGCATATTTTATTATCAAGGATCTTTCCTTTTTCTATCCCTCGAGTCCTTCAAATTCATGTCAATTAGAACAATAAGAAAGACTTTGAATCGTATTGTATGTTCAGATTCATTTCTGAAATTCATTTTAAGTTTCAGTTTTTGGGTCACTCGTTGAGCAATGTAATGGTTTTTTCTTAGATTACATTATAATCTAGGATCTATTGTTTCCAATGGCATTTGAACCTAGTTAAAATTACACTCTACCCTTGTACTTGCAATACGGCTTCAATCAGAACTCATGATGATTTTCAAATACTAGTTAAAATTTTGAAACAAAGTTGTGAATTTCCTCAACAACAAAAAATGTTGGGAAAGTTTTTGTGAATCTTATAATACTTGTAACTTGACGGTTTATAACTTCTTGTCCAAGGAAACAAAAGTGCACTGCACAGAAACTTGTCCACTTCAACATTCGAGACGAGAAACATCACTAGGAAATTAAGAGCTATTTGGTAAACAATGCTTCGTAAATCTGATTTGTTGCTCATGTGACTCTTTTTATGGTGTTTTCGACTTGTTCACTCTCATCTCTCTTCCATGGCTTTTCTCTTTTCCTTTCTTTCTCTTGTTCTCTCTTCTATTTCATGTGCAAAATGAGAAGTGCACTCTTGTTTCTCAATAAAAATTTCTGGGTGACTGGAAAATGTGATTGTGATTCGCACAATGTACCATAAATACTCGTATGGTACACGTATGTAGGTATTTTTCATGTTTAATACATTTATTTTTTACAAAATTTTCAATAATACACACAAATTTACGTATTATACACATAATACTCACATATTATTGAATAAAAATACAAATATTTAAAATATTTAAATACAAATTATTCACTAAGTAAATAATAATTATAACGTAACTACTAATTAATGTAATTAAAAAAGAGAAATTCAGATTATTCTGTTTACAGAGTATAGCCGCGCGGCTGTAGTATTGAAATATTCTCTGTATAGTGTATAGCCGCGCGGCTATATTATTTTCCACAAACACACACGCTATGCGCTGGGCGAGTGTTTCTATTTTTTTTTATATAAATAGTATAGCCGCCCGACTATACTCTTTGCACAAATACTGTGATTTTCTTTCTTCTTTTTTTTTATAATCATTTTCCCCGATTTTTATTTGGTAGTTTAGAGCATTATCCATTACTATTAGGTCATTGCCCGAGTCTCTATTGTCCCCTTTTGAGTTTTTTACTTTTCAGAGTTATTACCCGTATAAATAATTTAGCATTTTCGCATTTAATATTCATATTATAAAATATTTAAATACTAATTATTCACTAAGTAAATAATAATTAAAACATATACTAATTAAAGTAATTAAAAAATAGAGATTCAAACTATGCTATTCAACGGATATAGCCGTGCGGCTATACGTTTAAAAAATTTTATTTATAGAGTATAGCCGCGTGGCAATATGCTTAACAAAAACATCCACTCAGCGTTGGGCGGGTCTTTTTATTTTTTTGGGTTCTCGCGGCTATACTCTAGATTTGTTTAATAAAAATGAGTATAGCCGTGGAGCTATACTATTTTCACAAAAACACATGCTAAGCGCTCGGCGGATCCTTTTTTCTCATATATAGCAGTTCCATGTGTTTTTTTTTCAAATTCAACGATTAGTGTGAGTTGTTACCATTCCACTGCCACGTCATTTTCCGGTCCACGGAGTTGTTTTTCTTTCGTCGTTTTACTTAATTTTGTTTATTATGTAATGGGCCTTGATATTGGCTTAGCCCACGTCTCTTTTGTTTTTTAAATTTTATGCACTTATATTTATTTTGTTTTTTTCAGTCTCAGATTCACGCTGTTGTTGCTGAGGAGCATGTTGCTTACTGCATCTGTTTATGTAGTTTTGCTTCTTTTTTTTTTAACCCTGTGATTGTATTTAGGCCGCAAATCTTTTAACTAAATTTTGCTCTTATTCTTAATCGTCATATTTGGATTGTAGATTGACTATTCTCGTTATCTATTGTACACATTTTATAATATTAATAAAATATCTTTTATTTCACCACCCCAAAAAACACAAAAACAAAGAAGTACAATATATTTCCCAACCAAAAAAAATTATGACGCATTAAAATAATTTCTTTCAGACACTTGTCCCCTCTTATCGTCATATGACCAAGCAAATTACAATTAAGGCACGCGAAGTGCGGCAACATATTGACCAAGCAACACGTGGAAGGAAGGCAGATATGGCCTCCTTCTATAACGGTCTGAATAACTGCCACGTTGACCCGAAAGGCGCCACGTTGAGAAATCAGTCTGAAGCCCAAACATCTCTCCGATTTTTCACAACAGAAGAAGAAGCAAACGTTCTGCAGTCAGTGGCGCATATATACAAACACCTCATACTCATAGGCGTATAATAAGACGTTCGAAAATCTCATGGTCCCATACATCCGTGCTTGTTAATTTTCTCAAATCTCAACTGGGTTTTTCACATTCTCTGTAACCCAAAAAATATTGAGTTGTAAAAATGGGGAAGAGAGGAGTGTTTTTGTTTTTGTTGTTGGCGTTGTGGCTGGCTATGTCTGCAGGGACTTGGGGCCAGGACGCCAAGGAGACGCTGAACTTGGCTGCTGGAACAGCCCAGCACAAAACGCACGAGACCTTCAAAGCTGCCAAGGAAAACACCGAGTCGTGGGTTGATCGTACCTTCGGCAAAATCGCAGAGTAATTTGTTACAAAATCATTCACTCTGTTTTTTTTTCCTTCAACTTTTTGCTTTCTTCCCCTTCATCATGCATTTTGTTTGTGAATTATTAGTAACTGTTCATATTTGCTTGCTCAATTTGGAAACCCAAAAAAAAATGTGATGCGATGTGATGTATTATATCAGGGTCCGTTTGATTGCGATTTCGTTTTTAGTTTGTATTTTTTTTTCAGCTTTTTAGCCTAGAGAGTAAAAGGAAAGCATATGTGAGAAATGAGGGATGAAGAAATATGGAGGGAAGCAAGGGCGGAGACTGGATTTTATGTTGTGGGGACCAAGGCATAAAATACAAGTTTTCTTTTCATAAGCTTCATTTGATTTGGCTTTAATTATACGGTAATGCTAGGTATACCACATTTTTATAACACATTGTGTATCATCTCTTTAATAGAGAGAGGTGGAGCTCATCAATACAAAGGAGTCCACCCCTATTAAAGGGGTGGTACATTGTGGTATAAAAAGGTGGTATACCTAGCATTTACCTTATAAATGATGACATAGAGGTCCATATCGTTTTTAAGTTTTTTTTTGGATGCAGAATCAGTTTTAAGTTCTTAATCTACTAGCCTCCCCGCGTCTGCGAAATGCTTTTTTTAAAAAATTTAAAATTTATTTTAGAATTAAAAAAGATAATTAGTAGTTATGTTCCATAAAAATTGGATCCATTATCTTATTTTTCTTTTAATTTTAATTTTTTTAATATGAAAAAGTGTGAATTTACCATATTATCATCATTTAATTAATAATTTCAATCCTTAATGTTTGCATTAATCAAGGGAATTTTTGGTATTTTTAATGTTTTACTATTCTCTGTCTTTTGCTTTATATAGATATGGCTATTTCTTTTTCATGTAACCTATTTGCAACTAACCATATCCGAGATCAAGGCAACTCCTATACAAGAAAAAGAAAAGTCCAACAAATAATGTCACATAAGTGAGGGAAATTCCAACTACTAGTCTTACATTGGTTGAGCTAAATATTTTCAATCTAGGCCGAGTCTTTCTGCTAACAACTTGAGTTTTAAGCTTTTGCGTTTGATCCTTAAACGAGTAGTTGTGTACTTGTGTTAAGATTAAGAATTAAGGGTTTTTGCTCATTTATGTTGTGTGATGGTGCCATTCAGGGGGTTAGGATTCGGCCAGGAAAATGCAAAAGAGAAGGCTAAGAATATGAGGGACAAAGCTGGGGATGCAGCCTCTGTGGCTACAGAAAGATTAAGAACGAGCACTTTTGGATCTTGTAATTATTTATTACTACCTTATTCTTTCACAGATGAAGTAATTAATAAGTCAATTAGTTCTTCAAACAAGTATTTGATTTCATGCTTCTGAGTTTTACTTTATGTATTCTCAACATATGCTTCTCTGATTTCCCAAATGGCAGCGGACACCGATTCTGTTCATGACAACTTTGATCCCTCTATAAGGATGCCTACTGATACAGTTGACAATGCCAAAGAGACCGTGACAAGGGCAATGGGTTCTGGCATGGATAGAGCAGCAAATGCCTACGATGAAGCAAAGAATACAATGAATAGGGCTACAGGCGCGGCTTCTGATAAGGTTTATGATGCAATGGAATATGGAAAGGACAGAACTGCCGGTGCCTATGATGAAGCCAAGGAGAAAGTGAACACGGCCTCGGATAAGGCCTACGATGCCAAAGAGACAGTGAGAGGGGCAATGGGTTCTGGAATGGACAGAGCAGCGAATGCTTATGATGGAGCAAAGAATGCAATGAATAGGGCTATGGGTTCGGCCTCTGATAAGGCTCATGACTCAATGGAATATGGAAAAGAAAGAACTACCAATGCCTATGATGGAGCCAAGGAGGGAGTGAACGTGGCCTCCGATAAGGCTCATGACGCAATGGAATATGGAAAAGAAAGAACTGCTAATGCCTATGATGGAGCCAAGGAGGGAGTGAACATGGCCGCCTCTAATAAGGCCTACGATGTCAAAGAGGCAGCCAGAGGGGCAATTGGTTCTGGAAAGGACAGAGCGGCGAATACCTATGATGAAGCGAAGAATATAATGAATAGGGCAACGGGTTCGGCTTCTGATAAGGCATATGATGCAATGGAATATGGAAAAGAAACAACTGCCAATGCCTATGATGGAGCCAAGGAGGGAGTGAACATGGCATCCAATAAGGCCTACGACGCCAAAGAGACGGTGCGAGGGGCCATGGGTTCTGGAATGGACAGAGCAGCCAATGCCTATGATGGAGCCAAGGAGGGAGTGAACATGGCCTCCAATAAGGCCTACGATGCCAAAGAGACGGTGCGAGGGGCCATGGGTTCTGGAATGGACAGAGCAGCCAATGCCTATGATGGAGCAAAGAATACAATGAATAGGGCTATGGGTACGGCTTCTGACAACACTCATCACGCAATGGAATACGGAAAAGAAAGAACTGCCAATGCCTATGATGGAGCCAAGGAGAGAATGAACATGGCCTCAGATAAGGCCTACGATGCCAAAGAGGCAGCCAGAGGGGCAATTGGTTCGGCTTCTGATAAGGCTTCTGATGCAATGGAATATGGAAAAGAAAGAACTGCCAATGCCTATGATGGAGCCAAGGAGAGAATGAACATGGCCTCCAATAAGGCCCACGATGCCAAAAAAATGGTAGCGGGAGGAATTGATTCTGGGACGGAAAGAGCAGCCAATTCATACGATGAAGCAAAACAAAATGTTGGGGAGTCATACAAGTCAGCTAAGGACTGCATGACTGGACATGCCAAGCATAACTATGAGGCTGCAAAGGAGAGTGCCTCGCAGGCTGCAGGAGATGTCGGCGCTACCATGAGGAATGCTGGTTCAGAGATATAAGGAGGCCGATTGCATGCTTGCTCCATGAAGCCATTTTTGAGGAGTTTATGTTTCTTTTGAGTAGCTAGGAATCTCTGTAAGTTCTATGATCAATGTTGCTATATGTTTCTTGTTTTCTCTTACTTTGCCCTTACAGTTTTGTTTCTTTATATCAATGTTTGTGTTTCTTGTTTTCTATGAATACGGGTCAAGAATTGCTTGAATTAAGCTAGTCTCGCTGTGTCAATTCATTTCTAGTAATTTATGGCCCAAGCCAAGGCCTCTGATTTTGATGCATGTGCTAGCTACTCTTGTTTGTCTTCATCATTAATATTCTGCATATGGCCTGCTCAGAGAAGGTTTGACCAAGCCGTGTCCCCTTTCTAGCCTTCTAGCCTTCTAGCCTACCAATAAAATAATTACAAATCGATCTATACACTACATAATTTTTCGGCACAAATTATCTGCTGGGGATTTAGAGTACGTATATATTATGGGAGAGCTAGCCCTGGTCTGAAAACATATAGCAGACGCGACTGTGATCACCCATACGATATTAATGAATATGCAACGCCAAAAACTGAGAATAAGACCTGCTTAATTTGTTTCTGCATCAAATTACAAATTAATAAACAAAAAAAAAGAGCAAATATATATATACACACATGTTTTGAAACAGGAAAATATTGTAATGCATGCAAAGACACACCGGTATGTATGATTCATGAAGACAAACTGGATGCGAAAAATTAGAAGAAGAAAATCATACATGAAATGAAACAATAATATGAGAAAATCACATAACACCACGACAAAAAAGCTGACATCTCATTTTCTCTTTTGCTTTCCTTTTTCTTCCTTTTACATCTTTTACCCTAGTGAAAAAGCACAAGCATAGTGATTGGAAATCAAAAGAAAAGGTGCATGCGATGCGAGAGCTCGATGCCAAACATTTCAAGCACAAGAAAAAATTGTTGGTTGTTTTTTGTTGCAATTTTATGTTTTTTTCGAAAGCAACCAAACAAACAAACCGCAGAGAAAGAAGATGAGCATCAAATAGCTAGGTTTATGTTAAATTAAGAAGGAAAAAAAACAAAGAAAAAAAGGAGTGCGTGCTTGATTCTCTCTAGCTATCTCCTCTCTCTCTAGCTAGCTACATATTTGACTATATATATATATATATATTTATGTGCACATACAAATTATCTGATCTAATTATTCACTGATTATATTGATCTCTTTTCCCAGTCACAAATCAATGTATTGAAGTTTGGCTTACATTGCTTCTTCTTCATGGCTTGTTTATTATTGTGCATCCACACCTTGAACACCTGCCTCTTTATACCCACTTCAGAACACAACTTCTGCACCTCTTGCTCATCATGCCTCTGGATCTTCCACCCTAACTTCTCAGCAACCTCCATCATCTTCTCCTTCTGCTCCTGACTGAACTTCGTCCTAAACCGCTTCTTTGACCCCGCTGCCTGCTGGCCTGCCGCATAAGTTGCCCGAAACAAATTATTCATGTTGAGATCCTCGCTCGAGGACTCATCAGCCCCCCCTCCGCCCCCACCAACGCCTCCAAAAGCCATCATCATCGGGGGAACTGGGCCCCCCGCAGCTGAATGACGAACAGGAGGCGGTGGGGGTGGAGGGAGTTGCAATACTCTAGTTTCTGAATCTCTACGGCTAATGGTGTGTTTTTGGTGGTTAACAACATAGTAATTATTTGGCAAATGATCGCCTTCGATCTCTTTTCTGTGGAAATTTCTATGGCACTCACAAGCTGCACATTTTAGTGCTTCTGGGATGTCTTCCTCTCCACTTGGCATGAATTCTCCGCAGCCATCGAGCACGTGGCCGCCGCTGCTGGCCGCGTGGTTTCTCAAGCATTCCCTATATCTAACTTTCTGTGGTGCTGGTGGTGGTTGAACTGGGGGTGCTTTGAAATTTGATCCACCAGGAATTGATGTTGCACTTGGGGTGACAACAATTGGAGATGAGATTGGATCTGGGTTTTGCTCAGAATCTCTTCTTGATGATTTGTGTGGTGACAGATTCAATTGATGAGGCTGGTGATGATGAGGAGGAGGATGGGGGTCTAGGGTTTGAAGAGGGTTGATGAAGATTGTGTTGTTAGCAGTTGAGGGTAGGGCTGGAGAAGAAGAGAGCTTGGAGGAAGAAGAGTCCCTATTGGGGGGATTATAGCCCAGAGTGGTTGGCATCCCTATTACCTTATCTTGGCCTCTCACCTCCATTAAATCTGATATCTATAGCTATTATACTGGCCTTGATCTCAGCCTCCTTTTTATTTTCTCTAATAAAAATAAATAATAATGGAGAGTGTGTTTACATTAACTATCTTCATCATGGCATGATCTGTCTCTCAAACTATGGATCTTTTTGTAATTTTCTCAACTCTAATTCATACTGTACTGACTAATCTAACCCAAGAGAAAACTTAATCAAAGATATAATCACTAACCTGAGATTATTCTTCTTTCTTTTTTCTTTTTTGTATTCTGATTTTGACATTTTGGGTGCTAAACCCACCAACCCATCTCACTAATTTCAACCCTATTTCCAAAGAGGTGAGAGGATGACTTGAGAGAGAGAGATGGACTGATGGAGTAGCTGAAGAAGAAAAGATTGAATATTAACTCACATAAATAATTTAAAACAAATCTGGGAACTCAAACAGGAAAAGAAAAAAGAGGGGCCCTACAAGCTGGAGATTGAATAAATCTTACCTCTCAGAAATCAGACTGTAAAAATGGTAGAAATATTGTTGTAGTTGCACCACCATTGGAAGCATAAGTAAGAAGCTGGTTCTGGCATTTGATTAAAGATGGAGGGTATTCAGATAATTAGAGCTAAAACTAAGATTATGACAGAAAGTATGGGGAAGAGAGAGAGAGAGAGAGAGAGAGAGGGAGATAAGAAGAGGCCAAGAGAGAGATAGATGGGTACTCTGAGAAGAACTGAGAAAGTGGTTTATGTTTCCTACCACCCATCCAACCCCATAAAATCTATTGATGCAAGGTGCAGGTGGTTTGTTTTGTACTCAAAATGAGTGATGACTACACTGAGTGAGTGAATGAATGAGTAAGAGAGAGTCCTCTTATTTTGCAGAAGAGCCGACAGGGTCACGTTAGTACTCTCTCACACCCTGCAACCCTGGTCCAGTTCCTAATTATTGCTCTCTGAAACCCTAAACCACCACAAAATTAATGTGTTTTATGTGTAAGACAGAAAGAAAGAGAGAGAAAGAGAGGAGAGAAAAAGAAAAAGAAAAAGAAAAAGAAAATATGTCAGATTTGACGTTACTCTGTTTGCCCGGAATCTTTCCTGCAACGTTCCTATAAATTTTCCCAGCTTAAAGACTTAAACTGTTTGAGATTTGATTCTCAGACGCAAAACCCAGTTAGTTCTTAATTAAGCAGGCCTTAAAACAAGGGTTTAAGATAAAGACAACGAGAGAATCCGAGGGTTTATCTAAGGGTAATAAAAAAAAAGTTCTATGTCATTATCAAGTGGTTAAGAGCATTTGACTCTGCGCATGAACAACTTCTAATTGTTTACGAAAGTGGGGTTGCGTGGTTGATTCTCAACCGTTGATGTAAGTAGAACTCTACACTAACTTGTAATCTTACTCTACACTAACTTCTAATTACATTAACGGTTAGAATCACTCACACGCGCGCGTGACAACTATTCTAAAAATAAGAAGAAATAAAGGGGTGAGAGGAAGATTTTATTTTTCTCTTTTTTCCGTCTCTCTCTTTTGGGTGGGTGTGTGAGGGAGCTAAAGTGAGAGAGAATGGTATGCTGGTCCACATAACAGCATTTATTTTGTTTTGTTAGTGTGTGTGTGTGTCAGAGGTTGTGTTTGTGCGCCTGCTGCAGTTTCGTTCTTTCCCATTGCAAATTGATGCTGTATTTGCTGCCATTATTGGCACTTTCACTCCTTTTACTTCATCTTCACACATCCGTATTGTGTTGCACTATTGTGCTTGGTTTTGTGGTACTGTTTCTACACTAGTTATCTTAGCTCATGTCTAAGAAACAACCCATTTTCAACACTTTTGCTATTTGGTTTGGCCCCCCTCTTTTCCTTAGGACCCGCATTATTTCCTTCTAGTCCACGCCACAGTTCATAAGGTATTGCATACCAGTACTATTCTTTGAAAACATAGTGATGTAGGACAAGGCGAGACTTTGTTCAAATGCTAAATTGTGAAGAAGACAGTTCGGCCAAAAATTGATGAGAAATCGATCAAGAGTTGGAAAGACATACTCTAATTACGTGTTTGACGTTTGGCTAAGTAGTACAACGAATATTCAAGTCAAGGTGAGCAAAGAGTGAAATCCGGTGTATCTGCTCAAATCTAAACCCTTGTCAATTTGTTAATTGTGATTCTTGATGCATCACAAGGTAAAAAGACATTGTAATTCATGTATTTGTTATTGTAAGTTTGATCGATTCTTCATTTCTTGATAACTCAAGTTTTTGGAGATGGTGACCCTCTAGCGTACGTATTACTAAAAAATTTCTTTGCAAGAACGTTATGTTCAATTCTCATTCCCCATCCGATTTCTTTGCTACTTAATGTGGTTAGAAAATGTGACCCTTTTAGGATTACTTTTTAAATTTTGTTTGTAAGAGGCATTCCTCATCCGCATTTCATTCTTATGCATAGTACAAATAACAGAGTATGATGTGGGGGTCTTAATTAAGATGTTAATTATCACCATCTAATAATTTCATAGTTCTTAAATTGTACAACCAACCACCGTGTTCAATCTTTTAGACAAACTTGTTAGGTTTCCACTAAGGAGGTCTTGGGTTGTAACATAATTTTTTCTTTTGGGTCATATGGGTTGTATATATAATTAAATCAAACATCTAGCTGAATTTCCATTTAAAATGATATTAAAATTATTGTATAAAAAAAATGATTATGTATGACAAAAGGCAATCCTATCCAAATTCAAATGTCCTTTGGGGAGCAAATATTCAAAGTCTACCAGCTGCCCTTCTGTTTGCTATTCAACATCTGTGACTTAAAAATAAATAAAAATTAATCTAGATCGATTATCATGATTAACATCCAAGCATCTAATCTAATTAAGTCTATTGACATGCTTATTAATCAGTAATCGGATTAGGATGAATTAAATTGAGAAGGAGCTGGATTAAGGAGAATTAAATTCCGGATTCCTATTGAAGTTGTTTATTAAACCATAGGGATTGAGGAGAGTTAGATTCCGAATTCTTATTGAAGTTGTTGATTAAACTATATGGAATTGGGGTTGGAGTTGTGCTAACTACTAAAATGTCCTTCTTGTTGTGTTAAAGTAGATGACAACTTTGGAATTTGTAAAATTATGTGAGAATATAATTGATAAAAAAAAGATGAATTCTTAATGGGTTAGATTTCTAGAAATTAGAATACCACCTCTATCCCTAAATTTTGTGTAAATCCCACTTCTTTTTTAATTCCTCGATGTGAAGTAGATTCATAAATCTTTAATACTTGAATTAAATTCCTGATTGAATTCCAAGATTTGTAAAGTTGTGTGGCTGGGCAGTTGCATGCACCCAATTTTGCACTCTCTGACACAATGTTTGTTTGATACAATTCTTATTAATTTGAATCACTATATTTGAGATAACTAATGGTTTTTTAGGGCTGAGTTTTATATTCCAAGAATATCTTGCGAGCTTCCTTGATCTGTCTAAACCGTTTCTTTGGTGTGCTTGAGGGAACAATTTCCAAGTAGTTAAGCCTCGTTTAAATTAAAGGAATAAGATCTGTGATTAAACTAATCAGACAAGCTTTTCTTTCCTAATCAGTGCATGCACACAAGTAATTAACTGCTGGGATTTTGGAGACGTGGCAGAAACCCAGCCAAGTGGCTCTATTTATTCATTTGGGACTGTGCCAAGTGTCCCTGTCTCACTTTTGTTTTGTTTGCTCTATTCAATCTGGTATTTCACAGGTGAGGAGGGGCCAAGCCAGGGTTGGCAGGAGCTGTCTTTGATAAGCCAAAGGGGTTCGTGGTCTTAGTCTATGGTTTCATTTTCTAGGTCATAATAAAGTTGTTAGTGTGGGCCTAATTTAGTTTACTTATGACCCAGAAAATACAGAAAATACTAATTTCTTATTTATTTATATTTATAATCAGCACCCCTAATGAACCAATTTCTTGGTTGGGTTTGTCTTAAATTCGTGAAACTTTGAATAACATTAGCCAAAATGTGATGAATTTTGTGGTGTTTTCAAGGCTCCAAGCCCACCTCAAAAAATCAGATTCTGAAGTGACATAACATTACAGATGGGTAATAATAGAGCCTGGAAAAATAAAAGAATAGGTACTTCTACTTCTTTATGATCAGGTTGAGGACCACATATGCTGAAGCCTCAGTTGCATTTTCCTTTTCCACTGTGTGGTGAAGAAAATAATAGTAACTGTCAATATTCTTGATCCAACAACAGCATGTATTTCAGTTTATTTCAGATACTATAAATATATAAAAAGAGGGTGTGAGGTTGTGAGGACCGAGACCTGAATTTTCTAAATAAGTGATCTACCACTGAAGTTATACGTCTCACGAATACCTTGCTAATCTAAAAAGCCCTAAATATACTAATTCCGTGAAATTCAAAATGCATCGACATAAGACCTCGAAAGCCAAAAAGACGACAAGAAACACAAAGGTTATTTTGTGTATTTGATTCGTCTTATCATTTCTGCTTTATGGATTTGGAGAGAGAGGTCAGGGAGGGGGGGTCCTATGCAATTTGGACGGACATGGGACACCAAATGTTCCAAGAATAAAAGATAGCCAAATTGTACGGATGGAGTAGACAGGGCTTTATTTTCTTCTTATTCTTTATTTATTTATTTTCCAAAAATCTTAGGAATTAGTCTGAGTTGAGACAAGGAAATCTATAACATTTGGATCTACGGATTTGAAGGAGTCACATCACTCTGCGCATGCACGTTTTGTAGTGTGTGGTGTATTTAGTTTGGTATTTTGGTGGTAAAGGTCATGACTGGTGCGTGCGAAGCCACCACCAATCACCTCCACTCTCTACTTTTCTCATTTTTTTTCTCCTTTCCTTTACGTTAACAAGGGAGTGTGGAGCATTGGTCAACTATATACTCATTATTAGCCACCCCCTAATTGTTAAGCGGTCCTACCATTCTCTATACTCAGAATTTAACTCAAACCCTAAATGATGTGGATGGATCGAATTTTGATCTGAATTTGATATAAGTAATGTAAGATTGATACATTGAGATTCTCGATTCGATAATCTATATATAATCGAAATTTAATGATTCGTCACTTTAACAAATCAAATATAGATTACAACCAATTTGATCTGAATCCGATGTTTATCATGTATGAATTAATAAACTGATTCGAATTTGAATGCAAGCCAATCCGATCTGCTCACAAGCCTCGTGCATTTGGAGGGAAAAATACCTAAGCGCCCACCAGCACTTTTAGGGCCCAATATAAGAATTTAGGTATAAGATGTGATGTTTAGCATTGGAGATGACATCAATTACACTGTTAGCATAACAGCGATTTGAATGTAAACCTAGCAAAATAATGATTATTTACTGCTGTCATGTCTATTCTTTTGTCTTCCTAAAAAGAATCCCCCTAGCGTATACAGTTGAACATTGACTCCTGACTTGTGCTTACACTTCGGCATTTAGTTTATAGATCATCATAGTCGCATCTTACGTTACATCCAGCTTCATATACAGGTTGGAGGATGGGCCAAACTGCCACAAGTCTAAAACTATACACAATAAAATTGTTTGGGCCATCAGCTGCCAACAGCCTAAGATAGCCCAAGATCAGTTTTTGAGGGTGCTATATATAAACTTTTCATGTGAACTTTCATATTAGGCCTAAGATTATTTCATTAAACTTAAGTGAAGTTACTATTCTGAGGAATCATGTGATTAATATAAAGGTCTACAGCTATAATCCATATATGGCATCCTCACCACAGAACGACTCTATGACAGGACCCGCCCCGAATCTCCTCGGAAACAGGGACGGACCTCGCCTAAATTCCGACATCACCCCGATGCCGAGCCCACTTACTAAAAACCGAGACTTTCTACCAAAAATTTGGCAAAGTCTCCCCTATAAAATGAACATTCCCAAACTTCAACCTGTTCAAAATTATAGTTATAAACAACCAACAGGTAGCATGCTTTACAAGCAATAAAACAGTTTACAACAAAGGCCTTTGGCCTCACGATTTATACCCTCAGTGGGCGATACAGAACATATCTAAGAAATTCAGATACAACAGAAGTACAGTTCAACCGAAAGGAAAAGGTGAAGGAGTCCCTACAAAGACTCAAGTTTCGAGAGCACCCGGTCCGGCTCGACTGTGGAGCTCAGTTGCCTTGCCCCTGCTGGGCCCCAGTCTCCATTGCAGCAGTACCACTAACAACAAGAAGGGGGCACTCACTCTTATAGTGCCCCACCTGCCCACATTGAAAACATGTCACTCCGCCCCTCTGACCAGAGCCAATAGCCTGCCCACGGTTTGGGCAATCCTTCCTAACATATCCTGCATGCTTACACCTGTAACAGGTTGCAGTAAATTGCCTCTGAGGATCCCTGGCTGTACTGCCCACCGATTGTTGTCCCGAGGACTGGCTCCAGAATGGTCGAGAGTCAGACCCCCCACTGTCGGAACCGGTCTCACGTCCTCCAGACCAACCACTACTCGCATAACTTGAGCTGGGTCCATCAAAGAGGGGTGGATCCAGCTCAAGTTCTGCGAGTAGTGGTTGGTCTGGAGGACGTGGGACCGGTTCCGGCAGTGGGGGGTCTGGCTCTCGACCATTCTAGAGCCAGTCCTCAGGACAACAATCAGTGGGCAGTACAGCCAGGGATCCTCAGAGGCAGTTTACTGCAACCTGTTACAAGTGTGGGCAGGCAGGACATGTTAGGAAGGATTGCCCAAACCGTGGGCAGGCTAGTGGCTCTGGTCAGAGGGGCGGAGTGACATGTTTTCAATGTGGGCAGGTGGGGCACTATAAGAGTGAGTGCCCCTTTCTTGTTGTTAGTGGTACTGCTGCAATGGAGACTGGGGCCCAGTAGGGGCAAGAGTGGGCCCGGCATCGGGATGATGTCGGAATTTAGGTGAGGTCCGTCCCGATTTCCAAGGAGATTCGGGGTGGGTCCTGTCACTCTATGCGCCTTTTTTTTATCTTCTGTTTTTTTTTCCGTGAATGATCGAATGTGTGCTTTCGGCTATGTGCCTTTGTCGGCATGGTTTTCTGCCTTTAACAAGATTCCTTCACTCTGCGAGCATGTAATGGTAAGCAGATATGCATGATCCAAATCAATCTATTACTCAATCCAATAAGATTAAGAGCATTATCAAACTATCAAAAGCAAAGCTCCCCTATCTAAACACCCGAAACTCTATCCGAAACATAGGAAGTAACGTAAGGATTAAATTGCAGAACTGATGTCAGTACCGGATATGAACAAGAATCTTTACGATGTATCGATGATATCAATCATTCTTAAGGACTAGCAAGTTTCCTTAAGTGTCATAAACAGAATATTTTGTTCCCTGCTATGTAGCATGGATACGGATACGGACATGACGATACAACACGAAACGACACGGCGGTATATCATTCTTAAGGACTAGCAAGTTTCCTTACGTGTCATAAACAGAATATTTGGTTCCCTGCTATGTAGCATGGATACAGATACGGACACGGCAATACAACACGAAACAACACGGCGATACGCCAAATTTCTAAAAACTAGGATACGATACATGATGGGTACAAGAATTAAAAATATATCTTAACAATTTAATATATAGCAATAAAAATATATATAATTCAAAACATATTTTAAATAGCATTCATTTCACTCAAGGATCAAATCCACGCAAATCCTCCAGCAATTACAACTCAATCAGGATCAATCTCCTTCATCCTACATCCAATGAGAGTTTCTGTATATATTTTATGCACAAGTCAGCTGTAAACACACAGGTTATTCTCCAGATTGCTACTCCCACTTATCTGAAAAGCCGGATACCCGTGGCCGTTGACTCCGATAAGCATATCGGAGCGTATCGTACGCATATTGTATCCGATACGGGATACGGACTTAAACTGGCATATCCGTGCTTCATAGGTTCCCTGGATCTTAAAGAAGGTAAACAAATAAGATAATGAACACGGTAAATAATGCTTCTCTGTTGCAGAACAACATTTATGTGCTTATCATTTCATCACCCTCCACCACTTCCTCTAAGAACACTTCTACTACCTAGTAACTCTTATCTCAGTAAGAAGCTAAAGATACCAACAACTATAAAGCTCTGATTTTGCAACACAACTGAGGTTGTGGTTTCATTCCAGAGCTCAACCCAAAAACAAAAAACAAGTCATAAGAAGACAACCAAATTAAAGAACTACAACTCAGAATCTGTTAAGCACTGCGTACAACTCAGAATGTAGATAGAAGATAACTGGGGTTCAATAAAGACTCGAGAGCTTTTCACCAAAAAAAAAACAAAAGACTCAAGAGCTCAAGCCCAAAAAAGATCAGTTATATCCAGACAACAAAATCGAGGAACTCAAAACTCCAATCCCTGGCCATATGATTAAGATGGTAGAATGGTAACTTATCATCTACAGGCCACAAATAAAGACATGATCCACAATGGGTGTTTCAATAATGATGCTTATCAACCACCAATCAAACCTTAGTCATATAATTATCAAACAGGACATCACACATCTAAGTGATGCTACATTTGGACCAACTTTGACGCAGAACTAATCCTCAAGCTCTGTATCTAGTAGCAAACACTCAAAATTCATCTTTCATTACACAAACAAAAGATTACAAAGTAATTTCAAATTTCAGTCTAACAATGATAAACCAATGAACCAGTTCAGAAATTCTTCAATGATACAACAAATACACACAAACTACAAAAGTGATTCATAAGATTGAATTAGTTCAGAGCGAAAGTTCCATTACCCGAGAATTCGAAAAGTTCCAAAACCATAAGAGCCCTCCACAACTGCTACTATAAGACCCCCTTGGCCTCCATGTACCTCCACATGTACCAAGACCCAACAGACCTATAAGGCCTCCATTTCTCACACAACTGCTCCATCTCCAATGGCTTCGGCAACTCCTTCAAACCATACAGTAACTGCACTCCTTTCCTCACACCGAGATCGCCGACCGGAAGCACATCCGGTCTGCGAAGTGAGAAAATCATGAACATGTGGACCGACCAAGCCCCAATTCCCTTCACCACGGTGAGCATTGTGAGCAGAGCCTCGTCGTCCATTTCCAGAATAGAAGAATCGGACAAAGTTCCATCACTGTACTTCTCGGCCAAGTCATGAAGATACGAAGCCTTTCGGCCCGAGACGCCGATATTTCGGAGCTGCTGGGCCGAGAGCGATGAAACGACGTCGGCGACCACCGATTCCTCGCCTCCGCAGAGCGAAATGAATCGGGTGTAGATCGATTGAGCGGCTTTGGTGGCAAGTTGCTGGTAAAGAATGCTTCTTGCGAGCGATAGAAATGGACGGCCGGAATCAAACGACGACGGAGGGCTGTAGGAGTCGATCAGAGCCATTAAATTCGGGTCGGAGCTGCGTAAATGTTGGAGGGCGAGGTTGATTTCGGATTGGGAGGTTAATGGGTTTAGGGTTTTGGGGAGAGCGGAGGAGGAGGAGGTGAGGGGCTTGGTGGTGGGGTTGTTGGAGAGTTTTAGGATTTTGCGGGGTCGGAATGGTATTTTGGGGGAAATGGAGGGGTTTGGGGAAATTTCGGTTGGTATTTGAGCTTGGGATCGCTTAGCCATAATGGTGGCGATGATGGTTGGTGGCGGCCAATTGGTGTTTGCTCTGCCTAAAGGGTGAAGAGACAATGAAAAGTCGTTGTTCTAAGATACGACTTTACGTAAAAACCTATCGTAGTAACCGCGTGTTGGCGGCTAATGGCCAGCGTACGGCCCATGGTCGACTTGATCTACTGGACTTTCTGATCCAATAAGCTCGGACCCAGTTTGGAATTTAATTTGAGCCTGGGGACCGGGGTTTTCAGCCCGATATAAACAGTTATGGGACAGCTCCCTTTCTCATCAGTTGAGATATAGAAGATTCGAATTTATGACATATTTCAGTATTGAGAAGATAAATACTACTAGATTAATAATTAATTTCAGTCCGTAACATTTGAAAAGCTTACAAAATAATTATCAAATAGAAACATTCTATCAAATTTAGTACCAAAGAGTAAAAATATCTATGAATTCTCGGAACATAAGAAAATTCATTTAAATTCTTGGAGCAAACATCGTGGTTTTAACCGGCTAACAATACTAAACAGTAAGACAGTTTTTCGTAGTTATACTTGAAGCAATATATAGGAAGGGGAACACAAATACATAGAATGATTGGGTTTTATTTCTGAGCTCCATCTTCATGGGGGAGGGAAGCAAGGAATCGCTTGAGACATCTATTGTAAACACAGGGTCTTTCCAAGTGGACCAAGTGACCTGCCTTCTTTATGCCTTCAAATGTTGCATTTTCTCCTAGTTGTCTGCGTACACATTAAACAAAAATAATATCATTCAAACACATCTTAAGCTACTACACAAAATATTTAGAGGGCAAATTAAGCTCATTGGACCTACTCTTTCATGTTGTGGGCAAGCTCCTGCTGGAATATCTGATCATTTTCACCCCACAACAGATGTATTCTCTGCAGAGATATGTACAGAAATTAGAACAAAATAAATTCTTGAGTGATATAATTAAGAAACACAGAAATGAAAGTAGCATAGAATCTCCAGAAGAGAGTGAGTGCATGTAGATCACCTGTGGGAATTTGGGGATTGTTGGGTCCTTGGTATCAATGACTAAACCTTCAAGGAGTTCTTCTCTCTCCTTCCTGTTGGTGAACATCACCTACAGATTGGCAGTAGCCCAAAAAAAACTTTAGCTAGAGGTTGAACGATTTTGCTTCCTGAACAACGTAACAATGATGATGTTATCTTCCTAGTTTGCACATACCAAGGCGTTTTTACTCTTCAAGTTTTTTTCTTCTTAAAGATTAAGAAGGGAAAATTGAATTCGAAACCTATTCCAACATCATAAAAAATAAATAACAATAAATTGTTGGTCTATTTGGGTTAAACCTATGAATGTAGGTCGAGCTTATAATGTTTTCGTTACAAATTTAATGATTATTTTCTAAAAAAATTTCAGAATTGAAAGTTTATCAAAACTCTTTCATCATTTGTTTATAAATTAACGTAATTTTGGACATAAGCACAATATCAATTCTGAAAATAATTATAGAATATCAAAACCCTTTCATCTATACAATTTTGTGATCCCAATTATGCCTAGATGCATTTGTTAACCCTTTCATTCAAAAGGGTAATCCTTCCCTTGTCCCACATCCCATTTATGTCTGACAATTCTGCAAAATTTCACTATCCACCATAGGCTCACCAGAATAAGAAAAGAAGACAAATATCTCAGAACCAATCAAACATGAAACTCTAGTAGTTTTCCCAATTTTTCTCAAAACATGCATACCTTTCTATTTTTGGGTATAAAAAAAACTTGCATACTTGTTTGTTCAAACCCAAAAAGAAGAAGAAAACAAAATTGAATACCTCGAGGAAGTCCTTGTGAAGCCGGTCAGGAAAATAAAGCTTCTTATGAGCAGCAATAGAGAGCAAGGTCTTGAGCCCCTTCACCGAGCTGGGCAGCAGAAGCTCCGAAGAAGACCCGCACCCAAGCCTCTCCATGGTCTCGTCGCTGACCGAGCAAGTCATAGCCAAGATCGAGCCGGAAACCACCAGGGCTCGAACCATGTCCGGGTACAGCTCGGCCAATTTGAACCCCACCATCCCGCCGTAGCTAAACCCAACCACCGTGCACCTCTCCACCCCGAGCTTCCTCAACCCCGCAGCCAAACATTCCGCCTGCAGAGTCGGTGATCGGTCCGCCTTATCGGTGGCGGAGCCGCCGAAGAAGAGGAGGTCCGGGACGTAGACTGAGTACTTTTTGCTCAACGCGCCAATCTGAAACTGCCACGTGACAATCCCCTCGGCTGCGAAGCCGTGCACGAGGACCACGACGGGCTTTGTTGGGCTGGCCTTGACGGTGGGCTTCTGGCCCTTCTTGGGCTTGTCGAGGGTCTCATTTGGAACCCAGAAGTTCATGGCCGTGCCAGGTTCGAGCTCCACCGTGTACGGCCGCACTCCTGCCATTTTCATGAGCCCATGCAGTAAGGGTCTCTGCAGCGCTACCAAGTTCACCATGTGTTTGTTTAAAGTCCTCTGTGAAAACTTTCTCAGTGTTGAGGCTCTCAAACCATGTGTTCAGAAGCTGGGTTGCAGAGATGGGTTTAAAACCTGGGTGGGAAATTGAGGTTTGGTGATGGGTTGTTATATCTTGTGCCATTAATGGAATCTAAAATTTGAATGAGATAGGGAATTTAATGTTAGTAAATTGGGAGCTTTGGAAGCTTCTGTCTGTAATAAACTAGTGAAGTTTTTCTTCTTGTAGGTGAGTGATCTAGTGGATTGAGCAGACACCGCTAGCAGAGTTTCTTGCACGAAATCTCATGTTGTTTATCTTTTGAGTGATGAACTTGTTTAATCAAACTTATGAACTTGTGTTTTGTCAAAATACTAAATCTATAAGTGTGAATAATTTATGTACATATACACACACAATTAGTTTCGTGTAAAAATGGTATTATTTTGGTCTCTTGAGACTGAAAGAGGAAAGACCATGTGTTTAGGGGTCCAAAGTCTCTCAGTATCTGGCGTTCATTTTTAGGTTTCTTCTCAAGTTTTTTTTTTTTTGGTCAAAGAGTTTCTTCTCAAGAATTATTCTCAGTTTTGCTGAAATTTTGAAAGGGTTTTATCATGCACTGAAAACTTTAAAAATGGAGGGTTTTCGGATCTTATTAGGACAATTATTCGAGATGAAGAGCTCTAATGATATGTTCTTAAAAGTGACACTCACCTAGATTTTTTGAAAAGAAGATATGCGTAAATAAATAGGAACATGTTCTGTAATGTGATAGGTTGGATAGAATAATAATAATCAACAACTAAAAATTAACACATATTCGCTCTAACAATATAATATGTTTAATATATAACAAAATATTATTTATATATAAGTCTTTCTTGCATATTTAACCCGTTGATTAGAGCGATTCCATCGATGCGCCTAAGGGGAGGGCTGGGGGAGTTGGTTTGGGCTAAAATCTGTTTGCAGCGGCAAGGGCTAGCCCTGGCAGGAGATGGGGCCCACAAACCCAGGCTAGCCCTCAGGCAATATCTGTCTTAGTTCCAACCCCAGTTTGCTGACGTCAACAATGATGTTAGCAACAAAAAAAAAATTTTAAATAAATCGAAATAAATTTACAAAAAATTTCAGATTTTTTTAAAATAAATACTTATTTGTAGTTTTCACTTTCCACACCAAAACTCTATACAAATTTCTCTTCTCATATCTCATGTGAATAGTTGTTGCCATGACAATTGGTGAAAACACCACAACCTTTTGCAAGGGCAGCAACTATTCATGTGAATAATGGCTGCCCTAGCCCCCCCTTGCCATGGCAAATGGCAAATGGCAAATGGGTAGAGTTGCTCTTAGAAGTAATGATTTGGGTTTAAATGTTAATAGTTAAGATTTTAATCCAAAGGTTTATAATGACCAAGAGGGTACGGATTAATTTATAGTATATATGTCGTTGTTGCTTTGTGTGCATAGGATATGTGGATTATTATTTTTCCTGTTCAAGGTACAAGGTTGTTTGGCTTTTGATCAACTGCTCCGCCTACCGCTGCCGTCTGCCTAACTTTATGGTGGACCTTATGAGTGGGGTAGTGAATTACTAAAGAATGTGAAGGGCTTTTGACTCATTTCGAACTGACGTTTGCATTTGATCCAAGGTTTTGAGTTTGAGTCTTTTGACCTTCATTGCATTGATATATCCTTTTCTTTTTAAATAAAATAAAATAAAGCATATGCTATATGCTTATTATCTCGTTAATTAGAGCATCTGCAATGATTAAAATCAATGCAATTTTATTGCATGAAATTGAACTCAAATATTAAAATTTCACTTACAATTTTATATATATTTATATATTTTAGTCAACTGAACTGTGAACTCAAACTTAAAATCTCTTTCAATAGTGAGAATAAAAGTATATGCTACATGATTGTTGATGTGTTACTCAAAATATAACTCCTAAATTTACCATAATTTAGAGTCAGAAGATGAAAATGTATGCTTTTATTTTTCAGATTTTTCAAACGATAGCCCAAGTATGCTTAATGGCTTACATTTGTGCAATAATAACTGAGCCCGCTATAAAAGTTTTTTTCTCATCAATAATACTATTTGCTTATTTGCATAAATAACACGTGGAGTAAATCTGACACATCAAGTGTATTTGTGCGCCAATCCAAAAGTTGTTGACGGTGGCAACCTTTGGCGGTCTTCAGATAAAGAATCGCTTTAACTATTATTTTGATCCAAAATAATAATATTTTTAAAAATTTGGAGATTTATTATTATCCCCTTCAAAAATTACAAGGAAATAAATATTAAGAAAAATGGTCTTCGAGACTTTGACTGCGGCTAAATTACATTTTTGTAACCACGTCAAGCGATATCAAAGAAGAGAAAAAGTGAAAATTATAATTCAAGTATGAAAAATATTATACTACTGTCACGTGCCTTGTATTAAGGTTTTTTAGGGTAGGTCGGTGAGATATTTTTTTTCAAAAGTTAAGACTTGCGAAGCTAACCCATTTTCTCAACGGTGAGGTCGCCTTGCCATTGTGGCATTATTAACAAGGTAGGTTACTAAAGTTCAGATTGCGTTAGGTTTTTGGGTCATCTAAGTCAAGGGCAGGAGCCGCATATCCGGTCACTGCTTCTCAACCACCCATGGAGGAGGTGGACATATTTTAGGTAATTTCTCATTTCTTAATAATAATGCTAAATTCATCACAATTTTAGGCCACACTAATATTTTTAAAAAAAAATTAAAAATTAAAAAAGAAAGAAAAAAAGAAAGAGAGTCGGTCTGAATCAACTTAAGAATATATCAGGTCGGCCCAAAACGGATCAACTTAAGAATATATTAGGTCGGCCCATATACACTGAGTTGGTCTAAATCTTGGACGCTACAGAGTTGCACAAACTGAGTTTTGAAAATATGAAGGAGAGGGTCGAGAGGGCCGAGTACATATTTATTAATATTTTAAAAATAATAATGATCAATTAAAATTTTCACCTAGGCACTAATGTTAATGTATGATCGTCCTTCATGGGTAGAGATGAAAAGTTCTCCGAAAAAAACGGTGTTGTAGACATTAAACATAGTGATTTATACATATAACAAAAGACGGAGAACGATAAACAAGAGTGATTAAGTCGGTTGGCAATGACTTGCATTAATATTGCTTGACCACTAGCTAGGATGGCATGTGAGAAATATTTGGTGCAGTAATTTAGAAAACTGAACCCCCTCCAAAACTTTAACACAAGGGGAATATCAAGCATGTGACTAAGGTACAAAATTTACGAGATACAAACAAAGGTAAAAATGCTTCTTTTTTTATTTTTATAAATTTTTATTTCCCCCCCTCTGTTAGTTAATGCTACAAAATTTAAACCTGACAATATGGCAATTTACTTACATAGTAGTTTGACCGACAGAAGGCTGACTGTGGTGATCGTGAACCCGTGAGACTTCTAAAAAGCGCATGGCGATTTGGCATGCATCATCACCAAAATACTTCCATCTTTCATTAAATTGATCACCCTCCACAACACAAGAACCCATTTGCTGACCACGGAAAAAACCACACACTCAAGAAAATTAACTACACTGAACTGAACAGAAATTGAACGGTCAGATTGAATTGGACGTACGGACGGTCAGCGTATGATCAGAAAAAGACAAAATGACTGAAACCTCAGAAGTGTCCGGTCCAAGTCGAGAGACCGTGAATCTAACAATCGCCATTGGACAATCAGATGCATTCCCCAGGTTAAAAAAAGTGAACTGATATTTGTGAAATTCAGTAACAACTAAATGGCTTCCGATTCAGGTGAGCTTTAACTTGCAGTTCAATGCTCATGTGATAGCCGACTAACAACTAGTAACTCCTCCTACCAGGGTGTAATAATTATATAAAATATCCAAAAACGATAACCGAGTTGAGACGTCGGTTAGGTCAGTTGGTCAGAACATGGAGTTCGTTGTCTAGCACCCAAGTTCGAATCCCCATAAAAATAGATAACTGAGAGCTCATGATCATCAAGTTAATCAAACGGTGGGCATGCATTTGTCATGTAGATCATCATTCATGGAATCATGGTCGTCATTTGTAACATGAAGCGAACCAACAGAACAGAAAGGCAGTAGGTTTATATGTAACTCATGAGGAGAAATATAGAAAGAAAAAAAAGTTATAAGAAATAAACAACTTGAGAAGAAAAAAAAATAAGAAGAAGCAAACTAATTAACAACATGGAATTAATTAATTCATAATATTTCTTCATCAACATCTTCGCGAGCTCATCTTGTGAAGTCATGGACGAGGCTTGGTCTGTCTGTGACGTTGAGACGCCAAGAGAGGAAGGGAATGCCGGTGGCGTCGTTTTCGTGGTGCGCAGTGTCGTCCTCCATGAACCGAAACTCGTTGCCCATGGCAGGAGAGAAGCACGGCATTTTCTGTGTTTGTGAATGCGGCATCCATGAATTGTTGTGGTGGTGCTGGCTCAACATGTGGCTGTTGTGCTCCATTCCTACGACACTCGAACTGGCGCCGTTTGCTGCCGCCGCCGTGGCACGCCTCTCTTCTTTCTTGAACCGAATTCCACAGGCATTGCACAGTGACTGCAAAATCAAAGGATTTAAATTGGTTTGATTAAAATGTTACAAAATTATAATTTGTAGGGGAAAAAAATGTAGTACAAAAAAATCATTGGTGGTTTGACTTGGGAGTACAAGTAACAATCATTACGAAAAAGAAGCTTAGAATCCCATCATTTTTTTGGGATAAACTTCGTAATTAATCACATCATTACAAAATTAAAATACAAAATTAATTAAAATGGGTTAATGGCATGATTGGAATTAGGTGGTGTACCTTGGGGCCTCTTGGACCGTTTCTCCAGAGAGGGGTGGAGGTGGTGTCGCAGTTGGCGCAGCGGCGGGCGAGGAGGGGGTCGTTATTAGAATGGACGGCGTTAGATACGCCGTTACCATTGCCGCCGCTGCGGTGGCTGCCGTTCTTGTGATGGTGGGAAGACGTGGCTGACGTGGCGTGGTGCTTGGGCTGCAACAAGTCCCAGCAGAAGTTGGAAACGCTGCGGCGCTCGTTGCGGGTACGCTTGTCGTCGAGGATGACGTCGTTTTCGGTGAGGCGAGTGGAGGGAGTGCCTAGGGAGAGAGTACAGTCGACAGAGGAGGAAGAGGATGCGAACGGGTACATGTGATTATGATGATCATGCTGCGTTTCATGATGGTGATGATGATGATGATCGTACGGCTTGTGATGGTTGGGCATGGAGAAGAGCATGGAGAAGGAGGAATTGGATTGGGTGTGGTGGAGGACACCGCATGTACATGGACCGGCCATGTTCCCATGTGAGCTGCTACTACACCTCTGCATAATTTCTTCTTCTTCTTTTTTTTAAATGTTCTTTTTTTGGTGGGTTTTTCTGGGTTTGTTTTTATTTTTGTTTTCTCAAAATGGGTTTGGTTTGCTTTGGTTTGCTTTGAATGAAAGCAAAGTGTGGTGGTGGGTTTTTGAAGAAGAAGAAGAAGAAGTAGGAGGAGGCAAATAGTGAAGTGAGACCGAAGTGTAATAATAAATGGGTTTGAAGAAAAAAAAACTTGGGGGGAGAGAGAGAGATAGAGAGAGAGAGAGAGAGGAGGGAGAGGAGTGAGAAGGGGTTGTTGTCTGGTAGCTTTATAAGCTAATAAAAGGGCGAAATACCAGTCAGCAGCTGCAGTCCACGTTGTCGTGAAATGCAAATAGAGAGGTGTATTATATATATAGCAAGGGAAAGGGTGATAAAGATGGAGACAGAGAGGGACCCAATTTGCATGTTACAGAGAGAGAAAAAACACATAATGGACCAAGAAGAAGACTGAGTCATTTAGTCAGTTACCCTCCTCAGCCTCAGTCTCAGAGTGTTTATATATCCATCTATTTATCTCTCTCTCTCTCTCTCTCTCTGCTACTAGTACTAGCACTTGTAGGGCATCAACGAGTGTACATTATTTCACAAACTACAAATACTAAAATCACATTTTCGTATGTTCGTATTAAATTGTGTCATGTTATTGTATGTATGTCAAACTGTGATTTAAAGATAAATTTCAAACCGTTGGTGTTGTTCGAAATTGAAATTTTAAATAATGTAAAAGGTAATGAAACAAAAAATGAAATGAAAGAAAATGATAATGAGGGAGGAGAATAGTGGGAGAAAGGAAGGGGTTTGGTTTTGGTAATGGTGAGAGAGATTGGGGTAGTCAAAAGAGCCCACGTGACTAGCGGGAACAGTCTTCTATAGATCTGCCTTCTCCGATCACGAGGCCTAATGAGTCTGGTGGTCTGGTCTCAAACCCAATACCATCAAAAACCTCTGTCCGTATCCGTATCTCTGCTCCTCTCTTCTGTCACTGCCACCCTCCCAAGGAAAATGGAATAGTCTCTCTCCCTCTCTCTCTCACTCTCCCCAGTCCCATTCGCACTCCCACACACCACATTCACGTTTTTATAATTACCATTTTACCCCTCTATCTCTCCCTCTCTTCTCTCTTCTCTCTCCTCTCTATCCCTCTCTCTATCTCTGCCACAAGTATATTCAGATATTCAAAGCCCTTGTTAGTCTTTGTCACCCTGTCACGCTCTTTTTCGGAGCTCTGGACTAGGTATATATGTATATGTACCCACAAAATTAAAATTAGGTGGGTTACTTAATTAGTTTTAAGGAAGAAAATGGTTATATATCATTCGTTCATTCACGCGTGAGTTAAAAATTTATTGTTATATTTGGTCGAGCTTAATTAGATAACTTACTATAACATTCTTTGGGTAAAAAAAGAAAAAGTATAGATGTGCCAATCATTTCACTAGTGAATCTTAATCGTTCACCGATGCTACATATTTACAAATTCATCACTATACCTATGTATTCTCTAATTCTAAAACTCTGTTTGTTTATTATAGGGTGTCAAATCCATCCATCAAAATCGACCCATGCCCTAATAGTCCATTTTACCACAAGAGGAGCCAGTTTTTGAGCCCTAGCAAAGTACTTCTACTACTACTAGTATAATTTGCAGTGGCCGTACCCAGTGGAATCACGTGAAGTAGTAAACAAAGGAAAAAAGAAGCCAAAATGGTCATCATAAAACCCTCAAGGCTCTCAATTAGTTTTGAGAAAATCCTCAAAATACCCATCACAACTCAACAAGTTAGCTCGCTTTTGAGATATTGTATGAGAGTAGGAAGACTAGTAGTAGTAATAGTAGAAGATTTGGAGATTTTGATCAGACAGAAAAGCGAAAGAGAGAGACAGGGAGAGAGTGATAAAGTTGCACAAATATGACACAACGCAATCATCAAAGCAACACAACACTTTGGAAGTTCTGGGTGTTTTTCTTTTTTATTTTCTGTTGGGTCAAACCGTCAAAGATGGAAACTCAAAAAAGATCAAAAGGGTACTTGCTAGTAAAATCAACAAATCAAAAACAAATATAAATATAAAAATATTTAAAAAATTTGGGAAGAAAAAAAAGGTTGTGGCCCCCACAATATTATGATGGGCGGGCAGGCAAGCAAGCCCCAACAAACAAACCTCTCTGGAAGCCCGACCCCATGTTTTGATCAAAGATTCAAAACACAACCAAAGACGCAGAGAGAATCAGATCGTCTAGAGATTGGTGAGGCCACAGTTGGACAAACGGGACGACTACCGCTTTCCAAAAGATGCTCTCGCTCTCTCTATCTACCCATTCGCTCTCTAAATGAGAGAGAACAAAGCAAACAATCAAACAAGCAACCAAGCAAACTACGATTAGCCCAAGACAACACTCACTAAGTGTTGCATTTTTTGCTATTACACATAACACATGCATTTCTCTCATCCCCACGCGACCTCTTTCAACGTGTGACCTGCAATAGTAGCTTATGTTTAATCATAAACTAATGTGTGTGTCAGTCATCATTACATGGCATATCGAGGTGGCATTGTTACGATTCTACATAAATTATAAATTAAGCAACATGTTGATACAATATTATTAAGGGAGTTTCACTAAAACACCCAAAATGGGAGTTGAAATTATAAAAAAACCCAAGCACTATTTAAACATATAAACACACCCAAAACCCATCATTACACACACTCAAAACCCATTTATAAACACACCCAAAAAGTTGACTTTGGGGTTGATTTTGGATGTGTTTCTATGTTTAAATAGTGTTTGGGTTTTTTTATAAATACATGTCTAGGATTGGGTTTATTTATAAATTTGTATATTATTAATTAATTTAAATATGTATGCATATGTGAGTTAGGTTAATTGGTCAAACCAGCGAGTCCGTCTTCTTTAGTTCAAATTTGAATCCTTATGTTTGTAGATTTGATTAACATAAGTAAATTAATAACATCACATGACGTTGTGACTGTTTAAACCTAAATACAACGAATATTTAGTATTGTCCTGTGTAAAATACACGCTCTATCAAATGTGGTGGTTGGGTTTGCCCAAGTAAATTCGAGTAATTAATGCGGATCTATTTATAATGTATTTAATGTTACTCTGGGATTTGCTTAATCATCCAACCCCCAAAAGAATCTAATTAGTGTTGGTTCACGGCCTCTCATGCACGCAACGCAAGCAGTAGTAGTCATCGTCGCATATGCTCTCTCCTCTATTAATCATGATGTTTTGTGGCTCGTTGGATTTGGTGGGGCCCGCTCTTAATTGGGCCTTGGTAAGGTATTTTTTTTTTTTTTTTTTTTTTTTTTCTTTTCCCAAGGCAACCCAACGACGACGACGACCAGAAAAATATCGTATCTGCCTAAAAATAATTAATAAATAATCATCACTATCACTAATGGGAGTGCCACGTGGAAGCCGCGGAGGGATTTACTTTGCATGCATGCATGCAAATGGGTGTGGTTTTATTATAAGTTGCAAATAATAATAAAAATGATCAATTATGAGCTTTGGAACCCATAAAAATACACATTCCTCAAAAGCACCAAGATACAACTGGAATGTCTGTCCCTCTTCCCCTCTCTCTCTCTCTCTCTAGGGTTTTTGATTTATTTAATTTGGTTTTTAACTTTTTAGCTAAGGTGGGTTGGTTTGGGTTGGGTTTGGGATTGGTCTTGGAGGCTGGTCAATACGTGGTTGACCAGAGGATCTTTGTTGGCTGCCAGGTAAGAATAAATTCAATAAAGTAATAGTATTCAAGTGGGAGTTGAGAGAAAATAAAAAAGCAAAAATTGGGAAGGGAAGTAATAAGTGGACCAGCATTTAGAAAAGGGGCGTGAGGTGAGAGGGAGAAGGAAGAAAACCCCCCTAACAAGCCGTCCTATGAAATGAAAGCTAAATCCTTGTCAGTATCATGACATCTACTCATATCTATGGGGAACACTGTAAACCTCTAATTGTCTCCTCCAAGGAGGTCTAAATAAAGCTCAAATATACTAGGATTTCTTTCCTTTCTTTTTTCTTTATTTATTTTTTGCATTTCTTCTTAGGGTTTTATGCATGATCTAAATAAATAAAAAATAAAAAGGAACATTGCAGATCCATTTCCATCTCTCCTAGGCATAGGATAATTTTATATCATAAACATTTTTAAATTGACAGTATTACAACATAACACGTTTATCGCATGCGTTATTTTCTATTTGAATATACGATACAAACTGACCAACAACAAAACACACCAATTCTATTGATTTAATGTGCAGAAGAATTCTTAATCAACTTTTGAGCCAATCGAATGTTGATTTGCTACATAAGGCAACATGAAATTGATGAACCGACCGACATGCAGAATGTGGAAAAGTGCCAAAACTAAGGGGATAGCGTACGTTCTTGGCTCAGATCTAGTCTTCATGATATATACCCCAACGCCAGGCTTTTCCTTTCTTCTCCCTCTCCTACAACATCTTTCTCCTCCACACTTTGAATCTCTTTTGAACCTTTTGCAGAGGAACATCAAGACCAACCAACACATTTCTCTTTTAAGGAATATGTATAAACTTCCTGATCTGGGAACTGTCGCGCTTTTTGTTTTTCTGCTAAGGAAGATCTATGATCCCTCATTGCGATCCAGATCTTGACTGCTGAATCTTCTTTACAACTTCAGACGGAATCAAATGCATAAAATTTGATTCCAACCCCCTTTTTCAAATCGTCCAAGTTTAAAGAAATATTTACGGACACGTAACATGTCATTGAGGTTATCAATATTGAAAAATGTCATAAATTCAAACCTTCAGGTAATTGTTAATATTATGTGTGTACATTTTTTCTTTAAAACTATTTAGTGCTTCAACCTTATGATACACAATCACATATTTTCTAGTATCATAATTTAAAATGTATGTTCGTCATCCATTCATGTTAAAACACGTCGACTAGTAACACTGTGTGGGCTATTCCAGTACCATCAAATAAGGTTTGTGGGCTTTAAAGGCCCAACTAAAATGAGCGGGTCTACAAATATGGTTGCAAGCAAATTGGGTTTGTTCCAAGTTTAATGAAGCACAACTAAAAATTGGACCGTACTTATATGGGCTTTTTGAATGAAGCTCAGCCCATAAATAAGTTAGGGCCAGCTTCTCCCGCCACCTCTTCCGTTAAACCCTAAACCCTAAATATCAGAAGCTTTACCAGTTTCCAACTACACGTTCGGTTTTAGCTCCGAAAGCAAAACCAAAGCCAAAGCCAAAAGAAGAACAATGGAATCGGTTGCAGACACGAACTCAGTGGACCTGAAGGTGACGGAGCTCTTGAAAGAGGTCCAGCTAGACTATTCACCTGCATTCACTAAGGCCGTAGACGACGCCGTTTCAGCCATCAAAGGAGCCATCGATAAAATCCCAGAAAACCTCAAGGTTAGTTTCCTTTCCACACTCCCTCCTGAAACCGAATTCCTAACTTCAGATGGGTGCCGATAAATTGTAGCATTTTGAGCTGGATTATGTGTTATTTATTCTTTGAATTTGAAAAGCTATCTTATAGGGATGCATTTTTTCAAGAATTGGACTTTTACTCATATTCATCTAATGAATTTGTTTTTCACCATTTACATTGAACTCACTGGCCATCCTTGGTTTAAAATTCGGGCAGGTTACAGCTGATGAAGCTCCCGGATTCGTCAGAGACATTGGTGCAGACAAGGTTGAGTTCGAGTTTAAGAAGCCGAAATCAATTGCAGTTGGTGGGAGTTATGCCCTACAGTGCATTGTAAAACCTGAGGTTAATGTGGACCTTTTGGTCAGGTTGCCCAAGGTATTTGAACACCAAACTTCATGATTGTAACATGTTTTTTTGTTTTGATAATCAAAATAAGTGTGTTAATTCTGAATTATTTATTATCGTTGCCAATTGAGGTTAGAGTAGTTTTTGGTAAGAAGATTAGGTGATCAGGATTCACGAGAGGTTGTATTTACTCATGTGGGAAGTTCATGAATCTAACTAATTTTCTCTTTTGCAGGAGTGTTTCCATGAGAAAGACTATTTGAATTACCGGTACCATGCGAAGAGGTGCCTGTACCTTTGTGTAATTAAAAAGTTTTTGATGTCTTCTTCATTAATTCAGAAGGTTGAATGGTCCACCTTACAGAATGAAGTCCGGAAACCTGTATTGATTGTCTATCCAGGTTTGTTTTCCTGCAGCACCTTTTGATTTTTTTTCTTGCTGAATATTTTTTCGTTTCTTTGGTGCCTGATAAATGCAACTTTTGAATTACAAATAAATCGGTATCACAGGCATGAAGCTTGTTGAAATCCCTGAGTTTTGTATAAGGATAATTCCTACAGCACCATCCCTTTTTAGCCTTCCGAAATTGCACTTGAATCGTAATAATGTTCGTGCTCTAAATCAAGGTAAAGTATGTTATCGTGTTTGTGCTATTTGATGATGTTTTCAAGTTAAATGCTTATAATATATTGAACTCTTTTTTGAAGGGGGCATTCCTCAGGCGACTCCTAAGTATAATAGTAGTATTTTGGAAGACATGTTTATTGAAGATATGGAAGAATTTCTCAAGAAAACTTTTCTGGGTTGGAAGGAATTACAAGAGGCCTTAATGTTGCTGAAGGTATAAACCAAGTGCTCGCTTGTCATTTTAAAAATCTTAATGCAATATCTCTGACAAGGGTATTCTTATTGATGTAGGTCTGGGCTCGTCAGAGGACACCAATATATGCTTATGATTGCTTGAATGGATTTTTAATCTCTGTCATATTGTCATATCTTGCGGATAGAGATCGTATTAAGAAATCAATGAAGGCAATGCATATACTCCGTGTTACACTGAACTTCATTGGTATGCTTATTTTACAGGATTTTTTTTTGTAGTTTGTTTTTTCAAAACAAGGAACTGTTGTGCACTACAGAAACTAGATTGTCTTACTTGGCTATTTTCTAACTCAAAGTTGGTTTTTCAAGGCTTTAATAGAGAACTGTGATGACTATTATACTTAATATTGTTATTTCATGTGCAGCCACTTCAGAGCTTTGGAAACATGGGCTCTACTTTACGCCGAAAGGCCAAAATGCTATTCCAAAGGAGGTCTGCTGTTACTGGATCTTAATATCTTCAATTATGGTTTTCACAGGTTTTTTGTTGTTTTTGTTCCACAAAATAGACATGTGATGTACTCGTCATTTTGGTTTTCTTGTTTTATGTCTGTACCTGTTTTCCCCAAATGATTTCTAGAGAGAAACTATGACTAAGAAACAGACAAGTTGGGAAGTAAGATCAAATGACATACTTATGAACTTCACTCTGAGCACACTATCCTTTATATATTGTCAGTCTGTTATGTCTCTTATCAGTTGAAATAATTTGAAAAACTTGCTTTTGTTTTTCGGACTGAAGCTTTGGAATAGTCTCTTTACAAGTATCCTTCATTGCTTGCTTATTACTTCTGTGTCTATTTTGAAACTTCTACAAAATGCTCTCCCCTATATTGTATTATACTGATGTTAGTTAACTATGATCTTTGGGATTGCAGAAAAGGTTGCCTCTTAAAGAATCATTTCCAGTTGTTATATGTAGTCCGTCTACAAACTTTAATTTGGCCTTCCGGATGACAGGGGTTGGATTCCTCGAGGTACTACTGATTAACAGTTAAATTTTGCTCCATAGTAATGATATATAGTACACACTCGATTGACCTCTTTACAAACTAATGTATTTCTCTGCATTTCAGCTCCAAGATGAGTCTGCTTTGACACTTGAATGCATAAAGAAAGGTAGAGATTGTGGATTTGAAGAAATTTTTGTGACTAGGGTTGACTATCCTGCAAAATACGATCACATCATAAGGTATAATTTTTTCAAATCTATTTCTTATTGAAGTTGTCTTTATTGTGTACAATGACCTTGTGTTAACTTTTGATTTGAGACTGCATTATCCCTACTGTCCTTGCCTGCTTGTGGTTTGATTTTTTCTTTTTGTGTGCATGGTTGCTCTTTTAGGTTGAACTTAAAGGGGAACAGTAAAGTTTATGCATCAGGATTTTGCTTGGATGATGAATGCTGGAGATTGTATGAGCAGAAGGTGCATAATGTTTTAATTCAAGGGTTGAGTGACAGAGTGAAGACTGTACGTGTCACTTGGAGAAACATGTTATCTGAATGCAGCATAAAAGATGTACGGTATCAAGTATTTAACTTTAGCACCTCACGTCAAAGAATGTTTTTGTACCAGATCAATTTGTTTATATTGGTATGTGTCTCCAGGGATTGTCAACACTCAATGCAGAGCCATTGCTTATTGGAATTTCAGTGAGCTCTTTAGATAAAGCTTTTAGGATTGTTAATATTGGTCCAGATGCTGATAATAAAGAGGAGGTATTTTGAGTGTATGTTTGGAATTATAAGTCAATTATTTCTTTTGGTGCATGTATTGATTTTACTCATTCTCTCTAGGCTCTCAAATTCCGCAAGTTCTGGGGGGAGAAGGCAGAGCTCAGGAGATTTAAAGATGGTAAAATTGCAGAAAGCACAGGTAAGGCTTAAAAAAAAAAAAAAAAAAAAAATTTCCCTTTTTTTTATTATGATTTACATGATTTAAAATTTAATGACACTGTTTGCACAATTCCTTAGTTTGGGAAGTGATCAATGGAAAAGACATATCATTTTAAAGAGGATTTCTGAGTATGTGCTTCTGCGACATCTTTCTGTATCAAAAGAGAATATAATGCACATCGTGGATCAACTTGATTTCTCGTTGCTATATGGCACTGAAGGTAAACTAGAGCCATTTGTTACCATTAATTTTTGTGCAATTTCTATATAGTTCTCTTGTTCTTTGTTTCATTTATTGCTTTATAAAAACATCTTAACTCCTGCAGATCCTATATCATCTTCTGGGAGTTTGCTTGGGGCATTTGAAATTCTATCAAAACAACTGCGTCTTATTGAAGACATTCCTCTGAAGGTTTCTACTGTGCAGCCCCTAGATTCAGGTGTAATTTCTTAGCTGGAAAAAAAAAAGAATTTAAATGCCAAGCATGAATTGTCTATTCCAAATATTTGATTATGGCTTGTATTCTCTCTGTGTTTGGGATATGGAATTATTTGATTGTTGTTATACGTTGTGTTCGTTAGCATCAACCCTTTCATTCCAGAATTTTAATTTCAAAGGTTGGTGGAAATATTCTCATTATATTTCCTTTTTCTTCTGTATAACTCATCAAAAGTTTTAGATTAAAGTTTTTTACACATGTGCACGCACACACACATGATGCTCTAAAATTTGGGGTAATTTGAAACCTTTTTTCAGTATTGAAGATCTGTACAGTCACTTTGGCCCACTTGGGTTTTTCCTCAGCATGTGTGTATACCTTTTGTCGATAAAAGAGATTGGCAAATTTTATTCATTGCTCAAAAATATAATAACAGTCATATAGCTTGTAAAAATTCATTAGTAATATGATTTTGAAATAATAGTATAATTATATCCAGAAAAAAAAGAAGATAAGAATTTGTATATAAAGGTATGCTTTTTATATAGCTCTTCCTTCAACCTCTTTTGCTCAAGGTCAAGCAATGCACGCTTATCATGACATCTATATATTTATATACAGCTTTCAGGTTTTCATCTGTCTTCCCACCTGAACCTCATCCCCTTGCTAATGAAAAGGGTACTTTTCTAAGACTACGTAGTCTCCCCCCTTCCTGCATTCGTCCGCTGGAAGTTATGATCCAGGCACGCCACTATATCCTTCGACTATTCATGATTTTTAAAATTAATATTTCCAGTCAGTTAACAAAATCTCATTACTTGATCTAATTAGTTGGAAGGTTCTGGAAACTGGCCAATGGATGATGTTGCGATTGAGAAAACTAAATCTGCATTCCTTCTCAAGATTGGAGAGAGGTGGGCAGACTGGGATTAAAAATTTCAATACTAGCTATACTGTCTTTTGAAAGAATTATCTGATGATGCTACTATGGCAGTCTCCATAATAATTGGGGGATGACATGTACAGCTACTGAGGATGATGTGGATGTTTTTGTCTCTGGATATGCCTTTCGCCTTAAAATTTGGCATGAGAGAGGCCTGACTTTGTTGAGACGGGAAAGTAAGAACTAAGACTCACGTATGATTACATTTTCACTGTTGGGATGTTAGATTATTTTTCCCCTTTTAATAAGAAAGGATGTCAGATTCTATTAATGCTGACCCCTTCAACTTCTTTCTAACTGCAGCTGGAAATGATCAAGTGAAGCAGGTTTCTAATATGGACAGGGAACTATATTTTCGCAGTCAACATTCCAGCATGATTAATGGATTACAGGGTTGTTACGCAGCATATGGGCCAGTTGTTAGGTGAGTTTTACCATTTACATTTTTTTATCTCTTATTTATGATCTTTTACTGCATATAACTTTTTTCGTTTCATGTGAAGGCTTGCAAAACGGTGGGTTGCATCGCATCTGTTTTCTGCTTGCTTGGTGGAGGAGGCAATTGAGCTATTGGTTGCATACATTTTTTTGAAGCCTTTACCATTTAACGCTCCTTCCTCACGAATCACTGGATTTTTACGGTTGACATTTATATATCCTATTTGCAGGGCATTTATATAGTTCTCAATGACACTTTTGCCTAAAAAGATAGAATTACTAAATTGCTTGCTTTCTTTTTTTACTTAGGAGCATCTAAGTCAAATAATTCCAACTTGACTGGCAATTAGAAATAATGCGGTTTAGCACACACACAATAATTATTGCAAAACTTTACAATGGTGCTGTCTTATTCAGCTAAAACTGTTCTCTCATATGCATGGTCATTTCATCAACAGGTTCCTGCGATTATTAGTGGATTATGACTGGACCTTTTCTGCATTAGTTGTTGACATAAATAATGATTTGACTCCAAATGATGAGAAAGAGATAAGTGTAAGTTCTTGAGTTGAGCTTTAATTAAGAACCTTGTTGATCTCTTTGTTTTCTTGAGTTTATATTTTCTTGGTTGCTACTAATAGCAGTTCCCAACTTCAGGATAACTTTATGTCAAGTAGAAAAACTTATGAAGAAAATGTGCAAAGCGTAAATCCAGCAATGTTCTTAGCTACAGCTTATGACAAGGCATCCGAAGCTTGGACCAGATTCTCACCAAACTCAATGGTTAGTAGATCCTTTTGATTGGTTTTTATTTTCCTGTAATAAATTAATTTTTTTAGTAAGTTCTTGGTGCTCTCTCTAGTATTCTGGTCTATGATACTTTTCCTGAGCTGATCCTGCCTATTTAATAAATTTTACTGGCATTTCAATGCATTTCCTTTTCCATTAAAATTCATTGTCTAATTCTTTTCTTGGTTCATGTTAGAATATCAGTTCAAAACTTAGTTTCCATGCAAATGTTGACTATAGACATGGGGGACTTTCGTTAATTCTTCTAATGATTGTAATCAAAACATAAGACTAATTGAAACCATTGGCTGACAGAACATTGAAATGAATAATCCTCAACAAAATGGATGTCTCTAAAATTTGTGATGGCTGGCTATCTGTATGTCTGTACCAAGTGCATTAACATTTTTGCTAGGAATTATAGATATGTTCTTTACTATGCTTATCTAGAAGTTTATCTTGAATATGCAAGGAGTTAAAAAGGTTGATGGCCTATGCTGGTAGCAGTGCAAACTTTTTGACCAAACTGATATCAGAGGATCATAATGATTCTTATAGATGGGAGGTGAGCCTGACAAATTTACTAATTGTATCCGCTAATGGTTTTTCCTTAATGCATGTTTTGATATATGCGAAGTTGTGAACTTTTAAAGTTTAATTCTTGGTTTGCAGTGCCTTTTTAAAACTCCTTTGAACAATTACGATGCTGTGATTCTTCTCCACGGAGATAAATTACCTTACCCCCAACGTCTTCTCTTCTCATCCGAATTAAATCAAGGTTCTTTATCTTACTTGAATGTTTGCATGGCCACGGTTTTATTGCTATTCTCTCCTTTTATGGCAATGCAACACTCAAATATTGGCATGTGCTAAGTTTTCATTATGAGCATATCTTGTTCAGGGGTGCATGTGGCACGTGGGAATGCGAGCAAGGTTTTTCACCCCTTTCTTTTGGCTGGTGATCTGAATGGAAACTCAGAGGACCTAAGGAATAAGCTATTGGTAAACTTTGATCCAATGAGGTGCTTTGTTGGGGATATAGAGGCAAGTATTATGCAATGCCTTAATTTTGACCATGATGCTGTTGCGTTCTATTTCATTCTGGGCCAATGCTTTCTTTGCTTACATCTTCTTTTCTTGAATGTAGAAAGAGTACTCCAACACCTTCAAGCTATGGTATGATTCTCTGGGTGGTGATGCTGTTGGCATAACGTGGGGGAGATATAGTTCAAAGGTATAATTGGATGTGTTACAACAGAATAAATGTGTATCCCAAATTCTCAATGAAAATTTTAAAAAATTATTATTCTACACATCTTAATCAGCTGTATTCTCTGATCCTAATATCTGCAGAAACGGGGGCGGGAAGAAGAAGCTGAGGAAGTAAAAGATCCAACTGATGTATTAAAAGATGTCGGTAAAGTTGGAAAAGGGTTTGTGAGGGGCATTTATCTTCTCAAAGCCCCAAGGCTCATGGGTTAAATCTATTATATCCTCAATTGCTCAAAGCTTCATGGGTGACAAGAATTTTACTTCTCAGCTGCAGCGGCGTTTTGACATGATAAGCAACCCTCAGCTCCATTAATTTAAAGCCGAGGTCACCCATTTATATCCTTGTCGCCATCATAAGCTTGATGTGCGGCCGCAGATTGAGCGAGTTTAGAGGGTCTTTTTTGTAACATGTGTATCATTAGGTTTACAAGTTATTGCAATGCTCATAACAGAAAGAAGCAAAAAAGATAAAGGACACTATCTGTATAGTCGTATTTCCAGCCATGAGAATTTTACTATGTGAAATTGTATTATGTTACAGTGCGCGGCTTGAGAGCAGCATTTTTGTTGATGAGAAATTCTTTCGAACTGTTTCATCTTGTTACTTGAAAGTAGCTTATGGCATGATATGCTCTATATTGTCGAAAAGAGAACAATTATCTCAGTAAGGCTTTCTTTTACTTGGATATGGTAGGAATTCATATCACATGATTAAGGTATTACATGAGAATACAAAGGAACATAATTTAATATCATATCTTCAAAATTATGAGAACTATGATATTTAATATATGTGCCATCTTCGCCATAATCAATATCAAAATGTTTAAAATTGCTGTGGTAAAAACAATTGCAAAACCTCAGTTGAAGCCATTAATGATGGGGTTAAATCCCACAATTCTGGAACTGACGGGAAATTGTAGATTCATCTGCAGCTGCCATGTTAGCAACAAGAGCCTGGTCGCTAGTAACTACAGCAGTTGGAGTGCTTCATGAATGAGTTTTTCTGTGAGTTCTTTAGGTAGCCCCATCACAGTGTCAGTCGTCCCTACCTGCCACAAACCAAACGAAGCACATTGCAAAGAAATGTTTGAGAAGGCAGATCAAGAGCAATAATTGAGGGGCAAACTATTATGATTATTAATATATATGCATGCAAGATGCAAAGATATACTGAGGCTAAAATTCAAGTTTTTTGGTTGCTGAATCATTTGGAAGATGCAAGAAAATTTTAGAACACATTATTAGTGAAGCACAAGGAATGGGGCTAAAAAATGAAAGGACCATATTAAAGGCTCTCTTAGTTGGATCTCTGCAGCATATACATGAGACAGAGAGAAGAGAGAGCTAACCACTGCTTCTACAAAAGGAGATATCAGTGGATGTTCCAGCATCAAACCCCCAGCGACATCGAGTGTAATTCCCTCCTCTATCTGGGCCAACATCAGACTTATAAACAAAATTCAACAAAGAAAAATAGCTCACAATGAAGTACCTAAAGTGATTATGTATCCAATATTTACCAGGCTATCAATAATCTCCTCTGGTATGATATGAAAATAACCTGTACCACAACATCATCAAACAGATATTATAATTACCAAACTAACCATGAAGGATATAACTATCCATAATCTTTGTTAATCACAAACTTGAACCAAAAAAGGGAGAAAAGAAGGTTATTTCTGACATGTTGAAACTTGATGGATGCTCTTTAGGACAGGACAGCTAAAGAATGAGCTTAAGCTGTAAAAGAATAAGTACCTCCGCTCTGCAACATCCTCCTTTTCTTTTTCCTGTTTTAAGGTTGGTCACAAATACAGATCCTATAACTGCTGCTTGACCGCCAGAATAGCCTGCAACTCACAAAGACTTGACCACTACATCCAGCTAATTTTAACAAAGGGAAAAGGTGGACAGTTTCCATTTAAGCAAACCTTTGATAAAATTCCATGCTTCTTCCTTGCTGGATGGTTTTTCCCTTATTATCCCTTCATACACCACCACCTCAAAATCAATAACACGCAGTAGTAGTGAGAATTAACCTTTAACTGCACAGTACATGCCAACAACACAAGAGACACACACAAAAATTCACTACAAGAAAAAACAGCTTCTGATGTTTTTTTACCCGTAACATGTTTTCTGGATAAGTGGGCCACACTTAAAGAGCAAATGGAATTACCAGACCACAGTAAAGGGGATTTCAATTACAGAATTTTAGAACAGAGACATGTTCTATTTCGATTCTTAGCGAATGAGAAACTAATCTATGTCAAAATCAGATACATTTCAAATAGCAAGAAGTTGAAAAATGTAAATATATTACATATAAACGCATACTGTGTCCGCAGTAATCAACAGTGTTGCATGAGCATCTTCATCCGGCTGACTTGTACTTTGAAGCCTTGAAATTATGGCATCTGCCTAACAAAAATAAAAAGGGAGGCAAGACACACTTGAATGAAAGTCATATTCTCATAAATATAATTCAAAAGTCATGCAAACTGAAAAGTAATGCATATAAATTAGAATCTCAGTTCTACATTGCAATTCTTGTAAAACAAAATTGAACCCATTTATTTGACCAGCAAAGTAAAACTAAAGAAATTACAAAACCACCGCCAAATTGAAAGAAAGCAAAGAAAAAGCAAAAGTGGACAAAGAAGACGTACTTTGGCCTCAGCTAAAACCATCACCAATTCCTCAGGCTTATCCATCCTTATACTTTTTTCGTCTATGTCTGCAGTCTTGACCCATAAAAGATAAAAAATTTCAATGGCTACCCATTAAGCAAGACAAAAAAAAGATTGCTTCTTTTGTATAAACACAATGTACCAGGATTGTGAATTCATATCCCATCTCCGCTAGTATTTTCCGTCGTGCCATTGACGCCGAACCCAATATTATCTGTCGTAGAAAAGATTAGAAATTTCTGCAAATTCGCTTCTTTTAAACACCGAAAATTTATGGGTTAAGGTTAATTTGTAATGACGAACCTGAAATGACATCTTTGTCTCTGCAGTCACTTTCTGCTTTATCAAATTATCAGAGAGAACTGCAAAGCACTGGCTGGCTGTGACTGAAAGTATACGTACAGTTTCCGTTTTGGGCCTAATGGTTCAACTCGGCCCAGTTCAAATCGCATTTTTCTCCAGAATATACCCTATATCTGACGGCGTCGTTTTGCATTTTGGAAAGAGTTAATATCACATGGCAGCATTGGCGCCTTTACCTCCTTCCCCAAGTCAGTTTCTTTTACCTCCATTTTGTTTTCCTGCTCAGCTCCTCAGGACCTCAGTGCGCCAAATACCGCAACGAAGACGTTTTAGTATTACAAATTAAATCAACGGCGACTATGGGTTCTTGTAGAAAGAAAAATTTTGGGAGTGGCAGCTTTGTGTCGAATTTGAGGGATCACATTCATGAATTTATTCATGCCTCAATGGATGAACACAGAACTTGCATGAAAGAGACAGTGCGGAAGGTACGGCTTCTAGCCTCTCTCTCTCTCTCTCTCTCTCTCTCTCTCTCTCTCTCTCTTAGTGCAGATTTATATTTGTGAATTGTTGGAAATTTGGGAGATAATTAAATATGATTCTGGTTTTGGTTTGGTCTAAAACAGATGTTTGAAAGGGCAAAACTTTACAGAGAAAAGAGTGGCGGTGGCCCTAAGGAGGGAGAAACACCACTGCCTTTGCAGACAACTACAGAGTAGGAACATTTTGTGAGCTTTTCTGTTTTCTGGGTTGCAGAGAAAATAGTAGTGTAAGACATTTTTGAGATTCTTATCTAGCATTTATATAGGTTATGTGATTGGCATGAATGACTAGAAATGTATAGAAAGCAAATGCTAGAGTTCTTATCAATCAATTGCTATTGCGCATGTGCGTGTGAGTGACTGACGGAGCAAACTTCATGATGACTGGAATGGTAATATAGTTTAGTTGTTAGCCGGTTTTCGTTGGCATGCTAACATTCAAACGTGGAAAATTAGCAGTTTACATCCAAATGATTCAGTGTTTCATGCCCTTTTTGGGAATGATTTGAATCTTACAATGTTAGTTGCAAACTTATTGTAATGAGTTTAAAAATGTTTCACTCAGTTAGAGTGTTATTTAATGCTTCCTTTCTTTAATTTTGAACCTAAGATTTCTTCCCCTAACCCCAACCACCCTATGTGACTTAGAGCTAAGGCTCATGTGATATGCATCCTTTCTTTAAATAATTATGAGAAATAAGTAAGCAATAGCATATGGATGATTCTTCCTGGGTACATGTGCAAGACAAAAGTATATTGCATCTAGAAGTTACAGGAACCAAAAAGGGAAAGGGGTAGGGGGGAGTGGGGTGTTATGAGTTAATTTCTTGATCCACTTAAGAGGAATTTGGTGCACTGTCTACTTCTGGAGGGCGTCTTCCTTTAGAGCTTTAGGATCTTCAGACTGAAGAAGAAAAATGGAAGTTATTATACAGGCAGCTTGTAGTGTTTTCTGAACTAAGTGCTTTCTAGTGCTGCAAATCATCATCAATGAACAAAATTTCTTCCAGTATAGGAACAAAAGATATGAGCAAGGAGTAAGCAATGTTCTTTCATCTACTATGGCTTTAACTGTTAGGATGAAGAGCAGATAATGACAATGTTGAAAGTGTGACTCCACCTATGAAGAAGATTCAAGCTCATGCAAAATGAAGAATAAGAAGGTTAGTATCAAATTGAGGCTCGAGGTTATCTAAGATGGACTTCTATGCTTTCACAAGCACAATAGTGATACATAGAATCCTTATATTTGTGAGTATGGATTTAATACAGAAGTGTGTTTCACTTGTTACAGTTGGTGATATCATAGAACAGTTCATATATCTTGTGGTTATAGAAGGTCTGAATATGGTTAACCAAGGATTTAGAAGCTGTTTGTCTAGTCTTCATCTTATCAAGTAATAAGGGGAAGCGTATTACCTCTTTTCTTCATTGCTGATGTTACTTGCTCCAACTTTCCTATACTTAGGAAGGGGAACTTTGCCTGACTCAATGCGCTTGATGTCTGATAGAAGGATCTCATACTGCCTCTTCACTTCCTCTTCAGTCGTCCCTCCAACAATCCTGGCTATCTTGTGCCAACGATCAGGGGTTTCTTCATCATATGTTGCCAGAGCGTTTTCGAACAATTTGTTTTGTTTGGCTGTCCAAGTCAAACTGGGTTGCGGGGAAGAAAGCTTGCTCATGTTTCTGAGATATTAGAGCAACGATTAGTATGTCGAAAGTGATCAGAACAAAGTTTCTATTTAAGAGAGAATGAATTCAGGTGATAAAAGGATTTTGAAAATTTGAAAGGGAAAGCCTAAGGCAGAGAAGCTGAATGCTATAGAAAGTCTGAAATATAAAGAAAGGTAGTATACTTAAGTCAAGGGACTAGCAAAGAAGAGATCACAGGATCACTGTTCATGCAAATGGGGTGATGCAAGTTGGCAGACAAAATTTCTGGTTTGCATATTATAAAATATTATGTGTTTAGAATAAGAAGCAGAAACTAGGAACAGAGAGACAGAGAGATAGAGAGAGAGAGAGAGAGAGTTCTGTGATTCCAAGGACAGTCAATTGCTTCCTTTCCAAGTCTTTTTTTAATTGGAAGTACGATGATCTAATATTATATTATTATAAGCATGTGGGTTTTCATAAGTAGAGGGGAGAATCATTAAAGAAAGAACCCACTCACCTTTTGAGAATAATTAGATGTCATCGTGAAATGTTCTTTCCTTAAATTTTATCATTGCAAAACAGTGTTGGTTAGGAGAATCTGGCTTGCCTGCTTAGTTAATTTCACTTCCAAGAAAATGATTGTAAAACTGTAAATCCAGATTACGTTTTCCAAACAACTTCCTGATATTTATTGATACAAAAGAAACAAATGTTGTTGTAACATGTATATGTATGCATCCTACATTATTATCATTAAACAAATTCTTCTTCCTGGTTTTCTGGAAGTGGCAACATGTTGTGGTTACTTACAAGAATCACACTTCTTTATTTAGCTAATGTGTAAAATTGGATACTCTCTGGTCCTAGTTTTATCCTGTATTCTAGTTTCTGTCCGACTCTAGAAATGAGAATTTGGTTTTCTTGGGTCATTGTTCATCAATCCAAGCTTATTTTGTTTTCTTTTTGTTAGTCATTTATCTCTACTAGGTAATTCAGTGCATATGAAATGGTATGATATGCATAGGGTTCCATTACTGTAGCTTTTGTCCATAAATGGAGATAAAGAAAAGGGTGTTTCTTTGTCTAATCTGCTTGTCTATATTATATTATTCATCAGTGTGGAACAAAACTCATAAGCCCATGTGAAGTTTCTCATATTTGCTAGACTTTTTCTTGTCCTTTGAAATCGGTGGATTGGGTAATGAAAGTGCATGCTTTGTGTTCTTTTGAGGTTTGCTTATCCTGTTTTTTGAGAAAAAAAATTGATTATTTTAAGTATAGGATGATCATGTTTAGGAAAGTTTAAAGCTACACGCTTATCTTGAGCTATTACCCCCAAGGAAAGCATCTTTCGGCATCATCTCTAAACTATTCAACCCTGAATGTGATGTGAACCTACAACCTCATTTTTCTGGTGCTTAGCCCTGAAGGAAAACAAAAAGAATAAAGAAAAAGCAGCAGCAATTTCAGGATGATATTTGTCAGGAAGAAGTGGGATCCTTTACCTGTATTTTTTCTGCTAATAAAACTCAAATTGTTCTTATCCCAAAAGTGATGATCATCTCTGTTTGTGTTTGGGGTTGTTTACCCCCCTTTTCACCCGAAAATAAAGTGATGATCTCTCCTTTATAATTTGCTTTGCTTTTCAGGCTCTTTATCAATCAACTGGGAAAAATGACTGGCTGGATACTTGGTGCTTAAGAATTAGTCATTTGGCAAATTCATCCCATACAATTACTCACTCTACGAAAATACAAGAACCTTTTCGAGCACAGGAGTTTCAAATGTGATTCAACTCTAGTGCAACCCCAAAACCAAATTTAATATAAATAATAAAATAATAAAAACCATCCCAAAGTGATTCAAGAGAAGATATTAGTCATAAGGTTCACCAAGAAATCATGGATAGCTTGTGAGGTCTCTTCCGTTTTGTAATTTTGGGATACTAAATCCATAATATAGGACAACATGGATAATTTCTTCAATGTTTCTCTGCAAATTTGACTCTAAGGGCTGTAAAATGTTGTGGCCCATTCTTTTCTTCCACATGCTCTCTTATAAGGTCCGGATGGGCTGATTGCCGAGAAAGGCCCGGTGACTTATAAGGCTCTACTTACAAATTAAGGCCCAGTTTATATTTTCCTTTTTATACAAGCGATATTCTACTTTAATTTCATCTGGAGAGGGGGATTCGAACTCAAATGCATAGTGGGAAGCACATCCTCTCTAACCAACTTGACTAAGCTCATGTATGCAAGCCTATATATATATATATAAAATGACCAATTTACCCTCATATTTAACGGCAAATTGGATGAAATGTTGAGATTTAAATGGTAAAGGGGAATTGGCAATAAAATTAGTTAGCGTACTCAATTTCCCCCAACAAACAAAAAAAAAAAAAAAAAAAAAAAAAAAAAAAAGGTTGAGTGGTAGTGCAAGTTAAAAAAAAAAAGTAGCAGTAGGAAGTTAAAGTTCGAGGACAATTAATCCAATTAACCTATTTTTTTATATAAAAAAAGGAAGAAAACACACGTTACTTAGCATATGTATGTATTTTTTATGTTTAATATATGTGTTTTAACAAAATTTTTGAATGATATAGACAAAATTTACATATTATAGACATATTTTTTACATATGATTGAAAAATATAATATATATTAAAATATTAAAATAAATTATATTTAAATATTATATAGTGGCCAAATTTTTTAGTTATATCTTGCCAAAATTTTACCGAATAAAATAGGTACATATTTTATTCCAACTTTTCCCGTTTTGTATTTTACTAACTAGGCTACAGACAGAACCAAACAAATCGCGAGGGAAACGTAGATGACCAGCGTCCGACGTGGCCGGGTCCCGCCCACCCTAACGACCAAAAATCAAAAACCAAGTCTCACTGCCCACTGGCCAGTGGCCGCTGCACGCAGCAGCGGAATTGAAATGTTCGTTTGAACAAAGCTCATCCCCCATTGAAGGAACTACCTCTTCCTCCATGAAACACACAACAAGAAGCTCCCAAACTCTACGCGCATCATCTGGACTCGATGTTGTGGCGAAGAGCCTTCAGCACCGCCGCCGCCAAGCGCCACCTTACGGCCAAGAAATGGGACGCGCTGATCATAGGCGCCGGCCACAACGGCTTGGTCGCCTCGGCTTACCTGGCCCGAGCCGGCCTCTCCGTCGCCGTCCTCGAGCGCCGCCACGTCATCGGCGGCGCCGCCGTCACTGAGGAGATCATCCCCGGCTTCAAGTTCACTCGCTGCAGCTACCTCTACGGCCTCTTCCGCCCCTCCATCGCCAGGTAGGGTCTGGTGCCTGCGTGGGTCCCGCATTCAACGAATTAATTGAACATTGATATTATGATTTGGTATTATTGTTTGAATTTAGTTCAATTTTGTTACTAATTTGATTTGGTGAAGGGAACTGGAATTGACGAGACATGGATTGAAGCTGTTGAAGCCTTTGGCTTCGTCGTTCACACCATGTCTTGATGGGCGTTATCTGCTTTTGGGCCTCAACCAGGAACAAGATCACTTGGAAATTTCGAAGTTCTCAAAACGAGATGCAGATGCTTATACAAGGTCAAATTTTTCCTCATTCAATCATATGATCAATTTATGTTTAGCTTCATTCAAAAAAATTTGTAGAGCTCGTAAATCAATCTTTTGTTTTGGTTAATAGCTACGAAAATCAGCTGCATAGGTTCCAAAAATTTGTGGATTTTGTTTTGGATTCACGTACCCCTGAAACTTTCCCTTGGGAACATTCCTCTATCTATGATGGCCTCCGGAATAAGTGGCACAAATCAGCTTTTTGGGCGCGTTGTCTGCAACAAGTTCTGTCTTTAGGCCAAAAAGATATGCTGTAAGTATGGGTATCTGACTCTCAATTGAATTTCCCAACAAGTCACTTCCTTTTAATGCTTTTAAAAATTGGCAGGGAATTTGTGGATCTTTTGTTGTCCCCAACTTCAAAGTATCTGAATAAGCGGTTTGAGGTTGCCTTTGAGCTGTTCATTTGTGGTTTTCATATTTTCCATATGACTGTCACAAGTGCATCTTGATTTAAAGAGATATGTTAGTCATTTGAGCAAAGAATCTTACTTTCACATCCCAATGATGTAATGCAGTCGGATATACTCAAGGGAACACTTGCAGTAGAAGCTATCGTTGGAAGTATGGTAGGACTTTTATACTTTGATAATGTATAGAAGGATTATCTTTGGAAGCATGATGGAGTGTGATAATAATAACAAAATTTCCTACTTTGATATGTGGATTTGGAAGTTAGAAAGTATCTTGGAGGACAGACCAGAATTGTTATTGGAACTTCTTCTCTCCTCTCCCTCACCTTCATACAAACGAATTGTTATTAGAATTTTTGAGTAACCATATTTGTCACTCCTTTACTTTCATGAAGTGCAACCAAACTAGTTGTTCAGATCTATTATGAAAATTTTAATGATGCTCTGCTAGTTTTTAGCATTATCAACTGACTTTCTCTATATTCATTTTGTAGGTAAGTATCCATAATTCTGGGAGTGGATACGTTCTGCTACATCATGTCACGGGTGAAGTTGACGGTGATCGTAATATTTGGTCGTAAGTACCTCATATGTGAAGTTTATGAGTAGGATAATTGTTAATTGTATATCAGAATAATGCGTATTTATGCTTCCAATAATGTTTGTTGAATCTATTTGATAATATATGAGCTGCATTCTTTGTAGGCATGTTGAAGGTGGGATGGGTTCTGTATCATTGGCCATAAGTAATGCTGCTAAAGAAGCTGGGGTACATATTGTTACCAATGCAGAGGTATTTGAGCTCTTGAAGTATGGCCTTCAGTAGTGTGGCAATGTTGATTTCCGTTAAGGTTTCCTGCAATCACCAAATGAAGTTTTGTTGTCTTATTATTTTCATCTAGATCTTTCGTTTTCTTTTTCTTTAGGATTATATACTGGCATAATGTTAAACTAAAGAACATCCCGGTTCTTCTTGTTTAACTTTTTCATATCTATTGAGTATCTAATAACTTAGACATTTTAGTCTGTTTCTACATCCCCTCCATTTTAGTATACAACCATTTGTTTCATTCTATAAGGTTTTGTCTTTCAACTTTTATGATATTATTTCTCTGTTTAGGTTTCACAAGTGATGATTGGAGACACAGGCATAGTGAATGGGGTTAGTTCAGTTGCTGAATTGCCAAGATGTTCTTAACTAAGTAAATATTTCATTCAGATTTTGATAAAATATTTATACTCTAGGTATGCCTGGGTGATGGGACACAAGTGCATTCTTCAGTTGTTTTATCGAATGCAACTCCCTACAAGACTTTCATGGTAAATATTATGTTTTTATTCCATGACACAGGAGCATCAACAGCTATGTTTATACTAATGAAACTTGTTTTTGTCAAAATCATTTGCTCCAAAGCTGATATGCCAGACTCACATAAACCTTTCGAATTTCTCTCCAATGAGTCCTGTATTTCCTTTCAAAGTTAAACATTATGATTTTTCTGACACAGGAGTTGGTGCCCCAAGATTTTCTTCCCGGCGACTTTCTTCATGCTATTAAGAACTCTGACTACAGCTCTGTGAGAACCCTTAGTTGGCAACTTTGAATATTTGATACATTCATTAGCATTGTACATATGTTTCTTTTGGTTTTAAGTTACCTTTGTAGACGATTCTCTGTTTCTTATGCCAGTGAAAAAATTTCTCTGATGGGACTTCTATCTCTTTCCAAGCATGGACTAGTTTCTATATCTTCAGCTTACTCAAGACATGTTGATTTGAGTTTTGCTATCATTGAATTGAACAGGGAACAACAAAAATTAATGTTGCTGTTGATAGATTGCCTCAGTTCCAATGTTGCAAATCGAGTAATCCAGAAGTGGGTCCTCAGCATACAGCTAGTATTCGCATTGGTACTGAGAGGTATGATAGTATGTAGCTTTTATTCTTCTCATTTTGGAAATTCCATGTGTTGTCTCTACATTGTGCAACCTGGTTGATAAACTAAGCTCATATGGAAGAGCATGGTCTTATTTGGTTGAGAGACCACTAAAATGCAATCTAAAGTATTGTGTTAATCTAGGTGCGGATAATTTTTACAAATTATACAAGTTTTTGTATTTATGTATATCAGTGTATAAATTTGAAACTTTAGCCTTTCCAAGGATAGTTCCAATGTGATCAGCATGCTGAACCGTGGACATTTATGGTACACCTAATTATGTCATCTTTGTTAATATTACAGTATGGGGGAAATTGGTACAGCTTGTCAGGAGGCTTGGAATGGCTTACCATCAAGGAGACCTGTTATGGAAATGACAATTCCATCTTCATTGGATAACACTATATCTCCTCCTGGTACGATGAAACTAATCTTCCTTATGCCTTTGTCCATTTACACATAGCAGTGAGACTCATTTTTATACTTGTCTTCCTTTGCCTTCTCTTGTAGGTAAGCATGTGGTTAGCTTGTTTACACAATACACACCCTACAAACCCTCAGATGGTAGCTGGGGAGATCCTAAATACAGAGTGAGTTGCAATTACCATTCGGGTTGCATGTATGTACACACACGGCACACATGATTTGTCCAATTTACCCGAGATATGCTGATATCTGTCTCTGCAGGAATCATATGCACGCAGATGTTTTAACTTGATTGATGAATATGCCCCTGGGTTCAGTTCATCAGTCATTGGCTATGACATGTTGGCACCACCGGATCTAGAAAGGGAAATTGGTCTTACAGGTATTTCACCGCACAGATGCAGATTCCTATCCCATGCTTACTGAGGCTTGAAATCATGCATTCATACTAAAGCAGACCATGGGAATTATAGAATCATGGTTAAATATATTTTTCAGTTGAGAATGTTTAAATGTACTGATTTTAGAATATTTGCAACAGGGGGTAATGTTTTTCATGGTGCTATGGGTCTAGATTCACTTTTCCTAATGCGACCTGTTAAAGGATGGTAACTTTGACAGCAACTCAGAAATAGTTATTTTCCATCTGCTACTCTCCTAACGCCAAGATTGTGTTTTCTTTTTTAATACAGGTCCGGCCATCGAACACCGGTGAGAGGACTGTACATGTGTGGAAGTGGATCCCATCCGGGAGGTGGTGTGATGGGAGCTCCCGGGCGTAACGCTGCACACGTTGTTCTTGAGGATGTTCAGAAGCGATCTCATTAGGAGACTTGTTTCTTTCTGCCCTTTATTATATCCCCATCCTTCACTAGAATCACCACCCTTACTTGTCCAACTATTGTTGCTTTGCTGCTGGTGTATATAGTAATTTTCTTTTGGGGGTAAAATGTATACGGTAGCAAGTGATCCCTGAGAAAAATGTAATTAAACATCACATTGTAGTTGTATGCATTAGCCGACTCAGTTATATCATATACGGCAAGTGATCCCTGATCAGGTTTGTATCAAAATATGACAGGCTTTCCTTGGATATTACATTTGCTCATACTGTCAAATGATGACGCATATGTGAGTGATTTTTTACTGTTAATGCATAGGTTCCACACTACATCATTGATTAAGACTTATCACGGCAAAACACCATATGTCTTACAAATAAATTACAGTTTGACGTATGTGCAGAATCGTTTCATTTTGTAATTATTCTTCCAAATAAGGAGCCAAACAGCGTAGTTGCCCAAGGGCTTGCTCCTCAAATCCACGTGTCACCTTTGGCCTTTGTCGTCTCCCCACGTGTCAACTCTCTAAGTTCGTCAATTACAGGTACTTGCCAAGAAAAAAAAATCAAAAATTAACAGGGCCCCACCACAATCGCCTTATTGTTGCGTGTAAAGCAAAGCACTAACACTTAACTGGTAAGCAGCAAAAACCAGCAGAGAAGAAATGTGGCGAAGGAGCTTCAGCAGCAGCAGCAGCGCAGGCGCTACAAGCGCGTTGAAGGACAAGAAATGGGACGCTCTGGTCATTGGTGGTGGCCACAACGGCCTCACGGCGGCCGCGTACCTCGCACGTGGCGGCCTATCCGTCGCTGTCCTTGAACGGCGTCACGTGATCGGCGGCGCCGCCGTGACCGAAGAACTCGTTCCCGGCTTCAAGTTCTCTCGGTGTAGCTACCTCCAAAGCCTCCTCCGCCCCTCCATCATCAAGTAACACACATAAACACATTTCTTCATTTATTTATTTATTTGTTTATGCATTTGCTTAATAAAATGCAAATTTGAATAATTTAATTTTCAACCAAACAACAATGCCTTATGTTATGCTTCTAACAGAGAACTAGAGCTGGCGCGGCATGGAATGAAGTTGCTGAAGAGGAGCCCTTCGTCGTTCACGCCTTGTTTGGATGGAAAATATCTTCTTTTGGGGCCAAACAAGGACTTAAACCACTCTGAGATTTCCAAGTTCTCCAAACAAGACGCCGATGCTTATCCAAGGTTATCCTTATTCTATCCGTATTTCGTATTCAGTATTCCATGTCTGTTTGGGTTTGAATAATTAATTTTACAGATATGAGAATCAGCTGGAGAAGTTTTGTGAATTTATGGACCCCTTGTTGGATTCGGCTCCTCCAGAATCTTTGCAATGTGAGTCATCTTGTAGTGTTGGTGACCGCATCAAGAATAAGATGCACAATTCAGTGTTTTGGGCTCGGTGTCTGAGACAGGCTGCCACCTTAGGCCAAAAAGATATGGTGTAAGAATTCATTTTCCTAATAATGTCAGCTACAAACAGCATGCTTGCTATGGTTATGGTACGGCTAATTAGTTTCCTGATACAGATTTTAGGTTTATGATTATGTAATTATTGGCTTTGGCAGGGATTTTATGGACCTTTTATTATCTCCGGCTTCAAAGGTTTTGAACAACTGGTTTGAGGTGATCAAGTCCTCTCTATCTAGGATCACTGACAACAAGATTTTAATTAAAATGGGAATTATATATATTTAATTCTGCATAATCGTTATCAATGGTGATCAGTTCAAATCTTGTGCAGTTTTATGCATACTAGTTTATTAGCTTCTCTGTTGTTGACTCTGCTTTTTACAGTCAGATGTTCTGAAGGCAACCCTTGCAACAGATGCTGTAATAGGAACCACGGTAAGAGTTCTCATGAATGGTGTGGAGATGCATTTCTTCAAATATTTAAACACCTCCAGATGGCATACATAGTGGACATTGTGTTTTCTATTTTTTTTCTCATCAATAGCACACACACTCTACTTAAGAAGTACTATGCATCTGTGCCTTATAACTTTTCTCGAGAGGACAATGATATTGTGGGAAATTATTTCATTTCAGGGTTCATAATAGATTGATTATACAATATACATTTCCTACTATATCATCCACATTGTTAATCATTTTGACGCCTCTATTTTCTTACGTAGGGAACTGTCCATACACCGGGGAGTGGATATGTCCTGCTACATCATGTGATGGGAGAAACTGATGGTGAGCATGGAATTTGGTCGTAAGTTCTCTTTTGCTTGCTTCACATATCTCTCCTCACTATTTTTCAAAATTAGTTTTTCATTAGACTTGGATAAATGCATTGGATTGTTCTTTTCATGCCAACGTTCATATTTTAATACCTTTAGCTTGGAATTTTCATTTGATACAATTTTGATTCATCCCAATTTATGCTTTCTCTTAGTATTGAAAAACCAATTTTCCTTATAGGTATGTTGAAGGTGGGATGGGTTCAGTATCCTTGGCTATCAGTAATGCCGCTAAGGAAGCTGGAGCTCATATTGTAACATGTGCAGAGGTATTTTAGTACAGAAAAGAGCTAGGATTAGTTGATGCTCCAGTACTCAAACTTTTTTCTTCATTCACTTCTTTTACATTGTTTGTCTGTTTGCCTTTGTACATTATGCAATGATCTATTGCTACCTTTAATATTTCAGTTTTGTTGTTTAGGTGCAACAATTGTTGATTAATGACTCTGGCACGGTCAACGGGGTTAGTTTCTTCTTGCTTTCCTAAATGAGGCAGTTTTGAAACTTAAATCTAACTGAATGGACATTGCGGACATGTCTTATTCTAGGTTTTGCTGGCTGATGGTTCACAAGTACACACTTCAATGGTTTTATCAAATGCAACCCCTTATAAAACATTCAAGGTTCTTCCCTTGCTTATATAATTTAAATTTACTTCAAATTTACTGAGACAAATTATATTTTACGAAATAGATGGGATTCACATTTATGTGAAACCTTTGGACTAGCTATTTAAATGGATTTTAATCTTGATTATAGGTTTCTATTATCTGATGCAGGAGTTGGTGCCGGATAATGTTCTTCCTGATGATTTCATTAATGCAATTAAGTACTCTGATTACAGCTCTGTAAGTTTCCTCTATTACTTTCCTCTGATGTTTATGCAAACTATAATCTTTACTTTAGTACCTTTATTTGACAATATTAAATATTTACTATCATGCAATGTAAGAACATATAGAAGATTGGATTAAATGGATAAGAAATGTGATTTATTACAATCCGAGAAGGTGTGAGACAATCTATTGTCTTCAGCTGATTTTTCAATTTTGTTCGGTTGACTAATGTTCCATACACAATCTCTTAGGAATGGTCGGTATTGGTTCTAACTTCTATCCCTTTCATTACTATTTGTGACCAAAATTAAATTTGTGGATTTATATCATCCTGATGAAAATGTTAATTTAAAACAAGGAAGCATGCGATCAAAAGTGTGTGCTCATCAGTTGTGATTTGAGATTTAGAATTAAAATTCATACAAAGTTGTAAAAAATTGATTTGACTATTGTACTGCAAGTGTGACTATGGTAGGCATCATGAGTTCTAGTCATCTGACTATCACAAATGAGAGGACAGAGACTTCTTTCATGCTAATTGAGGGATTGCTTACCTTCTTTGTCTGTAGGGAACGACAAAAATAAATTTAGCAGTTGATAAATTGCCTCAGTTCAAATGTTGCAAATTAAGTCATCCTGATGCAGGTCCTCAGCATGTGGGGACCATTCATATTGGTTCTGAGAGGTATGCTCTTATCTCAGCATTATCATTTACGTGGTTCCACATGCTGTGCTTTCTCTTATCTTTTCTGTCACTCTTAAAGTATGGAGGAGATTCACTCTGCCTGTCAAGATGCTGTCAATGGATTACCGTCTCAAAGACCAGTTATTGAGATGACAATACCTTCTGTACTGGACAATACTATATCTCCACCTGGTACTTAAAAATTACCTTGCCTTAAAGAATGCATCATATATTTCATTCCTCTTGATACATATTTTTATCTGCCCATATCGATATAATCAAATTCTTTTTAGGTAAGCACGTGATCAACTTGTTTATTCAGTACACACCATATAGTCCGTCAGATGGTCACTGGGGAGATCCTGTTTACAGAGTGAGTTTCCCTACGTACGTCATATATTTCATTCCACATGGTGTGCATTCTCACTTCTTTTCTCTGACTAATCCTTTGAAAACGGCATGGCATCCTTTGCAGGAATCATTCGCACAAAAATGTTTTAACTTGATTGATGAGTATGCCCCAGGGTTCAGTTCATCAATCATTGGTTATGACATGTTGACTCCACCAGACCTTGAGAGGGAAATTGGTTTAACAGGTACTTCAAACCTCTGCACAAATGTAGGCAGCATGTTCAGGTTATTTAAGTTTACAGTAAATGATACAAGGATACTGGCAGAAATACCAGCCATTGATCATCATCACAATACACGGAGATAGGAAGTTTGTCAAACAAGCTTGAACTTGATAACTGGTTGTACTAAATTTTGTAATATTTTAATTTACAAACCGAAACTGATATGACAGCACAATATGCCCACGGAAACACAGAGGCCGGCATAGTGCATTATGAATGGCATAAATGTTTAAGGAGCACATAGTTCACCCAACTCAAGATGTAGCAAGTGTAAAAACTTAAAAGTACATCAAACTTGACTGCAACATCTAAATCTCCCAGTCGCCTGATTCTTAAATTATTCTTGACAGGAGGGAATATCTTCCATGGTGCTATGGGATTGGATTCGCTCTTCCTCATGCGACCCGTTAAAGGATGGTAAATTTTACTGACACATCTGATTTTGCGTGGGACATGTACTTTCCATTGTAGCTATGCCTTATGTTTACTTGTGTGAGTGTGTGGAGCTACCAAAATCTACATTATGTTTATGTTGTTTTGGGGTGCATATATACAGGTCAAATTACAGAACACCATTGCACGGGCTGTATTTGTGTGGCAGTGGTACCCACCCGGGAGGTGGTGTGATGGGTGCACCCGGGCGTAATGCTGCGCGTGTGGCTCTTGAAGATGTTAACAAGCCTTTGAAATGATTTTCGGAAGGGTGGTGCTAGAGGCACCAACTCTCTAATAGAGGTGGAGCCCGCCAATACACTGGGTCCTACGCTCTATTAGAGAGTTGGTGCCCAAAGTTGGTACCTCTAGCATTTTCCTTTTCGGAATGTTACCAACTTACAATCGATGTTAATCTGACGGTTCAACTTTCATTTGCCGTTGGGTGTGGGCTGAAATTTACGGGCACACAACCACTTTTTCACTTGTATCTTGTATCTTGTGTTTTTTTTTGGGGGGTTTTTTTTCCTTTCATTCAGAATACAAAAGTGAATAAAATAAAATAAAATAAAAATCATGGTTATTTACCAATTGGGCCTCCTTGGACAATACAAAAGGTGTCTCAAGGTCATTCGCTTGATGATTTACAAGGATGGCGAGGGGTTATGAGGAGGGCAATATATGCCCTATCACAATTTTCATTAAAATTATGGAAATTCTCTATTAAAATTGCCTTCCATTAAGCATCCAAAATCTTCACAAACTCCTATCAGAGAAACTTGGAGGTTCTGATAACAAATCACTCAAAACTGCATACTATCGGTTCCGCCAGGCAGAAACAGATTTTGGGACCAGTGAGATGGCATTTGAGGCTGTTTCTAACCTGCATTAAAAGTGAACACCATATGTTTAGTATTCCAATGCAATAATAGGCAAGCAGACATCACCCACCCCCAAAAAAAAAAAAACAAAAAAAAAAAAAAAAAAGACACACAGAGAGAAGAGGGGAAGGAAGGGGGAGAGGAGTTGGGAGAGAGTACTTTGAGATTTCTTCAACGGCTTTCATAACTTCAGTTGAACTTGTTTCCAGCACTAGCCCTCCAAAAATGATCTCATCCATTACTGTATGCATCTGAAAAACAAGAAGAGAAAAAAAAACCTAATTGAAGCATAGTTCATTGGAAGTCTAAACATGCAACGGAAATGGTTTCACGAATCCAACAAGCAATATTTTGAAACATTAGATACACCATGAGCATTTTTCTCACCTACATCTCCTAAAAAAACTAAATGCCCACTGTTGTATGCAACATAGTCCAATCACAGAACAACGCCAAATAATGTTTATTAAGTTCGTGATGAAAGCTAATACTGTTTATTATTTTTAGGAATTTCACATTTGTCAGGCATTATGCAAATGGGGGAATGTACAACCTTGCTGTAATTGAGCACGACGTCAAGCTCGCACACATTTTTGAAGCATTTGTCCAAGGTTTCCACAAAAACTGTAGGAATGAGAATTGAAGTAAGCAAATCATCCCATCAAAGCAAAAATTGATATAATTAAGCACAAGCATTAAAACTAAGAAATAAGCTAATCACTCTCATATTCAGCCTGTTGGCATGAAAATTTCCACCCTAAATTTCACTTTGGCATTTTAAATTCCCAATAAGCATCCCTTTAAAATTCATCGAAATTCCAACCTTAAAAAGCTTTCCCAATTCTACTAATTTGAAGTTAAAATTGCAAATTTGCAAGCAACCAATTTGTGAACGCTCTACTTGTCAAAGGTGCTGCATGTTGTAAATTTGAACATTTGCATTCAGTGCCAGTTACATATAATCCGGTTATGCTATGTACCTTGTATGAGGTCGAGCATGGCAAGCTCGTTTTCAGAGCTATCAAATACAAAGACAAAGTACAAAGTTGCAAAATGCTTGTACACAAGGCGAGTATCCTGCACCAGAAAGGAAATGGTTCATATGGAAGAATAGCCTATAATCATGCCGAATAGAACAGGACTGTTTATTTTTTCTTTTCCAATTCAGATCATACAGAAACATAATAAACATGGAGAATTTGAGAATTTGAGGGAAAAATTAGCTAAAATACCGGGCCGAAAATAGACTCAGCATCCACGAAATTGCTCACATTCTCAGCTCTGCTGGATAACACTAGATAAAAGAAAATCAAACATGAAACCATAATTTGAAGTAGAGTGGTGAACAGAAAACCACCCAACAAATTCAGTGTGAAGATAATCGATAATCGTAAAAAAAAAAAAAAAAAAAAAAAAAAAAAAAAAAAAAAAAAAAAAATATAATTACAGTAGTAGAGAGAAAGAGAACCTCCATAGACGCTGCGTATAAGCTCCTGTTGCTTCTCCACAGGCTGACCTCAAAAACTGGAAAGTCAGCAATTTTGTACATAATCGTAAAATAATAATAATAAAGATGCACAGCAATAATAAAACTGAAAAGAGAAGGACCTGACCTGAAATTCGTAGAACTTGGCAAGCCGAGGCTTTCCCTGCGTGTTTATCACCATCACCGCCCGAATCATCTCTTCCGTTTTTTTTTTTGGGGGTTTTCTCAGTCACTCAGATCAGAAAACACAGATGAGATCACACACAGCCTTCACAGCGGGGAGGGGGAAGGGGCCTTTTGGTAAATTTGCGAAAGAGGCAATATCCCGCTGTACCACGTGGGGGCCACATAGCAATCTACTCAAGTTGGCGGTATAAAAATTAAATAAATATCATAAATAGTGCGCGAAACAAGCCCTAATTGAATTGAACTGAAGTCAAACGCAACCAAAATCCTCGTCGGCCGCATCAGAGCATCTAACAATGGCCGCTCAACAAGGCGACGGTTCTGAAGACGATGCAACTCTAAGCCCTGTCACCGCCGCCATTCTCCTTCCACCGACTGAACATTGCCTCCACTCCATCAACTCAACCGTCTTCATCCGGCAGCTTCCATCTCAAGGTCTCTCCTTCCAGCTCTGGCCAGCCGCCACCACGTTCCTCACTCTCCTCGACGACCACCGCCGTAACCCTAACACTGGCCCGCTGGGCCCCACTCTCATGGCCTTGGACTCGCGTCGCCCCCGGCTCAAAATCCTCGAGCTCGGCTCCGGAACCGGCCTCGTCGGAATCGCCGCCGCTGTCACGCTCGGAGCTAGCGTCACGGTCACCGACCTCCCGCACGTCATTCCTAACCTTTTGTTTAACGTAGAAGCGAATGCCGCCGTTTTGGCCTCGAATGGCGGGGTCGTCCACGTGGCGGCGCTGAGATGGGGAGAGGCCGAGGACGTGGAGGTAATTGGGCGGGAGTTTGACCTTATCATAGCCTCGGATGTAGTGTACCATGATCACCTGTACGAGCCCTTGCTCAAAACGCTGCGTTTGTTGATATTGGGTGGGGAGGAGGCGGAGGAGGGAAGGGTGTTTGTGATGGCCCACTTGAGAAGGTGGAAGAAGGACTCGGCTTTCTTCAAGAAGGCAAGGAAGGTTTTTGAGGTTGAGGTTTTGCACGTGGACCCACCGTGCCATGGCTCCAGGGTTGGAGTTACTGTTTACCGTTTTGCAGGGAAAAAGTCAAGTAAGAAATTGTTGAAAGCAAACAATGCCAATGGCATTGCCTAACAATCAAAATGGATCTGATGACTTCTTGGGTTTTTGTTCTTTGATACCACAAATTCAATGCACTTTTAATTTATAACTTAAAATCAATAAAAATTTTACATTTTACAATCTTCACAAAACAAAAGCTATATAACCAACAAAGAAAACCCACAAGTACAACCTCACTCTCACACCAATCTACAATGAGCCTCTGGCCGAATGTCACACCAGTATTTCTACTGTCACTTGAGCAAAAGTAGCAGCACCCAGAATACTTGGATTTATGCACGTATTGCTTGGTATTCATAGCTTCCTTAGCGGGGAAGGCGATCCTCTGCCCACGGTTTTCATGCTTTGTGAGTCTCTGAAGCAGACAAAATGTACTATTGTTTTTCCGTTCGGATACACTGCAAAGACACTTGTTCCTATTTTCTTCCTGCAAAGGGAGCACACGCTATCACTGGTGATCTTCACCACCCCTTTCCTTTGTTCATAGAGTTCATCTTTGACCTGTTTCGGATAATCATTGGTTTAGAAGAAGTTCAATCGAGTACTGGTCTACATTTTAAAATTATTAACATGAATAACTGGGTGAGGAATCTCAACCACAACAGAGGGATTTGAAACGAGCAAAAAAAAAAAGGTGATAAAGGAACGCAAGCATATGCACCAAGGGAAAAAGCAGACTAAATTAGAACACAGAACTAAGCATTCAGTATAAACTGCAAGTGGATCAAGTCCCTAAGCTACCTACTCATTACCGAACTAAGTATCTGAGAGCACAATATATGCATACCTGCAGGTTCTCACTTTGTCTCAAACTCTTGATCACTGAAAGGTTCCTGTACGCCTCACTGGATTTTCTCAACAGGGGTCCCATAAATGGAAGCAAATTCTGCAGATAAATGATAATAATACATGACTTCAGCATGGAAAACAGGATAAAACCTTGGGTGAACAAAGCGGATTTAAGAAACATATCAACACCAATGCTTTGAAATAATATTTAAGAACAAATTTGAACGATTCTTTCCACTATTTGTAAATGCATTATGTTGTGGTAGATAAAATCATACAGAAGAATGACACTCATGACCAGATAATCTATCAGATACATTGCCTTCTCTGGTTATTTGATATGAATTTAGCTTATTTAACAAGTTTCTTAAGGTCACAAGTCCTTAATCAATATGATCAATACCTGTAGCTTAGTTTCCCTTGGCAAAAGTTTGAGCGCCTGAGCTCCATTTATTCTGTCCCACTTTCGGCTTAACAAATCCAGGACCTCATCAAGCATGATTGTTGAACCTCCTTCCTCACTAGATTCGTCTGCATCTCCATCACTCCTGCTACTGTCAGTGCTACTTTGACCGACTCTTATGTCATCTGCCACCTCTATTGCAGCAATTTTCTTATTTCCACGACCTCCTTTACTTTTAACTGTATTTGCAGAACCAACCTTTGGTGTACCGATATTCTGAGGTGATACTAAATTTGTAATTCGCTTCTCAAAGTTCTTGGTTGTTCTCCTTGGATTAAGATAAATTTGCAATAGAGTGAGGTATATATTGCCAGAAGATCTTGAAGATTGCTGATGAATCAATGACTCATACACTCGATCACAATAGGACAGTGCCAGCTCAGGAACATGAAGCTACAAAAGCAAAGAACTTAATCTATTCAAACAGGATTCATAAGAAAAATAAGAGATAATAAAGAAAAGCAAGAATTCAAAAAGCATATATATGAGTTATAGGATGTGAAGATATAGAAAATACCTTATGAACATATAGAGATAAGGCAAGCTCATGTTGGTTCATTTTTCCCAACAAAATTGCACGCTCTTCATATAAAGCATCTGTTGGAAGACGTCTCAACAAAGGCTCTGGGTTATATCCTGAAATACTCTCTAAAGCAGACAATAATTTTTTTCTTGTTGAGGAGTAAGTTTGCTCATCCCATTTCTGCTGAGCACTTAAATCAGCATGCCAATCAAGAACTTCTGATAGATAGATATGTACCTGCCATGCACTACATCAATTAGAATGCAGTTTTGATTAGTAAATACAGAAACACTACTTCTATAACCTAAGTTTATAGAAACTCCTACAGGGTAGCTGAAATTGGCAGCACATATCTGTTCTTCCAAATCAACCTGTTTAGCTTCTAGGCAACTCCGAATGGCTCTTAAATGCCAGCTAATAATTTGTGAACAATGCAATACATCCTTACCATTTCATTTTGCAGATTTCCGGAGATCCCATTTTCATCCATTGCAAGCATAAGCTCCAAGTATGTGGCCTGCATGTTGGGAGCATGCTGCTTCAAATAAGAGTTGACCAGGTCTGCTGGAATATTTCCATTCAAAAAGAGCTCAATTGTCTGTGTTGGACAACTTTCCAGAACAAGCATTGAATACTCCAGGACAAGCATGGGCTCAGTCCCACAAAGAGGCTGCACAAGAAAACGATCAAATATATCTAGGTATGTTACACGTATACTGGTTCCAAATAATCAAGTTCTAGAGTCCAAATGTCAAAGATTGTCAAAGATTGACACAGTTTAAAGGTTTCATATCACTAACATACTTAAATTCCAACAACACGACTAGCATATTGAAGATCCAATTCATCAAACAAAATGAGAAAACTACCTTGAGATATTCAACAATTGACTCAGGCTTTAACTTTTGGATCAATTCAGTTTGCACTTGGTTAGATTTTGAATCTTCTACTAATTGATGCAAAAGTTTTAGAGCTTCATGGTGCATTGAATTGCACCTGTAGAGTTCTAACAAGGCAGTGTGGTGATTGTTTTTCTGGAGAATCTCCTCGCATATTTTTACATCACAGTAGTTAAGACCTTTCAGTAATTCTAAAGCCACTGAAGCCTGTCCAGTAAGAATTAGAGCTTGGAGTAGTGCTGTATCCAGTATCGCAGCCATCTCCCTAGCACCGGAGGTAACTGGGATGCTGCCCCGCCCCTAGGAACCAAAATGCTGTCAGTTTATTGATGTCACAATTGACATAAAGAATCATGAATATATCAATATACAAAGAGGTATCAAGTTGTGCAGAATCTGAAGATTCAGAACGGGCATACGCGCGCACACAGAGACACAAGGTCATAAATATTGGAGTTGTTGAATTTGAGTTAAGTATGTTAAAGCAAAAAGGTTAAAATAATAAACAAAGCATGGTCATTCATTTTGACAACCATGTGTTTATGCTATACGAATATAACTATAATTATAAGTGAAGTAACCACAGCCTACTCTATTTGTTTTAATATTAAAAGCTATAAGTACAATTTGGTACAAATAGAACTCTTTCTTTGTTGCTACCACAAAAGTCACAGCATCTGAGTTTTGACCAAGAATATCTAGCACACTGCATTTGGTTTGACACAAGATCATGATTGCCATGTTCAGGACCCATATGAAAACTTGTGTATCAATACCAGATTACATACTAAATATGGAAATTGCACACAAAATAAATATAAGTAGTTTACCTTGTTCGATCTCTTAAACCTATTATTAGACTCATAGGACGCAAAGTTGTTTCCTACTGCATCTAAAACAACCTCTTCTGTCCCCTCAGCAGTAGCCTTTTCAATTATGCCGTATCTTTTTTTCTGTAAGAACTTTATCAGAGCCATGAGAGTGTTATGGCTCATTTTCTTGGACTCTAATGCTGCACTCTCTTCAGATTCCAGTAGATGCAAAGGGGTAGAGGGTTCCATATCATCTGATATACCAGATGAACCTCTTGAGAGATGTGAGGAATCCCCAGAAATATCCATCAGCTTCTCTGGCTCCGAAACCATAGTTGTCTTAGGAAGAACAATAGATGAATACAAAGAAAGTACATAGGTTATATCTACTTGAGATGCCAAAAAATGCTCCATAGCGTCCTCATAGGCCCCATTATCAAAAAGATGATGAGCATATCTGTAACACAATAACACAAACTCATTTATCACTTAATAAAAAGGCATGGAACAAGCATGATTCACATAAATGAAATGAAAAACAAAAGCTGAAATATTCACCTCATGTGAATTGACCCCTCCTTTGCAGCTCTAAGACTTGCTTCTTCTGGCGGAAGCAGCTTGCACAATGCCAACGCTTCCTCAAAATCACCAGATGCTGTTAATTGCACAATCTGCAACGCAAATACACAATTCTTACTCACTCTCAAAAGAAGATGGTACGCCCACAATACAAGCTGTGGTCAGCCACCATGAGCATAGCAAGAGCATCAAGAATACCTGAGCACCAAGAGGAACGGGGAAGAGACCATAAACAGCATTATCTAATGCAACAATTACAGAATTGTTGCTCTGGAGAATACGACGAGCATTCCGAAGAACTACAGTCTGTATCAATGGATATGGAGCTCGAAGTGATCGAACCTGCAAAACATAATTGGCAAAGGAAAGGTAAAACTTTTCACTGTCTAGCGAAAGTAGAAAAGACAAAACAAGTAAACTTCTTTAGAGTATGAGGCACAGCCTACCTCAACATATCTTGGTAAGAGAGCTATTGCATATGGCTTCTGAATAACAACAACATTAGGAGCCTCTGACCAACAAACCCTGCCTTCTTGAAGAAGCTTCCCATTTTGGTCCACAAAAACCCCAATGTTATCCTAAAACATAAGAACTCTAATCACTAATCGTAATGCTTTTAGTCCTTAAAACACAAACCAAATGGCAGACACAGAAAAAGCAATTACCTTTCCAAGAAGAAGCTCCCCAGAAGGAAGAGAGACCACCAATGGCGGTGCCAATCTCCCCGAAGGAAACACCTCAGACAATGCACCATTAGTAGAATTCAGTATCATGTATTCTCTTCTAATCCCTATACATATATTTTCACCGCACCACGACATCGACTTCACCACATCTGGAACCCCAAACTCTTTCACTTCCACAAACCCTCGTCCTCCTAAAACCATTCAATTTGGCATTCATTTCAAAACAAAACAAAAAAAATTGAGCATTTTCAACTGAAATTGACAAATTATGAGAAATGGAATTCATGTCAATTACCGTCATGTCTGAAAATACAGACCCGCTTCTGCCTCGCGAAGCACAAGAAGCCTCTGCGGTCATCCCAGGAGTAGACATTGGCGCCCTTCGCCTTCGTGATCACCGCGATGGTGCCCAAGTTCGGGAGGCCATGAAACGCTATTGACTCAGACAGCGATAGAAGGAGCTCTCTTGATTCCAGGACCTCCATGGAGACCAAAGGCTTCTTCGAAAAACCGGACAAGTTTCTCTCCAGTGCGTACGGTTCCTGATGCAGCTTGTGCGCGTGGTAATCGGACGGCGGAGAACGGTCGGAACTGGAGGAGTCCGGAGCGTAGATTTTGAGCGATCCATCAGAGCAGCCGAGGAGGAGCTTCGGACCGTACGCTTCGATGGCTTCGATCTTCGTAGGGCAGTCGCTGATGAGCTCGAATGAATCGTAGGCACTGTGTACCATGCTGTCGTCGACGCTTTAGAACAACTGATCGGAACTTCGTGGCAAAGTGCAGACGTTTATATCTACCGATGGATACGGCGTCGCTTTGTGTTTATATTTTTACCGGAAAATTTCGATTCCTGTCGCTGCATTTCAATTTTTGGTACCAAAATCACAACCAAAAAATAAATAAATATGACTGTAACATTTTTTATAAAAAATGTTAATAATAGGAGTGTAAAAAAGTGGTCCCGGCGGGGCTCGAACCCGCGACCTTCGGCTCATAAGACCAACGCTCTAACCAACTGAGCTACGGGACCGTGATGCTAAGTTTTCGTGCAGTTATTATATATAACATAAAATATATGAAAATTTTGTACTATTCAACAATGAGATTTTGTCATTTTCATATGTTGTTTGTTCGGTTTCGTATTCTGATGACAGTGAAAACCAATGACCCATCTAGCTTCACCCGTGAATATTCAAACATATATGGTTTAAATTTTCGTAACATAAGTTTCGAAAATTTTCAATCTGATTCTGACATCGTGATATGATATTATTAATCTACTAATGTTGTAAGATGAATATTTCTTATACATGAATTTTGTGACATATCAACTATGTAATGTTGTACGATGGATATTTCTTATAAGTGAATTCTATGATATATCAATCAATCATGTTGTCCGCTCAGAATCCGTACACGGGCTTGTCGGCATTATCGTCATTTCTTTGTGAAAATTATCTTCTTTGCATTACGTGGCTTATTTTAATTGCTTATTAAAAAGGTTAACGAATCAGGCAATCAGGTCTCGACTTGGTAAAGCTGGTTCGTGAAAGAAGCGAGTAAAAAAACAGTTGGACTGTAAAGAGAGCGAAGATGACGCTGGGTCTGATCAATGCGAACCCCGTGGTTCACGCTAAAAGGGAAAGGGTTGCTCGCACTGAAGATCTCCATGCTGACGATGCCGTTGATCCTCTCGATATCTATGATATCCTTTCCATTTCTCGCTGTCTTTTTTTCTTTTTTGGATTTTTTTTTTCACTTGGATTTTTGTTTTCTGATTGATATCTGCAACAAAGCTAGTTCAATTAAGCTAAATGATGGTCTTTGTTTTGTCAACTTTGCTGAAATTTGCGATCTTTGACTGGAAATTGTAAATTTCGTGAGGGATATTAGAGATCCAGAGCACCCATATTCCTTAGAGCAGCTCAGCGTGCTTTCGGAGGAATCGATCACCGTTGATGACAAGCTCGGTCGTATTCTGTGAGTGTTTCTGAGCTGCAGTTCAGCTTTCTCTGATAATTTTGATTCTGGGTTTCTTAAGAATTTACCAAAGTTTTGATCTTTTTCTTCTTCTTCTCTGTTTTGGTCAAATTCATTTTTTAGGATAACTTTCACGCCGACCATTCAGCATTGCAGTATGGCAACAGTGATAGGTCTTTGCCTGAGAGTTAAACTAAAACACTGTTTCCCTCCTCATTATAAGGTCAGTTTGCTATGTTAGAAATGTTGGTGTATTTAGCTTTCAAGCAATTGATTTACGCGTCCTGTTTTCAGTGCGATCTGTTTCAGTTATGAGGCTGACAATTAGCATAGTTGCAACTTGCAATAGGGACCAAAGTTTGATGCATTTTAGTCCATTGATGCTAGACGAGACACATCATTCTCTATTTCTCTCGGATAGTTCGCAGTTAGCTGCTAGTTGGATAATGTGATAGTTGATGCATGCTTGACCATCTGTTAATTGGCGCATAATGTGATTAGAAAATGTGATCTTCTAGCATTACTCCAACTATAAATAATCTCTCATTTCTTGGGGATCCCCTAGTTTTCCCTCCTTTTTTCCAGAGGGTGCATAGAGAATCTATCCTAGCGAATAATCTCCCTTGTGAGCTGTTACTGCCAACTTATTTTGGAGTTGCTCAACTCTGTGCCTCACGCTAACACTATCCCGAGTGTTCCGTTTAGCATCTTTTGATCCCCTTCTCATTACATAATTTATCAAAAGAACGGCCTCACTTTAGGACTGATAACGAGAAATCAATAGAAGATATAGGGTTGATCTGAGTGAGTCACATTATAGTTGTTTAGCTATGTGTTTAACCATATGCATTTTTTTGTTTTTGGAAAAATGTTTAACCATATGCATATGCTTGATGATGCGTTTTAACAGGTTGACATTAAAGTATCTCCAGGATCGCATGCAAATGAAGAATCAGGTAATCTCTTTTTCCCCTTTTTAGCATCAGGTAATGACTTAAGAAATTTCATCCCGGATAGCATCTTCTGCATAGGGTTGGATGCTATCTAAGAACCTAGTCATCCTGTCCTGGCTTGTTATGTGCCTAGGGAACTGTTGGAGTCGTTGGACCAATTGTTATTAGATTGGTATTCAATCTGCTTACTTCGGTCTAATATCTTTAGGCAAGAAAAGCTAATGCTGGGTTATGAGTTTTCTGAAAGAAGGGAAAAGAAATACAGACAGATGCATTAAGTAGTTTTGATATATATTACCAAGCTAGTCGATTTGTCCCTCGAGATGTGTCAAGTTACAAGAAAGCATCAATCTTATTTTGGGAATTTCCAGGGTGCAAGAACTAACTTTTATCATTGTATGTTGACATGTTTCACCTCAAAATTAAGGCTGAGAACTGAGATTTTGATGTTGGCTCTTTTCATTTTTATAGTTAACAAGCAGTTGAATGATAAAGAAAGAGTGGCTGCTGCCCTGGAGAATCCCAACCTTCGCCAACTCGTGGACGAGTGCCTGTATTCCAATGAACTCTGACCAAGTAAAACTTCACAGCTCAAAACCCACTGTACAGAAGAAACTTTAGTAGTTCATATGCAATAAGAAATTGCTTTGTTGTATTGTTAATCTGCCTTTTTGCCTCTATTAAGTGGAGTTGCTTTACAGTGAGTGGCCTTGTTATGTCTACGTAAAGTTCATCTGCAAAAGCTATCATGTAAAATAGGAAGGAAAACATAAGTTGCAGAGTGTGTGTGTGTGTGTAGTCTGTGTTTGGATTATCTTATAGTGTCTAATGTGGTTGGTTGGCTGGCCATCTTTTGGTGTGGACAACCCGTCAAATAAAATAATCAGAAATTTCATCAGTTTATGAATATAAAATTAAGCCTGAGATGCCGCCCATGAGTTTCAATCTTTCGTCCGTCAAAAGGTTTTGCTTTGTTTTCTTTTCCCTTCAAATAGTCTTCTCATATTTTTTATGTTTTGGTAAAGACTACATATAGTCGTCTATGTGTTCGACACCTTAAATCAACGTACTTCTTAATCGCAATTATTTAACATCTCTAAAGTAAGGAACTTCACAATTCTTACCATCCTGATAAAATGGAAAACAAATGGGAGTTTGCATTGGATTTTTAGGTACCAAGAAATAGGATAGCTGACCCCGACCAGCTATGAACAAGTATAACTAAGTGCTTGGAATTGGTTAGCTGTTTATGACCCGAATGCACCATGCTTAAGTTTTGCGTTGTAATCGAAATGAAATTTTGAAGCAGGTGGCAACAAAGTTCTTAAATCAAGAGGGAACAAAAGATACATTGAAAAAATAGAAGAAACATATTACAGTGTATGTTTAAGGTGAGAACATCAGGAAAACAACAGAGGTTTGTCTATTTCCCTCATGGTTAGCAGTTAAGCACGGTAGATCACATGTTTATTAACCCGCATCAAGGAACTGAAACATGAACATTCCAGTCCACATTTCGGAAATTGAAACTAAACTTCTATATTTAAGTTCAGCTCCTGCTCATCGTATAATTTTTGTGATTCTTACTGTTCTGGGCATTAGGCAGGGTGCTCAGCTAGCTATAGGTGCGATGGGGAGGGGCTCCGGCATCACCTCTACTCCTGAAAGCCCAGTTTTTATGTGGCAAGGCTTCTCATCAAATCCCCAGAACTTGGCAGTTTTCACATCATCCTCAGCCATCATTCGTGAAAACTCCTCATGGTCGTACTTCAGGGTGGCTTGACCCCCGAACTCGCTTGGAAGATTTTCAACATCAAAGAATGTCTTCATGAGCTCTACACTTTCTTTACCTTTGGGGTATACAAACTTCACCTTCTGAAATGTCTTGGGATCCAGGAAGTACTTGACAGCCTACAGAAGTGAAAGCCGCAGGAAGTTCATCAAATGACAGATATGCGTGCTAAGCTACAAATAGTGTATCAATAAAAGTGTACATAAGTGAACTCGTAGTACAACTCTTATCTAAAATGAATTTTCAGATTTACAACCAAGAGTTTATCAGGTTGAACAGGACCCTTTACTGAACAAGCTTGAAGAACCCATGTTTGAACTTCTGCGAATGGCAGACTGAAAAACGGAAATGAAGGCTATTCCATTCCATGCTGCAGATCCTCATCCTCTTTGTGTGTGTGTGTGTGTGTGTGTGTGTGTGTGTGCGTGCGTGCGTGCCCGTGGGTGTCATGCTAAGTTCAAAAGTTGAACTGTTCTAAATCTAGTGGTGGAAGTAATCAAATTGCCTTCCAGTTGAAATTTAATTAACTAAATTTTATTTTCTCAATAAAGTTGAAATGTTGGTGCTCAAACTTCAGTTGAAGTTATGCGTGTGCAGTGGATGTCTGTGTCAATAACAACTTAAAAAATTTCCAACAGTTAAGTAGTTCAAACCTTCCAGAACGCTTGAAAAATCCTTGGTGGGTTATAAAGAAATGCAACCGCAAGCCTCTCGGGGTAATGGTTCTGTAGAATGTAAATAATATCACGGGCTGTCTTGACCGAGACATTGGTGTTCAACGAGAATCCAGAGAAGTCAACCAACCACGACATTTGTTCTTGACCTTCGGGAAGGTTGAGGATACCATTTTCTATAAGATAGACTAAATGGCGGATATTACCTTCAGGTGAGTTTGTGTTCTGAAAGAAAGAAAAGAAAGAAGATAGAGAGTTAGATCTATTTACTAAAATCTACAGACAGTGTAACCAATTTTTGTAGGGGGTGGGCAAAGCCTACAACAGACCTGCATTGCTGGCCTCATTATGAGCACAGTCCTCCCAAGTCGATCATGGAAATTTGCTCTTGACACTTTTCCAGTCTCACCTTCATGTGCTATTTCATGCTGAACAATGACATATTTCCATGGTAAGTACAACTTAAACCAAACCATAGTGAACTGAAATTTAACATCAATAAGCTGCAGATCATGTAAAGGAATTAAATGAACGCACTACACATGCAATGTGGTTAGAGAACACCATCTGAGTCCACAATGAGTTTATTCTGCCATATCTTTGATGTGGGCTACATGAAAACAGCATATGCAAGCTTAGGCATCCTAACACTGCTTCTTTTTCTTTTATTTTCAGTTAAGACCAAAGACTCAAAGCCCCATGCCCTGATGTTTTTTTTTCCAAGGTGATGTTGTGTTGATTTCCACAAGAAAAATGATCGTTTTATTTGCAAGCAGAAGTAATAAGATATTAAAAGAAACAAACAGTACTAGAACCGCAACATATCCATTTCTAGTTTTTGCATGTCAGAAAAGTTCATCTGAATTACCCAACGAGTTTCTTCAGGCTTATAAGTTGCCCTCCACCTGAGTGTCTCTTCCACCATTTTCTTCGCCTTATCAAGATTCCAGCTCCGAGCTTCCAAATATCTCCGAAGGCATGCATCAGTGCAGTACTTCAGATTACGTCCAGACAGGGGGCCAAGTGCAGCCCTGAGTTCTTTGACCTGATTGCAAATTTGTTTCACCCAATGTCAGATTTCAATATTTGTTATGTAACTTAACCTTTTCCGTTCAAATTTGTTTTGCAAATAAGATAAGAAGACAAGGTTTAATTTTTCTTGCTCATTTAACAATTATCATCATGTGCATGCTAGAGAAGCCGATTGATTTACTTGAGATTAAAGCCCTTTGGATAGACAATTGTACACTAGTTGTTTTCACAAAAAAATAAAATAAAATAAAAACCCAGAACAGTAATTGAATTTGTTACCTTTGCATCTTTTTGTGCAGAATCATCCTCTGGGGATGGTTTTTGAGCTTGTCTTCTCAGAAGATACATGTTGGTCACCAAATGACTTCACTTCAATCTACAGCAATAATATTGGTAAATAAACGGCGAAACAAAAATCTGTAGGTCCTTTTTTTCTCTTGAATTCCTCTTTCAAATACAATCAGTGTATCTGCAACAATGCATTAACTTAAAAAAGCAAAATTCACCAAGCGCTTCACGTCAAAACAGAAAAAACTTAGAAATCCAAAACATGAAAATTCTTCTCCAGCATATGGGAAAACCAGTCGATCTTCATGTTCAAGCTACTATTCATCAAGATTGACCACAGCACCTTAGTTTCATATTTGAAGCTGAGATGTGGTGTGCTGGTCAAATCCCTCTAGATAAAAACGAACATACTAATATCTAACAAAATCAGATAATCATTCAAGATCCATTTTAAGAAATGGTCAAAAGGGGTCTAGCTACACTTATTGGAAAACCATTTGGGAGTGACAGATCTAATTAAAACTCAGGAAGAAAAAAAAACATGAATATGCAAACGAGAAAAAGAAAAATACCAAACTGGGTTAAGTCTTGATCAGCTATGCTTTTTTTTTTTTTTTTTTTTTTTTTTTTTTTTTTTTTTTTTTAAATCTAAAAATCTCTTTTTTTTTTTGTAAGCATAATGAAATGAATAACTTAAAACGTACCTGGGTTCAGCAGAGGAGAGAATGAAATGAAATGAATCAGCTCTTGGTCAAGCGTAGGTAGCTTCGTGCCTAGCCTTTTACGGCAATTAAAAATGTTACAGAGACAGAGACAAAAGGGAGAGAGAGAGTCTGTGATTGTGTTTGATGTAGATTCTTGACCTTTATGAGGGTGTCATTTAGTGGGTTTTATTTACCAGGACAAGAACAATGTGAAGGAGAGAAGGAGAATTGCAGGAGTTGGCCATCTCTAGTTGTCTCTGCATTTATAGTGTTAAAAAAGGGAAGGACTTGATGACTGGGAATTGGTGTTTGCTGTGTCCTGTGTGTGTGTGAGGCCACCAAAGTTGGCTCCAAGTCCTTCAAAGACTGCGACTGACTTTATCAATGTGGGGGGCTTCTTTGTACCTCCCCTTGGCCCGCTTCCCATTCATTTCTCATTTCTATTTCCCTCTATGTTTTCCCTATTTTTTTAATATTAATTTCTTATTATATTTTTATTTTTGTGTGAACGTTTTCCATATAATAGTTTAACAAGATCTTGTTTCCCAAAAAAATGTTTATACAAGATCTAGCGAGTGAGGTGTTTTACTAATATAACAAAAAAGATAATTAATCTGTAGATATGAGTTAGGTCTGTTGATTAACACTGTATTTACTTCTTTACATTTGAATTTTGATCAAATCAAAAAAGATTTTCGCCCTCTATTTACGTTTCTTTTACCAAAGAGTATATCATGCCGTTTTTCCATAATAAACTTTTGATTCTCATGTGATTGTATTACCATGATAATTTTCACTACCTTTATTTTTGATCAAATATCAAATATCATTATTTCCATAATCTTTCTACGAATTATTTATTGGCATTGGCATTGGGAGCAGAATTTGCGTTATTGACTGGCCCCGCCTGCCAAGAAATAGGGGTTTTAGGTGGGAAGACCCATCCCACTTTATTTTAAACTAGTTCCCTTGCCCTTACATATTTTTTTTTACATATATTTCAAATGTTTCTAGAAATCTTAACATGTAATAATTATTCTTTCTTTTTCCTATTAGATAGATCGCCGTCTATAGAGGAGGGAAAAGCTTTAATATTTGAATTCCCATTCAGAGGCAAAATTCTACCTAATTTTAGTATTTGCTTTAAGATGTGTTGTCCTCTAGGTCTCGGTGTCGGAGGTGTGCCACTGCCATGTGTTCATATCCTATGAAAGATTGCACTTTTATTATAGAGTTGACTACAAATAATTGCATCATTAATTAATTCGGCAAAATTCGTGGGTACCTCTCTACTTACCTTTCTTTGTTTATTAACGCATGGATCACACTAATCAATCATGTAGGACCAATTTGTACAATTATTAAGGATTTGGACTTAATTAATCACACAACTTTGTGTTTGGTTTTCCCCATTTTTCTATATGTATGGTTGTTAAAAATAAGGAGATTCACTGTTATACTCAATATAGGGCCTAAATTATAATTAAAAAACCTTTATATGAAATGGACTTTAAAAACACACATAAAGCCCAATTTACAACATAACAAATACGCTTTAAACTTATTATAAATTATAAAACTGTCATCAATTTCTTAAAATAAGTTCAACTCTAAAACCTCGTTATAAAAAAAAACCCAAAACAATCAATAGAGCATCAAAGTAATTTAAAATCAAAATTAAATTCAATGGGGCCAATTGTCATTTTTTGTGTTTGTTTATAGAAATCAAATAGTGTATGGTTTATCTATATCATTAGTGCTAAGAATGGGTATATGACTAAATATCTCTTAAAAGTATTACATTACTTTATCATATAAAATAAAAAAGATTATGCGCAAATAGAGTCTAACTCAATGAAAAAGGATCTTGAATTGCATAATAGGGGTCTCAAGTTTGAACCTCCATGATACCTTAATAGTGTGTGTAAAGGGACGAGTAGCTCGAGTGGTTAAGAGCCCCATGCATCCTAAGTCCTCGGTTTGATTCCTCCAATATCGCTGGTATAAAAAGAAATAAAAAAAGATTGTATAAGGGCCAACCTCTGTTGAATGTAGCATTGGGTAGCTGGAACCTCTTGGTTGTTTGTTTGTTAGGACTTGGGATCAGGCAACTTGAAAATACTTGCGAAGATTTCCATGACCAAATGGCTTCAGTGAAAAGTAAGGAAAAGAAAGCGACTAGAAGCTTGGATTGTCAATAGGTGCTTCATCATATTTCTGTGGGGCTATAAGTTTGATCCGCGCATTAAAGTTGACAAGCAAAACGCCAGACGGTTTTGGGTATGAGTCAATATCAGAAGCAAATGAGAAACTTTTTTAGGTGCCAATTTATAAGGGGAGGTCATGATATTGATAGTGATACTTGGCTCATGAGGTCCAAAATTGTATACGTTTTGATTTTGTTACAACCACCACCCAAGCCTTGGCCATAGGAAGGGATACTTGGCATGTTATTTGGGTTTCGATCCAGATGACGAAATTGTGAAAATGACTGTACAATTGACTTTTCTGTTTGAGGGTTCATTTTTCTAATTCTTTGTTCTTATGTCAACATATATGGTTGACTTCGGGTGCAATCAAAAATGATTATGTCTTGGTTTGAATGAGCATTCTACCCGAAATCATAGTTTGAATGAGAGCATTCAACTCAAAATCAGTCGGCAATGAGTAGAGAAATCCGAGATCGCGTTAACTATGAAATGTTATATATAGAGATCACTAAAAGCTGATATCCAAATTGAATCTATATGCAAATCAAGAACCATCTTGAAGTGGATGAAACATGCATGCATCATTATAAGTTAGAACTACCAAGATCCCAGGCTGGTTAAAGAACATAAAATAATAAGAATGAGCTGGGTGGGTGGATATAGATATATAGACTGCAGGCATTAAGTTTTAGCTTACACTTTTTGTGGTGCCGTTGAGATTACTGTTTGTGTTGTGACCCACATCCTGCATGATTTTGTAGTCTGTGGTCTTCGGCAAATGGGCATTGAATATTCGACAAATCATTGATATGAAATCTTATACTGTCTAAAAGAAGTGCATAAAATTCAATGACCAACCACCTCCAATAGCCACAATTGGGTATAGGGATCTGGCTCTCTTCCTCCTACCTCAGCTTACAGTTACAGATCTGCCCAAATAAAGGAACAAGAAAGGTATAGCCTTGGAGGGGGGCAACTGGTGCGCAAAATATGAAGTTTAGAACAAGCACCAAGTAGCAAGCACTAAGCAGAAAATTAGAGGCAAGTTTTTAATGGAAAAGCCTATGATTTACTTAAAAGGATGCACTTGCAAATGAATCAAGCAAGCAAGCTACAAATTACAGGCCCATCAAAGTGAGTTACAAAATGACCAGAAACCGAAACGGGACTTGAATTACATAATTCTATCCGGTACCTGATAAACCAAGTTCATTACATAAACCAGCTCCTTAATTACCGGCACGACGTTGTATAAGAAGATAACCAGGAGACGATGACAAATATTAAAGTCTTTATTGGCAGCTAAAATGCTTTGAATTCATACATTAAGCTTTCCTAGTAAGAGAGAACAACCCGCAAAACCCACGCACACCAAGAGCCCAACTGAAACAGCCCGAAATAGGTGGGGCAAGATGACTAAAAAATTTCAGACCGAAAACATAAAGAGTACAAAATTTGATAAAGAAATAAAAGACTTAAAATTGAAAAGAGGGAAACCGAGCCCGCCAAACCAACCGCACAAACGAAAGATAGCAGATCTGGGTGGATTTGAACCACCAACCTCTCAAAAGCCCAGTAAGAACTTTGAGCGCTCTACCATTTTTGAGCTACAGATCTTTTGACTTCACGTGACTTCCAACGGACCGGCCCTGAACTAGACTGATAAATTCAACAGCCGTAAACAACTCTCTCGACAAATCTTGGGATTCCAAGGACTAAGCAAATCCTATTCTCCAATAATAAGTATTTTTAATTTATTATTGATTACATACTTTTAATCTTAAATGTTAAAATGCATCATTAGATGTGTTAATAGTCTCTTAGATGTGATTCAAGAGAATAAAACCAATATTACAAATACATAACCAATCCTTTACATGTACACTTACCGGATAAGGCGCCAAAATATAATTGGGGTTTAAACAACGCCGCTTGCCGAAACTAGATTAAAAACCGGTTTAGTATAATCTTCCCAACGATCTACTTGATCAAAAAATTTCCCCACCAGACAAATTTCAGAGAAATAACAGACCAAGAAGAAAATTCCAGAAAGAGATTTTCCCACATCTAAAATGTTACGAACCGCTTCAACACAAGTTCAAAAAGATTCAACTCGACGATAAATTCGCTGGTCTCGCTTTACAAAGCAGCACAGAAATATCACACAACTGCTCTTTCGGACGTCGTGAGAACAGAATTATTTCAATGTAGCATATATTCGAACGAAACCATTGCTGGTTATTGAAACAATACCAAATTTATTTAGCGACTCATGTAAATGAATGTGAAGATGACCCAACCCAAAAACTATACTCATACATTCAACTCATCTTCCAGCCCACCAACGGCAAATCCTAATCCATCCCAACCTCCTCTCTTCCAACCTTTACCACGCCTACCCCACCCACCGCCTACACGCTAATTCTGATTGCATCCATCTTTAACAACTAAACAAGCACATGAAACACAACAGCATACAAAAATAATATCTACATAAAATATCCAATAAAAAAGACAGATAAGAGAGAATATTTACTACAATCAAGGATGTATAACTAATTCATCTAATTCAATTGAACAAAAGATAAAAGGTCCATGGACAGATAAAAACTACTGACACGAACAAATATAAACATATGAAATAATCCTTGAAATCACGATATTAATTAAGGACAAAGCTATATAAAGTACTGCTGCTGAATAATGGTAATAACTTAAAAAACAAAGGTAATGCGAAGCTCAACTCAATTCATTTTTCACCTCAAGATTTCCAGAAAGAGATAGAAGACTAACAGAACTTGAACCTTCCAGCGACCAAACAGCTTGTAATTGAGAAGAGTCTTGATTGGTTTATAAACGAGTAGAAACATTCAGGCTTCATTGAGGAAATTGCTTCCAGCAGCCAAACTCCTACAAACCATCTATAATACAATCCATTGCTAGAGGCAATATCGGCCAAAAGCAAATATAATTACATAATATTACAAAGGATCCATAAATCTTGGGATCCCAGAATATACCACAATTTCAGAAGTGCATACCCACAAAATTATAAATACGAAAACTCAACCACCACACAAATCTCATTTCAGCTCATACAAGAATTGTAGTAAAATAAAGACAAGAATTGGTGCAGATGTATTGGCATTTGGCCTCGTAAGTATGGATTGCGAAATATTGCATGATGAATTGAATTAGTGAATGATGGGGATGTGAGATTTGGGAGCGCATGGGACCTTGTTTTATAGCACATGATAGCATATAAAAATGGATTACTGTAAACAAATTGAAACTTGCCCAAAATATTATGATTAGCCAAATTACCAAACAATTCAAAAGACTATGTCAAGTTCAAATTTCTGCTTCAAAACTCCGCATATTCATATGCTTCATAATTACAAAATATTTTGTCTTTTCTATGGTTACAGAAACTTGAAACCCATTTATCTAGAAAACATTACTCTATATAATAAATTTTAGGTTACCAAATATATCGGATTATACGTAATAATTAAAAAAGCTTAATAATCCAATATCAATTCAAAGCAGCGCCATAATTATGAGCATAAAACTAATTAATTGTACATGAGGGTTGTGAATTAGTCATGATTAAATTAGATGAATGTCAATTTAAATAATGATCGTGAGTTGGCTGTGCAAGTGGCAGATTTCAGTACTAGAATTAGATGGATGCATATCAATTGAAATAGAATTGGGCAGATGATACCTTGGGCGGCTGAGATTTTGTCGTCGTTGCTGTCCACGATCTAGCATGCTTTGATGAGCAGGAGAACAAAAAATAAAGCAGAGTAAAGAGAGGACGACACAGAGCACACACCACACAACAGAGGGAGAGACCCTGGGCAAAACCCCATGCAATCTCCCCTCCAAACCAAAAAATCGTTTCTGTTTTTTTATTAAGGTATTTTTGTGACCTGCCATGCAAGCGCACCTGTCATGGCAAAGGTCGGATGACAAAGATCGGTCCAGGACACAGACCCTTCCTCTGATCCTTTCGTCCCGACATCTTATACATCCGTTGCACAACCCAATCATCCCTAAACACCCCAGCTTTCAGCTTCCCGATCGTCAAATTACAATTATTCAATTCGAATATCGGATAAACATAAGCTAGACTCCAGAAGAACCAGATCTGCAGCTGAAACGACGTCGGATTTGGCTCAAAACGGTCAAGTCTTGGAACCTCCGAGGACTTGCTATGAACTCCAACATCATCAATCAGAACCTGCATGAACCAGAAACTGTTAAGCGGAATTCTAGCAGATCTAACAAATTTAAACGAAAGCATAAACAGTATAAGCTGAATTCTAGCAGATCTAACAAATTTAAACGAAAGCATAAACAGTATAGCCTTCTTAGAAATCTAGATAAGTTAAACGAATAGAAAACAGAGACGAACCTGTAAATCTGAGCCAAAGCACGAAGAAGACGAGCTCGAGCTGGTAAAACCAGCTACGAACCACCAGCTCAAAACATCTTCACAGCCCTCAAATCACCATGAAAACGTAGATCTCGAGAAGACCTACGCGAATTCGAGACATAATGGAAGAGAAAAGAATCCTTGCAGAACAGATCGGAAGGAGAGGAACCATGGAGGCGCATAGAGACGTGAAGAGAGAGGAGAGAGAGACCGTTGAGGCGTTGAATGATTTGGAACCAACCAAACCTAACCTACTTTTATAATGGGATAAATGCCATGGACGGCTGCGATTGCGCCCTTATCTTTAAGATCGACGGCTGATATGTTATAACGTGGGTGGGTGGTTGGGTAGAGGCGGTGGTATAATTTTCCACGTTACTGTTTTTGACCGTATCAACCACGACACGTTAATTTTGCCGCCTTGACAGCTGGGTCATAACCTTTTTTCAACTATAATTAGGTTTCAACTATAATTACTATATTTCCTTCTAGATATTTCGGAATTTGGAACAGCCCAAGCCCGAAATTACAGTCTTTGAATCATTTTAACCGGGCCGGACCTAAGAAAAAGATAAAGAGACTACGGCCCGGAAAAATGAGAATTGGGCTGGGGTTTTAGGCCCAAACTTATTCATTATTCCTTTAACAAATCGGTAACCGACATAAAACCATATAACTAGTATTCAAATAGGGCACGCTTGGTCTAGTTGCACGCATTAACATCAAATTTCATAGGTCACAACCTTTAGATTTAGATACATAACAAAAAAACAACAAAATCATACTAAGTATCTTTAACGTAAAACATTTTTTTATTATTCAAGCGATACTCAAATCGAACACAAATAAATATCGACATATTCCTCAAGATTCCTTCGATGGAAAGGTATGCCACTAATCACGTATTAGTCAGGGAGACAATGACCTGACATTTGTCGTTAATAATAATTAATTAGATTATGGGTGCCTACTGTTGCTTGCTTAGGTCGCTTTTGGCTGTGTCGTTTTGTCTCTCAGCTTCGGCTGCCTGCCTTTGTCCTTGTTCTGCTTTACCGCCAGTTGTTTGCTGCCGCTGCCGGCCTTGGGCTTTTTCTGTTGCCTGACAGCTATATGAGGTTAAAGAGTAAAGAAAACATAAAAGCAACAACACATGAACGATAATGGCACACCAAGTCATAAATTGACCATAAGAAGTAATGTTTTAATTATTTAAATGGTGTACTGTTATTGTAGATCTGGGTGGATTCGAACCACCATCCTCCCAAAGCCCAATTTATGGACCCGAGCGCTCTACCATTTTTGAGCTTACAGACCTTGATCACAACTACTCTCATCGATGGCTCCACTAAAACCCAACCAAGAAAAGCTTACGTTTTACGACGACGGTCACAGGTCATCACCACGAGACTAGATTGTGGAAATTAGGTTTACATCCCACCTGGGTTTCTTATTTGTTTCACATGTTCTCCAAGCTTACCGTAGCTCTGTTTTCATTCTCTCATGTCGTCAACACTAGAACAAATTTTTAAGAAACCAAATTCAGAAAACACACAGCATTCTAGAAAACCGCAGTGTAGACACTTGGAAGAATAAAATCACAGGTTCAATTAGGGAACCCAATATAAACTGTTCTTTATAAAAAAAACAAATGACCCATCGACTTATAACATGGAACAGTCTAATATTGATTTGCAATATAAGAATACAGGTTTTTTCATATAAAACAAAACATTCCACAGTTTAATAATATGACAAGATCGATACTACACAACTACAGAAAATCCCACATAACCTACACAATTAATTTCATACAGTTTCAAAAATAATGTTAAAATCAAGAAGAACTCCTCCATTTCAAACCAAAACCACCTCTACATGCACAATCCATAAACACAAATGAGATTCAATGAATTATACATAATATTAATATAAGTAAAATTCATTATTCGACCAAAGCCACGATCATAATAACATAAATTCAACAGAACAAGTAATGAAATTCTGAAATGAAATATATAGGCGAACTACTGCAAGATCATACATAATGAGGTAAAATAATCGAAAACGCTGATTGTAATAACTTCAATAACTTAAAGACGAAATAAAATGTAGGACACTGGTTATCAAGGCTTCGAATAACTTCCAGACACCTAAGAAATTGAACCTTCAGGTGTACAGTCATTTTTCACCTTATAATCTCCAGAAAAGGTGCGCATACAACAGACTTCTTGGACCTTCCCACGACCTCACTGCTTCAATCCGGAAAAAGTCTTGTGCAATCTCCAGAGCGAAGAAAGCTTCCAGCATTCACTCCTAAGAACAAACTACTGGGAATACAATCCACGGCTCAACGAAAAAGGAGCCAAATGATATAAAATTACAGAATATTACAGTGGATCCATATCTTTTGAGATCCCAATAATAACATAACATAAACTGTAATCCAGATTATAATGAATAATTATTCAAATTAGTTCACGAGACACCATAAAATTTAATTTCAACTCAATGTAATTAGCTGTAGTAACACAAGTAATTAAAAATATTGCAAAGGTGCTGGGAATATGTGACGAAGTATGTATCGCAAGGTATTTTAAATGAGTGGCATGGTGGGATGAGGGATTTGGGATCTGGACGAACATACGACCACTTCTGTTCTACAGTATTATAGAATAATAAATGGATACCAGTACAAGGAACTTGCCAAAAATATTAGTATTGGATTTAGTAAAATACGGGTGTATACTTTGAGGTTATGATGGATCAAAATACTCTGTTTGATGTTAATACTAAGTAACTAGTATCCTACATCGATATAGCCATGTAAACTCGAACCCGATTACCTTCAAAATTAGTGGGGTAGTTTGACGAACTCCACAATTAAAAATAAAACTGTAAACAAACATTATTACTAAGCCCTATCGATTCTCAAGTCCCCAGTTGTGCTTAATATAACCCAATAAGCTTAATCCCTTGTTAATTAAGATAAATAAAACCGCATAAAACTAATTAATCGTGTAGCTGCAGATTAAGTACCATGTTTAGATAGGTGTATATCAATTGATAAGGTGTTCGTGTGAATGTGGTGCGAAATTTGCAGATCTGGGTACCATGATGCATATCAACTAAAAGAATATAGACTTGGGCAGATGATACCTTTGGGCGCGAGATTTCGTTGTTGTTGATGTCCACAATCCGTGCCCGACTGGTGTGCATGGAGAAGAGAGCAAAAAATAAAACACAGAACAAAGAGAAAGGACGACACACAGCGCGCACACACAGCAGAGGGGAGACCCTGGGCAAACCCCCATGCTGTCTCCCCTCAAAACCAAAAAATCGTTTGTTTTTTTATTGAGGTATTTTGTGACCTGCCATGCAAGCGCACCTGTCATGGCAAAGGTCGGATGACAAAGATCGGTCCAGGACTCGGCCCTTCCACCGAGCCTTCCGTCCCGATATCTTATACATCCGGAATTCAACCACACCTAAAACCCCGAATACTTCAGCTTCCCTCTTCAAATTACAAATATGCCCATCGAATCGAATATCAATTACATCTGTTGGACCAGCTTCAGCAGCCATAAGCATCAGATCTGCATCCAGCTGGCTCAGAACCGTCGGGGCTTGAAACCTCTTGAAATTCCATAAGAGCTCCGTCGCCATCTCTGTTTGAACACAAAAGAAAATACATGAATCAGAAACTGTGCGAAGCAGAAACACAAAAAACTCAATTCGTAGCAGATCTATAAAATTCAAACGAAAGCATAAACACCGAAGCTTTATTGCAGATCGGGATGCGTAAATCAAATCAAAAACATATACGAACCTGTAAATCTGAATCGAAGAAAGCGGAGCACAAGCTCGAGCTGGTCAAACCAGCTATTCAACGTCGGCTCAAACCATCCTCACAACATAAAACCACCATCAACGCGTAGACAACGAAGCGATCTACGCGAATTTGAAAGAAACAGAGAGAGAAAACGATCCATGCAGAGCAGATCTGCAGGAGAAGAAGAACCGAGGAGGCTCATAGAGTTGTGAGGAGAGAGAAAGAGAACGTTGAGGCGCAGAATGATTTAGAACCAGACACCCTAACGTAATTTTATAATAGGGATAAAAGCGGATGTACGGTTGCGATTGATTCTAATCTTTAAGATCGACGGCTAATACGAAATCGCATGGTTTGGTGGATTCGGCGGTGGTCCACTTGTACACGTCTCTGATGCGCTGGAGACAGAGAAAAGAAAAGCTTTGCGTTTTTCGTAAGCACTTTCCTTTTTTTAATTTATTATACGACACGTTACAGTTTTTGTCTGGGAATCAGATTCACGTCCTTATCAGGTTTCTCTCGCGCGAATTTACTACCTTACCAGTTTTTTACTACAATTAGTTTTCTCTCGCGCCGATTTGTTATCTTTTCTTCTAGATTATTCGACGTTTGCAGCAGGTCAAGCTCGATATTACCGGTTCGGAATAATTTAAATCGGGAGGATTATATATTAGCGGGTGTTTCCTTAGGATTGCACGGCTATGATTTTGAACCGGGGTGCCACATGGGGAAAAGGGCACATATGTGCACAGTGAAAATTATTTAATCACAGAGGGATGGGGTGCCTCCAATGACTGTACGTAAGTATTGTCCTCATAAGATATTTAAAATAAAACTGTGAGGAAGAAAAAGAAAAAGAAAATAAACCATCCATTTTCTCAACACAGTTCTGAATTTCTTTCTCACATGTCCTCCTTTCGAGACGTATCCAGGATTTCAAATTGGTGTGGACTACATTTATCTTACATACAAATTTACTAAAATGATAAAAAAAAACTCGACGATTCAAATGAATTTCATTTATAAAAATAAATAAAAATACACAAGGGGGCATAATGAGCCTTTCCTGTCAAAATGCATCTAGTACATGTAAGAAAAATTGACAACAATAAATAAACATGCAAGCAAGCAAGAACACCTCAATTGCAAATCTTGATCTCTAAGAGTCTTTGATCTCTTAACATTTTGATGTTGATTCGATATTATAAAGTATAACCTATTGAATAATATATATATATATATCAACAAAATCTCCAATTGATAATTCATACAAGCAAACAAGAACACCAAAATCAATTACACATCTTGTTTGATAATTCACAAGTTTTAATTGTAAATCCCTAATTGATACTTCATAAACCCTAAACAATCTCCTAAATTTCAACATCCACACATTTAGAGAAGAAAAGAAAACGAAGAATAGAAGATTACCTTAGTTTGCTTTAATAAACTCTCCAAGAATGACATAGGGTTGTTAATGGGATTTTATTTGGTTGGGATGAGGGTTGTCATGTGTGGGTTAGTTTTTTTTTTGGTGTTTTTTTTTCCCCTTTTTTTGTTGGCCAAACTTATTGTGGGGTTAGTTAATGAGATTTTATTCGTGTGGGATGAGTGTGTGGGGCTTGCAATGGAGGGTTGCGGTATTATTTTAGGTTAAAAAAATAAAGTCACTTAATCTACAGCCTAGGTTAGCCTAGACGTAGGACTGTCCCTCCTCTTATTTCGAAAAAAAAACTTACATATAACTGGGTGTATACTTCTTATTTCTATCGTTCTCCTCACATGGTAATTATTACAAATTATTACCAAAATCCAAATTCATATTGAAGCAAATGATCAATTAAAAGAAAACTTTAATCCAACGATCATTTCGATAAATTAATGAAATTATTACCAACTTTAAAGCCTTTCCAAGTATTAACATATAACCAACAAATTAAATTAAAAATTATTTGCAAAATGAAAAGGAATTATATAGAAAGGCCACCGAATCCACACAAACTAATCCACTCGTGGGCTCCTTCATTAGTTTGTTGATGCATTGGCCTGGGTTTGGTGTCTTCCTTTCTCCTTCTCCTTCACCTCGCTTCCCTGCGTCTTGTCATACGCAGGGTGGTTTTCATGGATCAGCTGATCCTGCTGCTGTGTCTTCGGAAGAGACTGGTTTCCCGAAAATACACCTCCAAATCCTTCCTCATCGGACCTCGTCGCATACCCTTCCCCAAATGAATGAGACATCGCATCTCTAATTTATATACAACAAACAAAATGTACCCAGATTAATAATACTAATCCCTCATTATGAATCAACGAATCAAACTTGCACAACAAGTCAATTGATTTATACATGCGATGTGAGAAATACCATTCGAATATCCGTATCAATCATCATAAACAGTTGATTATATACCGTATTTGATACATTGTCGATATTCTCGTGTGATGTGGGAAAGACTGATTGAATATTGACAATGCACCGAATGGTGTACAAAAACCAAAAACCCGATACGTTTAACATATGAGATTAACAATAAGAAATGTGTAGACTAACCCAGTTTTCTGCTGGTTAGGGTTTTGTGTCTTGTCCATGTTATGTTTAGTATCTGGATCAGTAGAAATAGCTGCGTTCTGCCTAAATCGGACCCCGGAAGCTTTTTAGACCAAGTTTGAGGGCGATTGGGTTCTGAGTGATGTTATTGCATGAATCATGTTTTGCGCACCTTGTAGGAATTTCTGCTGGTTGCTATTTATACATGAAAACACACGACATAACTGAGGATGAGGCAGTAAATATATGGCGGTGAAAGGTGAGGGGCTACAAATCACCAAATTGTGCCCAGTTCTATGGGGGATTGATCCTGATTTCAGTGAGAAATTTAGTTTCATGCCATGACACGTAGTGGTGGACTTGGCAGCCACAAGTGGTGCCATTGCTATTAATGTCAGCCTACTTCATCCCCTACAAAGGTAAATTCAACTCCTTACTGGAGGCCCAAAAACCAAGATAAGCAGAAGCCCAAAATGTTTCGAGTAATTTTTGTATGTTCATATTACACCAACATGTAGAAATATTCGCCAGTTTCGATTAATTTTTGTATGTTCCGATTACATCAGCGTGTATACACGTTAAATATGTGAAAACTTTCTCCAGTACACATGATATATCTAAAAATATTCTCTAATACACATGATTAGAACATGTGGAAATATTTCATATCGAGCTATGACTTGTCCTCCTCGCTTCATAAAACAGATTCGCAGAAATAAAATAAAAACATACAAAAGCGAAAATGAACAAATCTACATAAAAGCACCGCATATATATATATATATATAGTCGACTCTCGTATCGTATATATTAGTTTAGTTATGATGAAGCATATGTCTGATGTCGCGCTTCCTCCTTCTCCTGCACCTCACTTCCCTGTGACTTGTCAACAGCAGGGTGGTTCTCATCCTCCTCCGTATTTGTAACTGACCGGATTCCCCCATATACCACTCCAAACCCATCGTCATCGCACCTCGTCGCATACCCCTCCCCAAATGAATGTGACAAACTGTCCCTAATATATAAATATTGTACATTCAAATAACATTAGCCACTTACCTAGTTTCAAATAACATTAGCAACTTATTTTCAAAGAAAATGGGATAATTAATTAATCATGGTATAAAGCCACTTACCTAGTTTTCTCAGTAGGGTTAGGCTCTGGCTTGTCCATGTTGTGCTCACTATCGGACTCGCTAGAGCGCAGGGTTGTGGTCTGTTTGAATCGGACCCAGGAAGCTTTCCGTCCCAAGCCTAGCGGCGGCGGCAGAGGCGCCGAGAAGGTCAAAGCTGGTGATTGGGTTCTGAATGTTTTGAATGCATTAATCATCTTTTGCATCTTCAAACTTCTACCGCTTTCTATATATATATAACATATATATATATATATATATATATGTATGCCGGTGAAAGGCCGTGTGGATGAAGCCAACACAACTGTGTCCGATTTTTGTAGGGGAATTTTTTTTTATTCCAAGTCATGACACGTGGCGATAGAGTGGACAGGTGTCGCTTTTCTGAGAGGAAATTTTGTGTACGTGGGCTTTCAACTGTCCATGTCGTCCATCGTCACTACCCATTGAATCTTCTGGCACATTTTTACCTGGTAGAAGATAAGGAAGAGCACCACCAAGGTGTAACATCAGATATTTATTTGTTGTACTAGTTTAATACGTTGCACTAAAGTAACATCAGATATATATGTATTCATTGTACTAGTTTTATAAACTTAGGTGTAAATTATATTTTTCATTTATAAATAATTTTTTTTCATCACGCGAGGTATATGGGATTTACAAAGTTTTTATTATTATATATATATATATAAATATTTAGAAATTATACGATTGCATTCATAATTCAGTAAAATAAACCATTGGTCACAAAAGACCAATACAAACTATCCACAAAAACGCCATTGTAATAACAGAACGGTCTAACATCAAAATTAAGACAATTTGGTGTGCCTCAACTAATGATCATGTAGGATGGAAGAAACTTTGCCATAGGTATCCCAACTAAGATTTCAAACTTAGAATAATAAAAAAGAGTTCACGCTTGAAAAACCAAGTCATAATAGTACAAATAAAACTCTCACAAAGGAGAGATGAAAAGCTCTCATAAAAGAAATGTGAAAACTACACAGAGAACCCATAGAGTTTCTGCAACTTATTCCAAACATAAAAAAACCGCACAAGCTTTCGTAGCCACCTATGATTGTTGGATGAAAATCATAACAAAACAATGACAAATAAGGTAAACCATTTGTCTATGAAAATGGGAAAATAGGTGAAGGGAGGAAGAACAATGGCTCTCCCCTCAAAGTGAAAACGACTTTAAGAGTGTTTTTTGGGAGAAAAGAAGATAGGGTTTTTTCCCTATTAGACGGATAATTATATTTTTCTAAGTGGTCGTTTTAAAATTTTTTCTTTATTGCGTGTATTTTTCTAGATATTTGTCTCAATAGTTTGCGTGCTATAAAAGATAAAAAAGAAATTGTCATCTGATAAATTAATATCTCCGTACATTAGCCATCTGATAAATTTTTGGAACACAATGTACAAACTAAGCCTATAGCCCAAAATTGGATGCGTTTTAAATCCTTTGGAGAAAAGCCCAAAATTCTCTCACCCATAAAGTAGCCCGAACTTTCTTTGCTCACAAAGTAGGCTATGGCCTCTATCGTCGACCACCACTATTGCTTATCGAACTTAGCAGCAAGTTCTAATCTTTTGGTTACATTCACTAACACAATAATTATGACTGCTAATTACTTGCACAAGACTACTAAGGCTTCTCCTTACATGGAACGAATCATTCCTCTTTGATATTTACCGATTATACTTTGACGTGTTGCAGACAATTTTCCCTTTTTTCCTAGCTTTAATGGGTTATTTTCTATAAATGTTTCGGACTTGATTTCAAGTTTATGAAGATCGACTCCGGATATAAAAATGATTTTGATTTTTTCCTTTTTTGTAGAATAATTTTCCATATAAGTTTTGTGTGGAAGCTTAGGAACGTAAATGAGACGTATGTTTACTCTCTCCATTTCAACACTCCACTATTTCTTACTATTTTTATTGTTTGTAGTTGTTATATTCCGCAGCACGCCAGTGTATGTATCAATCGAAATTCAAAATATTTGCTTGTTTTAGAGGATGATGATGTAGGTTAATCTTGCTAATTTGAAATTTCAATCTTCCAATTAAGAAAGCAATCCCTCTTGATCACTTCAGAAAAGTCAGAAATCAAATTGAAGTATGATCGCAGAGTTGATTCAAATATGAGATGATATTGTCGTCGACGTAGATGAACACGTTTCCTTGCGCAATAGCAATAGTATAAATACACAACGCATGCATACATCTGAGTCATGACCCAGTCAGCCACTGTGTATAGATGACATGTCACTTTTACACTTTGATAGTAACAACACAATCGCCAATGTCTCCTCCCTCCCTCCAGAAGGAAGAAGCACAAGGCTGGGATGGGACCAGTTTGCACCATGCATGATGTCATCGTCAGAGCACATTCTGCTCATCTCTGATAAAATCACCCTCCCAAAAACGTCAAATTCATCACCAGTACCCTAGCGAAAAAGTGTACCACCAAAATCTCCCTCCTGCTCTATTTGGAAATTGCAACAACAGCAGTCACCTCCTCTCGCCAATACAGCCTCTTTTTTTCTAGTGGCGGTGTGACGGTTTGATCACTGTGTAGGCTTAAAAGCCTCAAAATCTCATAGGCAATTGATTTGGTACCCTATCATACGTTGACGTCCGTCTTTTCACGGGACAGTATGTGATTGACTTAAAATGCGCTAACGTGACATCCTGCTGCACAAAAGTTGTTCTTCATTTGTGAGGCACTCACAACAGTGAAACAGTTGCGTCCCTCCAAATATGAATTTGGGTTGTTGTGTATCTGTCAAGTACTGTAGGTTTTGAAAGACCAGTCAAGGTGACTTGTTCAAATGTTACCAAATCTCCAATGTGCACTGTTTCATTACCGTTGTAGTAAAGTTGTCACCTTTTAACCCCAAAGCTATAAAGTAACTAAACTACATCATCTTCAAACTGTACGCAAATTATCAACAAAAACTTCAAACACTATATGACCTCCTTTTAATTGATCCTTCTTTTTTACCATTAGAAGCGCCTCGCTAAAGTCTAAAAGATAATTATGTTTAGTAATTGTCTCAAGTACTGGTTAATCTAATCCCAAAAGAAAAACAAATATAAAACGCAACAAGTGCTGCTATTTTCACCCCGTGTCATATTTTTACACCCACCTTATACTAATAAGGTGTAGGAAGTGCTTTTGACTGACAAATGTATATTTAAAATTATCAAGTTGAACTATTTATAACCAGTTAACCACTGCCTTAGCTGTCAAGTTCCCAAATCAAAGGGGTCTTGGGTAGAATTAGTGATGAAAAAGGCCTCTTTCAAGTAATTAAATTGCCAAATCACTTCTCCAGTTACGAGGAGAAGGACATTTCACAGGATAGTGCCAGACCAGCAGAGGGGCTTAAAGGGTCCATTTCTTTGCAATTCAAGATGGTGTTATTCTTCTTTGTCCAAAAAAAAGATGGTGTTATTCTGCTGAGGACGACAGAAGAGGGAGGGCTTTGTTTTTTTACGGGTAACAGAGCAAGAGGTATTGAAAGAGACTTATACCAAACCCCACACAGTGATATTTTTTTTAATAATTTTTTTATTTTCATTTTTGGGTTTAAATGGGACCCTGGAAGGCAAATCAAATTTCCATATACTCAAAGGTTGCTTTTACAATGAGGCTTGAATGGTCACGGTCATCCGGACCATAAGCAGAGCATTATCATGCAGTGCCACTGCCTTCTTTGTCATGCTTTTGGCCCATTGATTTTGTACAGAGAGAGAGACCAGGAAAGGGGTCGGTTCTCCTCCCCAAGCTTGTAAGAAAGAGAGCCAGAGAAGGACTGATCTCAGAGTGAAAGGGACATGCATTAATATCATAATCAGGAAGAAGACATGGCCCATGGATTGAAAAAATAGACACATTGACACATTGGATGGGCGAGAAACTCCAATGCTCAAGCAAATTGCTAAGTTGCTTTAACTCCAAGTCATTGTCTTTTGCGCTGGTTTAAGGAAATTGATTACGAGGCAGAAACAAAAGCAGCAGCCTTTGAATTTGGAAAGTTGAGCAGCAGGAGTAAAAAAGATCTCTGCTGGCAGATCACTTACAGCAGGTCGTCTTCATCAAGAGACCAATTACAGAAATCACAGCTTTGTATGCGCAGGTAATGGGTCTTCATCAAACCCTAATTACAGTCTTCAGAGACAACCTGGTGGATAATGAGGCAATTAAAACTGTCAGAAATCTATTACACACTGCTACTGCTGCTGCAGGTCACAAAAATCTGATGCCTGCCTGATGGCATAGGCATTGAAATAAATTGCAGAGCCACAGCCTCTGTGAGGTAAACCAAACTTGCAGCCATAAAGCCAGAATACTCGAAAAGTGCAAGCTTTAATGTAAAAAACAAAAATGAGATCACCAATTAACCATTTCTGACGGTAATAATCTCTGTTGGACAAAAGAATGAAGCTGAACTGAAGAAATAGAAACTAAATTCGATATGAAGATTCAAATTTACATACAGAAACTACAGACAACAAAGGGTACAGAACCTTGTTACCCCTTGATTTTCAATGCCCTTTTTTCTTTTTTTACAATTAGTCATATTTCAGAGTCTCAAACCTGTAAGAAAAACCCCAACCCAAAAAAACAAAAAAACCAGAGAAGACCATGATAACGTTGGAGAATGATAAAAAAACTAGGAAGAAACTACAAAAATTAACAAGCAATTTGTGACCCAAAAAGCTCAAAAGAGTGATGGTGGTGGAGGTGATTTTATATGCTGAAGTAAAATAAATACTAACTGTAAGTTCACTAGGGCAGTCTTGAGTTCCATTTCTGATCATGAAGAAGAAGAAGCACTGAACTAAGACCACTGTCAATGGCGTACTGAAACTAATAGGCTTCCACCCAGTATTAAAAGACCTGGTGAAAAACCCAATTCCCAAATTGAAGCAAAACCCATTAACGCCATGATGAAACAGTGAACAGAGGAACTTCGTTCCAAGCCAAAGAGAGAAACCCAGGTGGAGATTCAATTAGAGAATACAAAGAATTGTTGTAGTTCCAAAGCAGGATCTTGGCCTGGCTCACTGCGTAATGGCTAAGAGCTACCGGCTCAAAACCGGAGCTTTCCATCAAATACTTCCATTGTTCTTTGTCTTCGAACCGTTCTCTCTTGGTTCCAGGTTGCTCCGGCCCAACCACGCCGCCAATTCGACGACCCAGTAAAAGCTTCTCCACTTTAAGCCTCTCCGGCGAGTCTCGGGGCATGTTCGGCTCCAGCGACTCAAACAGCGCGGTGTAGTACTTCAACGCGTTCTTGAACCGGCTCGTGAACCCAACCCGGCTCAAGTTCGCTTCGTACTCGCCCAAAGTCACAATCTTCGGGTTCAGCGATTTAGCTAGTTTCAGAGCCGATTGAACCGCCGTTGGAGTCTCGTCAAGTAGGTTGTACAATTGGAGCATCAAGTTCACAGCCAAGGCCTCGTCCGGTTCTACCCGGAAGCACGACTCGTCGAGCTCATGAACCGGAGTGAGAATCGGTTCGAACTCGAAGTTCAATTCCAGAAGCTTGGCAAAATCGCGAAGTCGATTTCCAGTAGCGAAAAGCGAGGCCGCCGGAGATGTCCCCAGAGACGGAGCCGGTATGCCAGAGATCCGAATTCTGCTGGGCTTTCCGGTTGACCTGGTCGCCAAGGCCTGCAACAGAGCGGCCCATTGGACCCCTTGGACGATTCCGAAGTCGACTATGTGGATCTTCGTCGCTCTCTCCGTCGCTTCGAGAATGGCCTGGTTCGCAGTCAAATGGGCAAACTTGGAATAGGGGCAAGCGTCGTTGAGGGCCTTGTAAGAGAGAGTGAAGTCTTCGCAAGCAGTGTCGTAGGTCGTGGTGGCCGCCAAGCTTTTCTCCGATTGCAGAGACGACACTCTGCTCTGCAACGCTTCGGTGAAGTAAAAACCAACTCTTTCAGTTGGATCTCCGCGGTCTGAGACCGATTCTCTGAGTCGAATCAGTGATTTGACGGCGCGGTCCGGGTCGGACTCGGCTAGCCGGGCGCAGTCGAGTAGGGCCTTCAGTAGCGGCGGCGCTGACTCGATCTCCGGCGACCTTGACGAGACCCCGACGGCGTCGTTTGGCTGCGGAGGAGGAGGGTCTGCTGATTTGGCCTGTTTTACTACAACATGCGGTGCTGGTGGCGGCGGAGGAGGGGCGGTCCAGGCTGGCAACTGGTTCTGAGTTTCAGAGAAGATGACTCGGTTGAGATCGGACGGTGGGGAGCAGGGGTTGCTGAGTCGACTCGGGCAGGGGGGTTGGAATGGATCGGCACCGTAGAGACCGAAATCAGCATTGCTGCCATGCCACGTGTCGCAAGCAGAGGGCAGATTAGAACTATCCGTTGAATCCCCACCGCCTATGATACTATCCATCCACTCGTCCGAGTCGAACTCGGCCGCGCCACCGCCGCCTAAATCAGAAAACCGGAACCCAGTGGGCTGGTGATCCAAGTTGGGAAACGGAAACCCAGGCTCCCCGGCGGCGTCAGAGCTTCCGGAAAGCTGAAATGGGTCGGTATACGCCGACCCCGTTAACCCGTAGCCCAAATTGGGGCTGTGAGTGTTGTTGGGCCAGGGAGTGAGAGAGAAAGCGCCGAGCGGCTGCTGTTGGTGGTGGTGGTGCTGCTGTTGTTGCTGCTCCTGCTGCTGCTTTTGCTTGATGACTTGCTGAGCAATCGCCATTAGATTGCCACTGTCTGCGCACATATATGCCATTCTCCGGCCAAATCCAACCGGAAACCGCTGCACTCACATTACAACAACACAAACCCACAATCAGAACTTAGCAGCCAAGTGAGTTCCAGAGTGAAAGACTGAGACTTTATATAGTGTGTGTTAGAGAGAGAGAGAGAGAGAGAGAGAGAGAGAGAGAGAGTGGTACATACACAACTGGAGGTCCAGAAACAACGGGATCACAACTTGGTTTGCTGAGCTAGAGAGAGAGAGAGAGAGAGAGAGTAGACGTTTGTATTGAGCAGAGCTTTGGTTTATTATTTAAATAAATAGGATTTTAAGAAGGAGAAAGCAAGCGGAGCAGCTGAAGCTAAAAACTTTCAAAGTACTTGAACCCCAGAAGAAGGACCAAAAACCAAACCCAAGGCGCTCGCTCGCTGCTGGAGCTGATTAAAGTCCATCCAAAATCAGCAACGGTGTGGGACCCACTTCCTCATTTCGCAAAAAGATTAAAATAAAAAAAAAGGCATTCCCAATTTTGAAATAAATAAATGAAAAATTAAGAAATCATGAGAGTAGAGGGAACCACCCCTATTAAAAAACCTAGGCCCTCTTTTCTGCTCTCCCTCTTTATTTTTTTTTCTTTTCTCTCCCTCAGTGACGTGGCGCCCATATGTGAGTGGGCCCGGCCTACTCAAATATGACAACACCGTGTCACGAACGTCCACGTGTGTAGGTCTTTTTTATTTTCCTCCCGCTGTGTTCGGTCCATGTGGGACCCCGGGGGCTCTCGATTTTAAACGGCGCGTCCATGTCACCGTCTGCGAGTGACGTCATGGGATCTGATCTTTTAGGGAAAAGGTGAGCAAATCCTGGCCGCTCGTTTCTCTGACTTACACAAAAACAGAAACGGACTGCGTTACCTGTCTGCTTCGTCTCTTATGCCCGATGCGTGTATGCAGTTGGCGCCTCGTACGACATGCAATTACTGTAGTTTAGTCTTGGACCTGAGTCAAAAGGTAAAAATGTGAATCCAACAACAACGAATGGTGAGGTGAGGTGAGTTTAGAATAGATTTATTAGCCATAATTACTTTTTGGATTTAAGTATTACATGATGTGTCTCTACTACCTTTCCTATTAGAAATCGACAAAACAAAACAAAACCTTTCATTTTAGAACTAAATCAAGTTTTTTTGATTTTTTTTTAAAAAACTAAGTGAAGTTTTGTAGTGGTTCTCGATTCGGACTAAGTAAAAAGAGTTATGCTGATCTGAGTCACGCCACGGTCTATAATGAGCTACAATCATCAATGGTTGAAACTACTTCACGTACCCACTTATAACTGACGTTAGCATTCTCTTATGCAAGAAAGCACCACATCATATCATTATCAAACTTTAATATTCAAATTTAATTAATGTAGTAGTATTATTTTTCATTCGATAAATCAACAACTAGTTTCAAATTAATTATGTGTATTTTAAATATCGAATGAGGTGGAACGAGTTAGAAACCCAAATTCGAATTCCTCTCCTTATTTAATGTAAAAACAAAACAATTTTATAAGGCATGAATCAAGATCAAAAAGAGAACACAATGCAAAGTATAGTCAAGAGATAAAAAGTGAGTCAAGGGCCAAGGGTGGGGATGGAAGGGGTGATTTTTAGATAAAAAAGGGTGGAGATAAGGGGAAAAAAAAGGAAGAAAGAGCATAGAAAGGTGAAAATTTGGAGTGGGCTTTTTTTAATGGCGCAAAGTGGGAAGGGAGGGAGAGACTCGCAGGCAGATTGGGGTCCGTTCTTTTTGGGCGGTCGGTGGGCCCACTCTAAGACTACATGGGCCCTCTTTGTCAATGACTAATGAGGAAAAGTGGGTACAGTGTGGCCCCACGTGGACAATCTTGGACCAACCAAAATGCAACAACTGAGAAAAGCAACGGTGCACGAAACTTTGACGTGGAACAAACAAACCAACGGGCAACAAACCCAGTGAAAGCAACGTCCACGGTGGGCTTTCGGAAATTGGTGGTGCCATGGTGGTGCTGGTGGAGATGTCTACCACATTAACATGATTTCTTATGTTACGTTTCATTCAAATGCAAAATAAATAAATAAATTATAATAAAAAAATTATATATATATATATATATAATCAAAGATTCAAAAAAGTGAGAACCAAAATTTCTTTTTCAGAATCTGAGACATGTGTTGGTGGTGCAAGTCAACGGATTCATTATGTTGAAATGTATTTTTGTTGGAAAATAGCCATTCAATTCACTATTTTAGGTTCATTTGGGAAGTACGTAATTTCGGTGTTGTGATCAGAAGTCTTTGTTGGCGTCAAAGCAAGTGAATCGGGAAGGTTTTAGGTGTATCCGGTTATATATAATTGTATTCTTATATCTCTTGTCACGTTTAAAAACACAAACAAGTGGTAGAAAAGTTTTTCTCCGAATTAAGGTGTGATAATAAGTAGAGGTCAACTAAATAAGTTGTTTTTAGTGATGATCACTCGGCAATGGGGACGTGGATTTGAGGTTGTGTTGCAGATGGGAAAGGCTGTGAAAGAACCCTTTATGCTTTTTAATTTAATTTAATTTTTTTCTGGCTCTCTAATTAAGATTATCAATTAATGATGTAAAAGCGAAATGGACAAAGATTAGAGGTCTTAGTCCGCCGTCACTAGTTGGGTTGATTAGACAAGAAATCAAAGCAATCCATTGCTTAGCTTATCTTTCTCATTTGGACTAGACCCACAGCTGATGCATATCCTCCTTTATCATTTCTTTTTCTCCATCCACTTTTCACACCTTCAATTAAGTTTAACCCAGGTCCTCAAATTCTCGTTTCTCACCCACCTAATCAAGATTTATTTTACTTATTCTCCTGATTCTACTTCGCAATAGCAATAATTACTATATACGTAATTTATAGATATCTATTACATTTAGTACTGTTAATTTATATGTGATTTTTACATGCATGTTGTGAGAGAAAAGTTATATAACTGATTCACTTTTTTTTCAATCAATCTTAATTCTTAATGACGCTAGCTTCCCCTTCTTTGTATTCGAAACAATTGTGAATCTTTGGTAGTTTAGCTACTGCATCGCATAAGCAAATCATCATAATTAATACGTCTAGTTCATGGAATTTGAAGGTGTTTAAAAAAGAAAGAATTGTGAAGTGCGAGTCTATAAATAATCAAAAGCAAATTTGTTGCCTAAATTTAGGGTTTGGGGGGTTCGAATTGCATAGTGAGCAGCTGGACCAATTCAATAATAGTTAATTGTACAGTTGAATCTGCCTAATGCAATATAAGTGAAGGGTCATTTTGTTTGTAGTATAGGCTTCAACTTCAAAAGATATCAACAGCTAGGATAATAGGGTAGAAAGCTATTATAAACAACTAAAATTAATAATTGAGTATAAAGTACTCACTAATGTAGTGATTATAAGTATTTACTTCCTCATGTAAGGTCCTGAGTTTGAGTCATAGCATTCGTGTAGTGTGTGTGAGTTTAGTATACTATCGCCCCTCTTAATATAAAAGGTCCTAAAAAAAAGGGTTAGTGAAACTAAACCATTAATAATTAGGGTTAACTCATAGAGCACTAGAGTATACGCATATAACAATTACGCACGATGGATTAATTAAGCAGTAAGCAGCTTATAGCTTAGTCAACAATCTGATTAAGATCCAGCACTGAAATAGTGTTTTGTTTTAAAAAGTTATATAGGTATGGCTAATAGCTGCGGGGCTCTTGCTAGCCTGAGATAGTTGAAAATTTTGAACTTCAGTCGAAAATGAAAGCAACAACCACTAGCATTACAATACTGTATGTTCTGCAAATGGCCAATCTCTTGAAAGAGATACTTAATATTTTCTAATTAAGTTTTATTTTTATTTTTAAAACAGCTTACATATGATGACATGTTATATCCCACATAACTTTTGCATTATGTTATGGAAATTGACCATAACTTTTTGGGGATCGACGTATTAATTCTAATAATATTATTTGAATGTTATTATCATGTAGACGCCATGTATTTTTTATTATTCCTCCTTACTTTTTTTTATATTTACAATAACATTCGCACAGTAATAACGTGTAGATATCCGAATAAGAGAATAACTATACATATATATATATATAATATTTTTTTTTATAGCTAACTTTAGGCAGTGGTGAATGGGGTTGGGAATAATCAAATATTGAATGCAGGTTTATGATCAAGTACTTAAGTAGTTTGGCTAATAATTGAGCGTCGTAATACACTTTTTATTTAATTTTATATGTACTTCTCTTATTTACAAATTTGGGCTACAAATTAGTCTTTTAATGTTGCCTGTTTAGTTGTTTAGTGTTCACCAACTCTTTTGTGGTCCACCAAAATCCCAACAGTGCATATCCCTTAATTTTGTATTACAAGTGTCATCATTTGATCAAGTTAGTGCAAAAAAGAAAGGAAAAAAAAACACTGATCAATGTATATTTGTCTAAGTGGGAAAATCTATATTTTCAAATTCAATCAACCAATTGTGTAAAAGGTAAAGAAACAATAGTTTTCGCAAATAGGTGAATTCGGCCATGACATTTTATAAAAAAATAAAAAAATATTTAAAGTACAATACTTTAGAAAAATTTCATGCTGTATTTTTAAGTGAAAAAATTATAACACACTAAGAACCAATTAGAAAATAACAAGTGACTAATTGATGGGTTTTTTTTAATACATGATATAAAACTCAAAATATTAAAGAAATCATGTAAAACCCATAATATTTTGACAAATTAAATATAAAAAATAAGGTTAGGTTCTATACATGTTTTCTAAATATTTAAGACTCTTTAAAATAATGACACTTTCTTAGTCTTAGAACGTGATAAATTAAATAAACGACTCACCACCACCGCCATCACCACCTTAACCATTAGTAAGGAAATATAGAAATCAGTCCCAAACACAGTTTATATTATATTAGGACAATAACAAACATCATAATCACAGGACAAGAACGTCATCCGTCATCCACACCAAGTGGGTCATATAATTGAAGCCGTTATTCAACTTGAGTGACTGTAATCGTAATGACTAATGAGTACTTAATTTCCGGATCAAATTGAAACAATTATGAAAAAGCTTTATTATTATTATTATTATTATTATTATTTTATTTTATAAAAAAAAGAAGTTGCAAACGTAATTAAGTAGTTAAGAGTATTTACCTTTGTATTTCAACGGAATCTAGCCGAATGAAAAAGAATTTTGCTTTGCTCCACTCCGAATATTAATCGAATCACCCCAACTGATTTTAAAACATAAAAGTTAGAATTATGGAAGTTTTTTAGGGGAGTATGAAATATGAATGAGTAGTTATTTGATTTTTGTGAGGGGGCACAGTGTCTCCCACTAACATCATGAAACATGTAGATGTAGTGAGTCAGTGATAATGTAGCAACGTCTATGTGAATGCCATTTAGTCCAACTAAAAGCCACTATTGTCGCCTACTTGTTACTAACTCTCTCACTCAATTCTTACATTATTATAAGCCATGCACATTCGAATTTCCAATAAAGCAGTTTTTGGATCAAGACACCACTCCATTGCATGTTTGACTGCTAAAAACTTAGCTTTGTCCTTACATAATGAGCTCATTGTTAATTCTTGATTCATCACTGTTGCTTGTGGATTATTGGAGGGATTAATACTATGCAATTTTCAATTGAACTCTCTTAGGGGTAGTCGCGGTGGTGGACGTGTAATTGATTGTTGATTGGAGATTTAAATGAGTCTCTAATGTATTTATGGTCAATAACTAAGCATGCGTGTGATTGATTGTTGATTGAAGATTTAAATGAGTCCCTAATGCATCTACGGTCAACAATTGATCATGCGTTTACTGTAAACGTGTGATTGGTTGTTGATCGTAGATCTAAATAGGTCCCTAATGCATCTATATTCAACAACTGATCATGAGTGAATGGTTGATTGACTGTGGCAAAATCCTTCCCAAAATCAACAAGCAAATTTCCTCCATAATGCAAAGAGACTGATTGTTCCTCCATTGCCACCTTTAGTCCTTCTTTCTTTTAAATAATACCAAGAGCTAAAGTTCAAACAAAGGGTGGGAAGACAATGAGAACTTCACCTAAATGTGGCCTTTTTCTAAACGAGTAGAAGGGATCTATGTACCTACCCCGATTTCAAATCTTGCCTCAACAACTTTATTGTTATCACACATACTAAATTTGATTTAAATCATTTAAATTATTTTGGCCTTGGCCAATCCAAAGCAAACATTTGGAAACTCACTGCTCTTGTAGATCGACACAAAGACCATAGTTCTGTAAACCCAATCATTTTGGGATTAAATTTCGGAGTATAAATTCAGCTTCACAAATGTTAAAAGGTATCGGCTATATGTTGATAAATTCACCTTTAGCAAGTCCAAGTCCAACAAATCGCCTGGATAGGCTCTCGACTAAAACACAATATCACATCCATGAATTTGCTGGCAATTTAATGGGTTATCAAAATTAAATAAATTCGGAGAATCTTCCCCTTCGCTGCAAAATACACATTCCAATCCTTGATTGAAATTATTGATACTTTGGATCACATCAGTTTAACACAGATTAATGCAACAATTATTTGCCAAAAAGCTGCACCTACAACAATTAACAGCCTTCTTTCTTCTTCGGGAGTTCACTACATGCTTGGAAAAAAGATTATCCGCATGATTATAAACGGAGCAGACATCTCAGTAGACACGAGCTTTAGGTGGGAATGACTCGATTTCATCGTCTAATGTGTTCAAGTGAACTGGTCTGTAGTCTAGTCGGACCTTCTCATTTTCCCAGTATCTGCAGAAAAAATGAACATAATTTAATTTAGAATATACAATACAATGAAATTCCATGAATAGAGAACTGCATATTTCTCATAATAGAGGGGGATGGCAAAGGTGGCTTACCCTAGAGTATGTTTCATCCACTTCTCATCATCCCTTTTCTGCAAGAGCAGAGAAAATTTCATTATATAGTGGTAAGGAAAGGACATTTCTAACCAAGAGAAACAGGGCTAACCGTGAAGTCTTCACGAGCATGTGCTCCTCTGCTCTCTTTCCTGGCTTCAGCGGAATGCATGGTGATACAGGCATTTATCAAAAGGTTTTCCAACTCTATAGTCTCTATCAAGTCGGAGTTCCTGTAAAAAAATTATATATATATTTTAGATTGTTAGCTCATAAAAGAAAAAAATGTATTTACTTATTTGCCAACATTCTCATGCACAAAATTTCACCATATCAAACTCCGATCCTTCACTTGAACATTATCAAAACTCTCCCATGCCTTGTCAATCAACTGAGAACCTACAGAAGGAACACAGAAAAGGAAGTACATAAAAGGTTGCAATAGTGCTTGATTTTCAGCCAAAAAGTTCAGGGGAAATCTATATAGCTCAAGGTAATGGGTTGAAATATGAGATCTTGAGTTGAAGGAGTAAGCAATAAACCACTTTATGTACCCAAAAAGGGCAAAATGGGGTCAAGGCGTTGTAAATTTTGTGAAATGGAATACCTTCTTCCAATGTTTCATGTGTGCGGAACACAGCAGCATTATTTTGCATTATTCGTTGCATATTCAACCGGATTTGCGAAGTTGGTAGTGAACCATTTGAATTCCTTATTTTGTCCAACCATGCAATGGTCTGCTCACCAGAATCCTTTTCCAGAGGCTGTTGTTTCTCCCCTACACAAGATCAAGTAGAGACGTTTAAGAATTTTCTCACATTTACATTATTCATTTATTATCTTCATTAGCATGAAAACAAACTTGCCTGGTTTATGGATCTCTGCAACTCTATTTGCACAAGCTCGGCCAAAAACAACAATGTCAAGGAGTGAATTTGCACCAAGTCGATTGGCACCATGCACAGATGCACAGGCTGCCTCCCCAGCTGCCATTAACCCAGGAATTATTACATCTGGATCATTACCTTTTTTGGTAACGACCTGAAAAACAAAGAACATGTTCATGAGGAAAAGCAGTATTTCAGATAATTGTTTATGCTTATTTTAATCAAAGGATGTTTCTTTGGAATTATAGTCATTATATCTATTGATTCAATAAGTGATGATCCAAATTTAACTACATTGTAGGCCCTTGACTAAATCACAAGAGGCCTAGTTGACATGAATATATTAACTCATACCTCTCCATGATAATTGGTCGGAATTCCACCCATATTATAGTGCACGGTAGGTAAGACAGGAATAGGCTCTTTTGTAACATCCACGCCAGCAAAAATGGCAGCAGTTTCAGAGATACCAGGAAGCCTCTCCTTGAGTACATCTGGGGGCAAATGATTCAAGTGGAGATAGATGTGGTCCTTCAAAGGTCCTGATAAAAATAACTGTAACAGTTACTATAAGACACACAAAAAGCATAGAAAGGAAATAACTGAAATGATCCATCTCATTACTGAACATAAAGATAGGACAGCAGTGTCAGCGAGGATGAAGGTCAATGTCATCCAGAACACATCATACCTACACCACGACCCTCCCGGATTTCCATAGTCATAGATCTTGACACAACATCCCTAGAAGCAAGGTCTTTCGCTGTAGGGGCATATCGTTCCATAAATCGCTCACCTTCACTGTTCCTAAGGATACCACCTTCCCCTCGTGATCCTACAATTTGCAAAAATAACAAGAAAATATAAGTTTCTAGCTTCTAATTAACTGAGAATAACAAGACAACAAGATAATCAAACGATGAGATTGCATAGCCGAGCATGCAACCAAAATATCACTAACCTTCAGTGATGAGGCACCCAGCACCATATATACCAGTAGGGTGAAACTGCACAAACTCCAAATCCTGCAGAAGAGACATACCAAACAATAAAATATATAATGACAATAGGAAAAGCCTACTGAAGACTCAAGATTGGGAAAGACTAAAAAACCTGAAGAGGGAGTCCAGCACGTGCGACCATGGCATTACCATCTCCAGTGCAGGTATGAGCTGAGGTTGCAGAGAAATATGCTCTACCATAACCCTGCCAGAAACACAAAATATGGATTTAGATATTATTGCTTAATTGGAATAAGATGAACTTCAATGACATAACTCCAACAAGAAAACAGAAAAAATACCCCTGTGGCCAAAATTGTTGACGCTGCTTGGAACCGATGCAAAGTCCCGTCCTCCATATTTAATGCAATAACTCCTTGGCAGCTCCCTGAATTACAATATGAATCAACAATCAACTTAATGAAAAGCACTCTTGATATACAAAAAACAATTCTTTATATCATATTTTCGTATGTGCATTGCTATCAAGAAAATAGTAAATCTTTAAAGTGGACAAAGTTGAACATCTCAGAACAAGATGTTCAACATGCAAGCAATCCAGGGAAGAGATGAAAAGAACACAATGGTCAATGACTCAATATACCAAAGCATCAACATATAAGCAGCTGAAATATGGACCTCATCTTAACTATGTCACTATACCACATCTTAACTAAGACACTAAAAGTTGCCGACTTTTACGTATGAGAACATGTGATGAAACTAGCTTCATTCCACAAGTAACATGTCACAACTTTCTTCTCATGAAAGGCAAGTTTGAATATGATTAATCACTTCTGATATGCTTCTGGTTTGTATAAAGGGTTGCATCTTCCAATAGTCCAAACATAGCCACATAGTGATTACAACTTGTACATTTCTATTTATTTTTTCTTCGAAGAAAGTGCCCATCTGTTACGCATCAACTTACCATCACTGTTCATTATAAGATCCAAAGCAAAATATTCGACAAAAAATTGTGTATTATGCTTCATAGCTTGTCCATAAAGAGTATGTAATAGAGCATGACCAGTTCTGTCAGCAGCACAAGCACAGCGGTATGCCTGTCCACCTATAAGGTAACAAGATAAAGTACACGAAGCCAATGTCAGACAGCTTTAAACAGAAATCATGAGATAGGCATGCGATCTTCAAAGTTCAAACCTGCATGGATGCATCATCTTACCTTTTCCGAAGTCAAGGCTTTGGCCTCCAAATGCACGCTGATATATTCTTCCATCTTCAGTTCGAGAAAATGGCAATCCATAATTTTCAAGTTCAATCACAGCTTTTGGAGCCTCTCTACACATATACTGGATGGCATCTTGATCACCTATAGGAACACAAAAGGCTCACATGTCAAAATACAACCAAAAGAACAACTGTAAAAGTAGAGATAAAATCACAAAGTGTGTGTTTGTCTGTCTGCATGTGCACGTTGGGGTGCAAGAATAATAAGAGCCTAGGAAATCCTTGTAAAGTTAAAATACAATCCATAAAAGCAAGTGTTTCCTGTATAACACCCCATCCCCAACATGAAATGAAAACCACACATGTGTCATGTTTAACAAGTAACATACCCAGCCAATCACTTCCCTTGACTGTGTCATACATGTGCCATCTCCAGTCATCCTCTGACATATTCCCTAATGCAGCATTTATGCCACCCTACAGACAACTCAACGCATTAGTAAACCATATCCAAACCAAAACTATGGAATTTACATAGTCACATTAACTCGGTGAAGCTATATGCAATAGTCAGATTAAATTACAATATCACACACCTGGGCTGCAACAGTATGTGAACGAGTTGGGAAAAGCTTCGTAATGCAAGCGGTATTAAATCCATGCTCTGAAAGTCCTATGGCGGCTCTCAGCCCTGCACCACCAGCCCCGATAACCACTGCATCATAAGTGTGGTCCACCACAGTGTACGAAGAGCGCCCTGTAGCCTGCCAAAGCAAAAAAGACATATACTATTACCAAATACAATAGATCACAAGCTAAAGAACTAAACTTTGCACGTACATTAAAGAATAATGAACTGCATTAATAGAGTGTTTGAATACTTAAATGTCAACAAAACGAATAACTGAATTCAACTTTAACCCCCCCAAAAATAGCTTAGCCAATTAGCAGCAATGAGCTCGTTTGAGTGGATTGATGCCGTTTCAAAATCAATAAAATGGAGAATCAGAAACTTATAAGCTTAGATTCCCTTACTTTCCTGCTAATTATCGGCAACCAAACTGAATAGAAATCAAAAGCTCAACTATTGTACCACACATAATCAAAATAATGACAAAAATGGGCTAGAATCCGATCAAAACTCAACAAAATCATCCATAAAACCAAAAATCAATTAATGGATACACAGTTGCGTATCATTTCCAATGAAGCTACGCAGATGAAATGAAATCAATGATCAAGAATAAGACGAAGAAGATTGAGAAGAAAAAAAAACCCAAAGATTGAGAGAGTGCGCGTACGGATTCAGTGGAGAAGAGCCTCGAGAAGTGAGATCTAAGAGAGTCACTGGAGACGGATCTCTGGGAATAAGGAACGCCAAGTCGACGAGAAACGCACCGCCACATCTTGCTGCAGCTGTAGCTCTAGCTCTGGGGTGGTGTTTGGTTTCCGGTTTATCTCTGTCCCGCTCTGTATCCCAGTGGATTGGAGGCTCTGCTATTCTGCCTTTGTTTTTTTTCTCTTCTCGGCGTCGCAGCAGTGGAGGAGAAATGGAAAATAAAATACAACAGTACAGGTGTGGGCATCACCAGCTTTTGATTAGCAAATGGAATTTTACGGTTATAAAGTCTTCCGAAATTACTGAATCGCCACCAGGATAAAAGCTGGTGCTTCCAAAGACCATTTCAGCCTTGTTGTTTTTACCAACCATTCTCGCTTGTGTGCTCACTGTTTGCTACTACCCAAGGGGAGAATTCAGTAATTTTTGTGGGTGACTTTTGTTTTTAGACCAAACCTACCCCCATAAAATCATACTAACAAATAAAAAACTCGGTAACTATTCAATCATTATTTTCTTCGAATAATATTTAAGCAAAGCATGTTTTACAATGTTTGATACTAAACCGACATGTTTAATGTTTGCATTGGTGGCTTGTGTCATATCCATGAATCGTGTTTGGGTTAAGTAATGGTCAATCAAACTAATTAAGTATTTGTGTCGAGTATGAATAATGTTATCATATCGTGTCAAAAACATCAACTTATTATATGAAGACCGTATTATGTTCTCCACACAAATACAGAGGTCGGTCGATTAGCAATACACATACACTCAAACCCCCATATTCCTATGATACCCTTATTCTTTCCCATGTTCATATACCATAAGCATATGGTGGTGATTACAAGCGTAGTAATTAGTGACAATGTTACTTATCATTGAAGGAATGAAAATTCGAATTCAAGAGGTCTTAACAAAAGAATTACCGCCAAATCAAAGCCTAATTAACATAGATTGCATTCATTTTAAGTGGATCAAAGCAAATACGAATCAAGTCATGTTTAAAGTTGTACCAGTGTTCTAAATTTAATCCAAATGTTGTATATTTTGTAACATCAAGTTTAGTAAATAATTTCCATTGATTACTGCTTCTGAATTTTGACATTTGTGTTTTTTGAATTTTGCGATTGGGATTTCAACACGCTTCATTTGCAAAAACCACATGTTGATCATTTTTCTCTCTTGTTTAATTTTATTAGTCGGTTTAGAATAGTTTGGTCTTCTTCTTATTAACGTGAATGGATAATATTCCAATCAGAATGGTCCTCCTCCAAGGCATAAAGTTTCTTTTTAGGACTTTTACGTCGAAGAACATACATGGTGATCCAAACCCAACCCAAACCAACTAATAATATTTTGGAGGTTTGGTTTGGTTTGGTAGAGGGGAAGGGCAAGTATGCATGGGCTGGTGCTCTTTAAGCCACGATGGACATAATGAAGACAGACCACGTGGCATTTAATCCACCATTAGCTCAAGACCTCCATATCAATTTTGATTTGAATTGCAAAACTAGAAAGTATTGTATTGTATTTGATTGAGGGACACGGCATGTGTTCCATGTACGACTGCTCAAATACAAATTTAGTCCAAGGGTATTTCATCTCAATTTTTTTAGAAGATGAAATAACTTAAGGTATCGTTTAAGAGTGATTCTGGATAGGTCAATAATCATTTTTATGGAGGAGTACTTCTCTTTAAAATCACTTAAAATCACTAAAAATGATTATATGAAAAAGCACATGCAAAGATGCTTCTTTCCATAAGTGATTATAACATATCCAAAACCACTCCTAAACGAACCCTAAATCTCATAACAATTGTGTTGTGTTGAAAAAGAAAGTTATAATAATCACTAATCTACATTTCTGATGTGATGAGAGAGTATTTTTGCCGCCATTTGAGATCGATGGCAATTGATACATGGTAGACTTCACATTTAGTATTTTTCTTTAAATCTTATGTGCAAACATGTATTTAACATTCCTATTTTAAGGTCGAAATGAGAATGTAAAAGTGGGTTATGCCAGTTAGCCACAATAGTGAATCGACCCATTATAGTCAAGTCGGTGTGAAAAGGCCTGTATGGAGAAAACATGAATGATCCAGTCCAAGTTTATTGCTAACTAATTATACACAGTTTTGCGCCAATTCTAGAACTTTGCATCCTGTTGTGAAAAATTGGATGGGAGAACGCATCAAATGGTCTTAATAAGAACCCATCACACATTGGCCTCCATTGGATTTGGTTTATCCAACTCTGTAGTTGAGCTGGGCTGAACCCAAATTTTAGCTTAGTTTCAATTTCATAATAATAGGAAAGTCATAAGCTGGTAATTAACGGCCACGTTTCTTGCAACCGTAAGCTTTAAGCGGGTAATTAAGGTCCACATTTCTTAGAACCCTAACGTGCAGCTTCCTTGGCCGCAGAGAGATCATCAACAACAGTGAGAGACAGAAACAAAAAGAAACAGAAACCCACGAATTGGAATTTATGTAGATGGTAGGAAGTAGGAACAAACAATTGCACATCGGGAAAGCGAAAGAAAACCTACTAACAAGGATCAGAAAGGGGAAGGAGCCCTTGGCCCATTCATTTAAGTTTCTGCACAAGCTTTCTGATGCTTTCATTAAACCTGTGTCCTTTCTTGGCCGTTTGCTTGTGTTGTAAGTTAAAATGCTAGTTAAAAATACATACAAGAGCTTAGTCAAGTTGGCTAGAGCGGATGTACTTCCCTACTATCCGAGTTCGAATCCATGTCACATTAAAATAAATAATTACCCTTAAGTCTCCCAACAAGAATGAGGAAGGGACCTTAAGAAAAAATCAAATTCACAAAGAGAGGAAGATGTGATAATTTTTTTTTCTCCTTTTAAATTGGATGCATATATGCAGAGCTTGGCGGTGATCGGTTGAGGTCTTTGTTTAAGTGAAGCACCACATAAACAGAGGCACAGGAAGTTGCCCTAGTAGACTAAGCCGTTGGGAAATTACAACTCAAAACAATGAGCTAGCTAGCTTTGTCATCTGTCACATTTGAAGCTTTTTTAAAATATAATTCCATGGGGAGTTTTAAATTTTGGGATTTATATATGAGATTGGTTTTGGTGCCTCCGGGCTGTGATTGGTAGGCCATTTTGAAAATCGACAAAAGGGAAGGCAAAAGGTTGATCCAAATCGTCTTCTAAGTCCCAGTGGAAGTTGAGGACCAGATGGTGGATGAAAACCGCCATTTCAAGTTTGGCCAGTTCTGAGCCAGCGCAAAGTCGTGGTCCTCCCCCAAATGGCATAAAGTTGCTGCTTGTCATGCTCGTGTAAGATGATGAAGATGCTCCACTGTTGTTATTCTGCTGCATCAAATCATCATCATCATCATCACCACACACACTCAAACAAAACCACAAACGAACAAAAAATTTCAATGGCATGTCATGCTAAAATATAATCACGCAAAAGTCATCGGTTTGGTTTTGTTTTGGATTATTTGGGGCTCATATGAGCTTTCTACTTTTCTACTCAATACAGTACTATTACATAATGAGACTAACGGGCCTTTTACACCCTATAAAAGATTGAGATTTGGATGTAATATTACTACTTACGTTACTATTTGTAATGTATTTCTTGATCACATTTCTAATACCTACATCATTATTAGTAGTGAGTCTTATCTCTATCAAAGATACGGCTTTTACTCAGTGGCGGATCCACTAAAGATCAAATGAGAGGTCAATTGACCCCACCAAACCAATATGTTGGAAAAAATGCCTCAAAGAGGGCAACTTTCCTAATGGGAGAATTTTGAGGGTTTCATCTTGACAAAATTCACCAAGAGCTTGCGTTCTCATAGTGATTTTGTCACTATCGCACTAATTATCATTGTAATGTCGTATGGTTTCCGTGGTGCACTCTTTAACCTTTTGTGATAGCCTTTGTAAATACGTTTCTATTCCTTATTCGTTTGGGATTTTCTGGACCAGTTTTTGGGCTTCTTTTTGTTATAAAGGATAAAAAATGGTCAGGACCAGTTTGGCATTTGACCCACTAGAGAAAAAAGCACTTATGTGCACGTGCAATGGCAGCATGAGACCAACCCCACATCCACATGGGCTCTAATTATCTCGAACCCCCCAGTCTCTCCCCACACGCACACTAGGGCAAGAAATAAAGAGGTGGAGGACCTAGTTTGTCCGTACACAGTATGAAGCTTCCGTCCTTTCAGTGATATAGACACTTCATCTGAACGGGAAATCCATGAGATATCATCTGCCTTTGCAACTATCTTATTACGGACGCACCTCGCATCCACGCTCAAATGGAACTATTGATCAGGTAGAATTTTATCGAATATGCGTTTTTTATTCATATCATATCAACACAATAATCAATTGTCATCATCTCTCTAATCACAGGACGAGAGACTATTGTAAATAGTGTATAACAAAAATATCTACTAAATGTGGGATTAGGAAGAAGAAATTTTTTTGTGGGGTACACAACTAACAACCAACGGCTGTTTTGTGGGAGCCGCAAGAACAACCAAAGGGGATGTGCTTGGTACCCTTTTTCAATTTAACCTTGACACAAAACAATAATTTAAAGGAAAATGTGAAAAAGACCACTATAATTATGAGGCATGCTGTCCAAAGGCCAAAGCTAAAAGACTGACCTGCCATCTCCATGGATTGAAGTGTTGAGGCTGGTCAAAAAGTAAAGGATCCAAATGCACGGCTGCAATGACCGGAAGCACTTTCCATCCACATGGAATGTCATAACCTTTCCAAGTTTCAAACACCAAACAGAAAAAGAAGAAGAAGGGAAAAAAAAATCAACTTTAATTCTAAGTAGCCTAAGATTTCAGATGACTTTTTGGCTACAACTTCCAACTCTTACACTAAATTGTCCTCAAAGTCTTACCTTTGTACCTAACATCCTTCAAAGCCTTTCTGTGTAAAAACCTCACTACATTTCCAAGCCGAAGTGTCTCACTGATAACCTTCACAAACAAAAGATGCAAAATTTTAATTATGAGATAATTTAAGCTTTAACAATGATTAAGAGAGCTTACACATTGAGTGAACTCCATTTTCTTGTAGTCATCCCAATTCAACTCTGTCTCCCCTGCTTGTTTCTTGGCTCTGGCAATTTCTGTGTGTTCTTCCTGCAGAATAAACCAGACCCATTAAAGAAACAATCAAACTAATCAAAACCCAAGTGGAGATGGATTGGAATTAATCTAAGTTTGCTTACCCTTAACTGTTGAATTGCATTAGGACAGCCTGGTAAGAAGTATATGGCTAAAGCTATGGCCACTGAGGATGTTTCATGGCCAGCAAAGAGCAAGCTCAATATCAAGTCAAGAATCTGCTCTTTGGAGAGATTGGAATGCTTCAAAACCCATCCAAGAAGATCATCTTCATCTATATTTTCTGCTCCCTCCTTTAATCTTTCTTCCATTTTGCTCTCTATAAACTTCAGAATGGTTGATCTTGACTGTGAAGCAGAGTAAATAAATCATTTAAAAATTTTGAAAATTAAAATTTACGCTTATTGGCAGATGAAATTCCATGTAGAAAAATGTTAACTAATTACCTGCAAGGCTTTTCGGTAAGCTGTTCCTGGTAAATTGACTGGAGCAGAAACCACACCTTTCATGAAAGTAACATACAATTTCTTCAGCTGCTCAGTCTCTGGTTTTCCAGGATCTAAGCTCATGATATGTTTGGCCATCAAATTGAATGTGAACTGCAATCACTTTTTCATAACAAAATTAAGCTGCTGTTGCATTTTTTTTTCCCTTGAATTGCAAGCATTCATTTCATAAATTTTGTTTTTCTTGTTGGGTACAAAAGTAGTTTACCTTCTTAGCTTCATCTTGAGCTGAAAAAACAGAATTCTCTTTCCAGCTGCTCAAAACAAGCAGAGTGTGTTTTTCAACTTCTCTCATCAAATGGGTTCTGAGCCTGGCATGGCTTAAGAAATTGAGAGATATCATCCTCATGTCTCTATGCATGTCACCAACTAAAACCAACATAGACCATTTCCCAAGAATTCCACCTATGCTTCTTGGGTAGCTGCATTCAAACAATCTCCCTTCATTTTGCAATATGAACCTGTTGAGCCCTGCATCTGCTGAGACTATGGTTGGCTCACCAAACAGATTGGACTTGTAGATTTTTCCATACCTGCAGATTTTAAGTGAAAGTTCAAGTCTTTCCTGCATAAAACAGAACCTGGGTTATGAAATTCAAGGCTTTGTGCTTTGTGGGTCTTGTGCGATTTACCTTGAGATATGTTGCTCCATGAACTGGCCTGTGGAGGTAGCAGAGTAAGGCTTCAAATAGCCTAGTGTTTCACCAAGAAAAGGCCACCCCATGTTGCCTGGTGGGAGATGAAGTCGTGTTTGCTGCTGCTTCCTTCTGATGAGAATGAGGAAGAGGAACAGAGCTAAGACTGATGGAAGAAGACAGAGAATTACCTCTGAGTCAGAAGACATGGAGGCTGACTGTCTCTCTACCATCTTTCTTTCTTTCTTTCTGTTTCTGTGGAACTCTGCTTAGCTGTTATAATGCAAAAATGAAAACAGATATCTGCCTTTTGAAGCTCTCTACACCTGTTGAGAAAAAGGAGCTAAGCTTAAAGCTGCATAGCTTTGATTTCCAGAGTTTTTTTTTAAAATTACTTATTCTTAAGCGAAAGGTTTTTATGAAAAGCTTTTGCAGCCAAGAGGTTGCTTTTATAAGCTGTTTATATCATATCTAACTAAGCAACTAGAAGCAACTCTAAAAAGAACAAAGAGTTTCTTATTGAAATATTACAAGAAGTGAGGACTCCCCATCACCTGTAAAAGGAGACAACTCTCCACTTAGAAAGGAATCCCTATGCTTAACTTGATCTTTAGTCATAGGCTTCTCTCTTATTCCCTTTATATTTGGACACAACTCCTTGTACAAATGTAAATACACATTATTATGAGAATAAGAATATACTTCTTCATGGACGTAACTCATTCATTAAGGGTGAATCGCTTGCCCAAATCTTTACACACATATTGAAGGTTTTTACCTTCACCTCTCCATTTTTTAGCATCAACATAAACTTCCTTTTTTTTGTTGTCTTTTGAGCGATACGGAAAATAGTAAGGAATTTGAATTATGTGCTTGATCGAAACATTAATTTCTCAAGTAGGATGGAATTTGGGTCTATCTATTATAGCAGCTTTTAATTAGCCTTTGATAAATAGCAGTTGTTGCCGAACTTTTGAGTTGTTCTTTTAATTTGCCAAATCAAATTGGTGAAGGTGAAGTGCGGTACTCCAGTATAGTTACGTAGTATAATTCGTCTGTTTTTATATAAGTGGATGTAATTGATATTATACCCTAAAGTACCGAAATCTAACATGATATAATTAGCCATTCAAACAATGGCATGTATCAGAAAAGAAACACATACAGCTTTTTATTTTTTATTTTTTAGTTTTAATACACTGGTGTCTTACAGGTCTAATTAAAAAAACAGAGCTTGAAACATAAACAAGTAATTTTCTTTGAGCGATTAGACCCACCAAAATTCCAAAGTTTGTGAATCTTGAATAACATAATGTTGTTTCCTTGTCATAGAAATTTGAACTTGAGATTTTATTCTCAGTCGTTCACATCATGTTAGTTATTATAGCATTTGTCATTGGTATCGTAAATTTGCAGTTGTCCCACACCTCCAAAGGAGCAGAAAATTATTTTGACTATAGGGATGCTTATAGAGGACACTGCCAGGAGCTTCTGAATCATTTTATTGATGGTTGTTTCTTTTTTTATATAGTCATTATCAAGTTAATTATGCGTTTATCGTTTAGCTCGTTATACTCTTTGTTTACACCATAATCAACCGAGCGCATTCGGCATTAGACAACTGGTACCTGGACAGGTACGCCGGCTACCAACGGGAAAAGAAACACTCCAAAAGACATACAAACAAGCCCTTAGAGTGCGAGTGACATCATCACCTTCTTAAGTTTAACCTACCGAAGGAAGATCCCCTTCTGAAGCGGTAAGCCACATGCCGATGCTCTCAACTACAAAACCAAAGACCATGGACACGTGTCGCCTCTACAACAGTTTGCACAAAGTCCCACATCGAAACTTTGATGGTTGTTGTGTGCCCATTGTTTAGCTCGTTATGCTCTTCATATCAGGAAAGCTTGTTCTGATATTCGAGGATACTTCAAAAAAATTTCATTTCTCTTCAAATCTCTCCTCTTTCCCAGAATAACCGAGGTGATAATTAATCTACTGGATTAAAGCATTTGGAACAAAATCAGTCACAATAACTAGAGATTAGGGTTTGGATAATAATCTCCTATGACTTATTAGTGTGTCTTCAATTTGCATGTTCTTGGCAGAGGAAAAAAGACAGACACAAACATAGTAATGTGAGCCTTTTAATACTCGGTACTAATTGTCGCCCATCCTATGTACTGAGTCTAGGACCAAAAGGAAAACATTTATTTTACTGCGTCTCTGCCTCCTGCAAACATCAATACGACTAATTAATTTACTCAATTAATTGCCTTTGACCATGCTGATGACCTGCACTGCTCACCTGAGTTTGCCTACGGACTGTGTATATCCTGAAAAGTAAAATCAGCAGATTTTGTGTCATTCCTTCTCATTTAAGTAGACAGCTCTCAACCGTTGATTTCTTTTATTTAAGAAGATAACTTTCAATTTTAATGCATGCAGAATCAAAATGTATAAACGGTAGAGAGCAAAGAAAGAACCGGAGAATTGATAATTGAGATGTGATTATACCAAGATGAAATTCCGAAATATCTGTAAAATTGGATTGGAGGAGGAAGCAATGTTTTTATTATTATTAATATTCTTTGAGTGGTGATTTTCCCACTCCAATTTTATCCACTTACACTCTATTTTATAATTAAAAAAAAGTGTAAGTGGATAAAATTGGAGTGAGGAAATCATTACCTTATTCTTTCTACAATTAGTAATATATATTTATATGAATATAAATATTTCTCTAAATCTAGACTGCCGATATATCTACCCATATGGAAACTTAAATCCTTGGATATCATTCAGTTTTTTTGTTTTGTTTTTTTTTTTCTTGGTGTTTTGACTGAGTCAGTGAGTTCTAATCAATTCAGTGTAAAATGATTTCAATAATTTTTTTGTTGGTTTTAAGGTATAATTGACTTAGGGAAATGGCTCAAAACTAGTACACAACGAAGTTGTCTTTTTCTCCTTCTTTTTTTTTTCGGCTTGCATGGGAAAAACTATAAAATCTTTATAACCTTTATTGTTTTTTACAATTATTGGGGAATTTAGTCTTCGATTTTCATCATTTTGGGCAAGAAAGTATATATTAACTAAATGAAAAAATATATATTCAGGCAATAAAAACATTGTATTTAGGCCCAAACAAGTATTGTAGTTTGTATAACGGGGAGAGCAAAATCGAATTTGAGATATCCTTCAATTTTAGAAGGCTAGTTAATTATCTACACTTATACTTCAATAATTTTGAAAAATATATAAAAATTTATTGCTATGGACGTTGCCCTCGCTCTAATTATGAATGAATGAAAACTAAGATGTTGTGCTCGCTCTAATTATGGATCTTATTGGCAACTTATATGTGGATTTAGCATTTTATCCAAAAATTAATTATCTGTTTTGATTAAGATGATGTCTGTTTCTTAAGTATAGTTCAGTATGGAAAGACTACTTAGTTAGACAAACAATTGAGCCCATTGAAGTAAAGACATTCGCTTAATCCCCGACGGCATAGCCCTTTTTTTTTGGGGTACTAATTACTCATCCTTTTTTTCAATAATATACTATCGCCATTGTCTCAAAAAGTATGGTTTAGCATCAAAGACCACGCGTGGTGACATAGAAATGCTTAAGACGACAAGTCTATAATTAAATTGATTGCTGATTATGACTAATAGCTACTATTAACATGATTGATCACTAATATTCTCATTTTAGCTGTTCTAATCATTCAGAAATCCTGGATTGACAGAACTGAGGCATGGCCCATTATCTAGAACTAAGAATATTAATTGGTTCTATTAGCTGAATATATACAAAATGAAAATAAACCACATTTTCCATTTCCAGACAAGTTTACCTATTTTTTTATATACCAGAACTGGAAAACATGGTCGTAATTAATAATTACCGGCCCATTTTAGAATTAAAAAAGATAATGGGTAGTTGTGTTCTATAAAAATAAGACCTATTATCTTATTTTACTTTTACTTTTAAATTTATTTAATATGAAAATGTGTGAATTTACTATATTATTTTTATTGAATTAATTTTTAATATTTGCATTAACTAATTACATTTTCTGGTATTTTAAATGTTTCACAATTTTTTACATTTTGCTATATATATATATATATATATATAGATTATGTAAACACCATGGTTGTAAATGTTTTAGAGGCTTATGGTTTGACAAAAAATCTTCAAATTAAATTATGTTTAAATAGTTTATGGTGAGGACCATGTAATAAAAGTTGGGTGTGAGCCCATCCATTGAACAAGTAATCATATACAAAAAGGAGAGGTGTGGTGCTCGATGGAATTATAGTAGTTGCTTCATCCCATGTAGTTTTACTAATCTATATTTAGGGCTCGTTTGGGACTATTTTTATAGAAAATACTTCTGTTTGTAAGTGTTAAAAAAATAAAAATAAAAACTTTTTTGTTATAAAAATGTTGAAATTTTCATAAGAAATCAAAGTGTTTCCTAAAAAAGTACTTGGGAGTCATGTGCTTCTTCAAAAAGCCTTTTTAAATTTTGTTGCCAAACATTGTTAAAAACGCTTTTAGCCCTTCCAGAACCACTCCAAACGGACCCTTAGCTAATTATAATTAACATATAGATTGTGGCCAATGCAAGGGTTGCCTATCTTGGTCAATGATAATCAATCGAATAATCACCATACTTTTCTAACACAATAATGTTAATTTTTTTTTAAAATTCTTATGCAAAGACAAATAATACCACGTATCAAGATCTTGATTTCATATATTCAAGATGCCTTGCAATGATTTAGAAGTGTATAATATAAATTGTGAGGCAAATTTGGTATCTAATTCGTTCACACATGAGTTTTTATTTATGAAAAACGACATCGAATATCCTTTTTTTTTCTCAACCACAATGACGACAAAGATTTGTTTGGTAATAAAGGTCTTAAATTATAATTTGTATTAATTAATCTCAGATTAGTTTAGTTAATGGGCATTTGTTCGTTCTCTTTGATCATCTGCTAGAGAATCAAACGATCACCGTTCGTTCCAATATCATATCCACATGTATGCATTATTGGTCTCCACGTGAGAACTCATCTGCCAACTTATCTTCCTTCCTTCCTAGGACCCAACCTTTACCAAAAGATTTCGCCCAATTTCATAAAATAAGAAAATAAATATTTTGCAATCAAACCGAACTATTTTCCGGACATTTTCCTCAACTTTCTTTGGATCA